ATCAATTTAGAAAACTTAAGTAGTTAGCAAGAAGTGTCTGAAACGTCAAACTGCAGAAACAGAGGTAAAGGTTTTGTTGTTCTATCAAGAAAGAGATAGAAGAAGAACACACTATCCCCAATTATTTTCAACTGAAGAACAAGGTTATGGTTTAAGTACATTTGTAGAAGCAGATGCTACAGTCAAAATAACTTATGTTTACAAGATTGAGTCCATATGCCTCCAAAAGACACACACATAGTAAAAAAAAAAACAAAGGCAGAATTTTTACAAGCACATCTAGGGAGAAGCCTAACTGGTATATAGAACACAGACGCTGCATTAATCCTTCCTTGCACTGTAAGGTGCTGAAGGAGTAGCACTATGTAATTATAATAAACCTCATATCCACCTAAAGTCACCTACGGAATAGGTTTTGAGTAACTCTCCTGCGATGCAACAAACATAATAACAAAAAAATCGTTTAATCCCTAGTAGAGATATTAATGCCTAAATTACATTCAAGAGAGATCATGAATATTTCACACGTGAAACAAGGAAAGCTGAAGGCCTTCTCCAAAGAGCAGAGCTTACCTTCATGTGGCATCCTACAACACCGCAGAAATTCCAGAGCCTCTCTGCAATACCAGATGTCCATCTGATTTGCTTTATTTCCTTACACGTATCTCTGCTTCAGAGAAGCTTTTATTGAGGCTTAGAAGAGGCATTACGCATAATCCCTTTCATATGAAAGTATCGTTCCTAACACCTACTGGGAAGCAAAGTTTTCGGAACCGAAATCAAACTAAAGGCCACACGCTCAAGGCTGGAATTTTACTGAGCTGCTTCTACTCGGGACTTCAACACAGAAGTGGAAATTTCCCCTAGGTGGAGTTCTTTGTTCAATGCAGCAGGCAATTAGAAGTCCCTGAGGTCTGCAGAAATGGCTCAAGACTGGTATTTTTGTCGGTGAGAATTTAAGCATGTAAGACAAAAACAATAACGTGAAATGCGCATTTCTGCTGCAAAACAGTCATTTTCTTCTCACCCCAAATCCTGGTAATTTGAAACAGAGAGGTAACTGAGGTAAGCAATCAAGATAGCTTTGGAAAAAGATCACTAAAACCAAACGCGATTAAAAAAAGCAGTATCGAGTCTGCATTGCCTCAGATTTGATTCCACAAAAAGGTCAAGTGATAAAAAAGAAACTTTGCATCTTTAAAGGCCTTGAGGGCACAGCACAAGTAGTTTATCATTGGAATACAGATCAAATTAGAACAGATTTATTTTCTTTTTCCAGTTGGCATCAGTGTCCTATTTAAAGTTCTCGGGGACTTCACAAGCAAAACACGGCAGTCCCTGAATTCAGACAGAACCCCAGGACACATACTGGTATGGAAAGGAAAGCATTTATTGCTGGGTATCAATGATTTCTCTAAGATCTTCTATTCAAATTCAGTTGGAAGAGAGATTGCTAAAGGTTATCTGCCATCACCACAGGAGGATCTGAAAGGGAGACTGACTGTCACCATGACAAACCCTTGGGAACGCCCTATTCAATGGTTCACATACCAATAATTTAAAAAAAAAAAAAAAAGATCTGCCACTCGCCTTCCTCTGTGCAGGAAAGAAAAAAAACAATTTGTAGTCAGTAAGAAGATTACTGGGTGTTCTAGGGACAGGGACTGGTAGCTAAGATAATCAAGTGAAAGAAAATCCACCTAATGGGACCATGCCAATCCAACAAAACTAGTAATTGTAGACACTGCCAGGCATTTTCCTTAACTCCAGTACACTTTCAAACGTCATCTTTATTATTGAATAAAAAAAAAAGAAAAAAAAAATCAATCTCCAGCATATTTTTCATCACATTATCTGACAGCATCCTGTAACGATCACCGTATAAAAAGAACAGTAACCATTTCACTCCCTAAAATCTGCATTCCTGAGAAAATCTGGCAGCAATGAAAACTCGAGAGCTGCAGTCCCCCACTGCCGAGACAATGGGAGAAGATGCAGCAAGAATAAGAATTAAAATGTCACAGTTGACATTTTGTGTCAGCAGATTAAGGTGACAGTGGTGCCTTCAGCAGATGCAAATTCTGCTGCAGGAATGGCTGAACAGATTGAAGAGGCACCGAGGACAGGCTGGTGCACTAACGTAACCCCACACTGGTACCGATGCGTGGCAGCGAAGACCAGGCTGCTGCAGGCTGGGAGTGAAGCCACAGCCTGTAAAACCAAGCAGAATTGGAAAAACGATCATGCAGAATGAGGCAGAATCGGGTTTTTTTTTTTTCAAAAGAGGTCAACACCCCCACGCCTCTGGGGTTGCCAGCCCCTCTGGGGTGCGGTGGTGTGACACTCTCCCCTCTGTGCCAAAGCCTTCGCCAATCCCAGGATCTGCAGCTTCAGATGGACGCAAGGCTTTGGATTAAAATTACGGCTAGATTTGTTTTCCGACTTGGCGTTTTGTAACACATGCCCATAAGCAGCAGCTTCCAGAAGGGATGTGCATAGCAGCCGAATTTGTCTCGGATATGACAGAGGAAGTGACCTACAGCCGGAGGAGTTTCCAAACAGGTGGAAGAGATCAGATTTACCACGGCCACCGCCGAGCAGCCAGGACAGTCCCCTATACCACCAAGGCAAAGCCAAGTAACCTGATCTTGGCATTAGCTAGACTCCCTCAGAGCAGCCCTACCAAGCCTGAAGTTCTCTCTCCTGCGAGACAACCTCTGCAGAAGTTTTTCTAAAGACAATTATCACCACGTTCCACGGATTAATAGAAATTTAACAGAAGGACTGGTACAAAGTAGGTGAAATGCTATTCCTCAATAGCAGCTGAATAAGCAAAAGTCACTGACTAGACTAATTTCACATGACACACATTAAAAATATTAAATAACCATGCTTATTGCCAGTTAGTAATTACGGCCAGTTTAGGGCTTCAGATTTTTGCATCGCACCGAGGCAGATGTTCTGCTTAACCAAGCTTGTTAAATTTTACTGTAAACTGTCAAATCAGGCCGTTCACAAGTAGCCACGAGCCTAACCTATCCAACCCTAGCCAAAATCTCTACAAGACAGACATAGCTGCTTTGCATTTCCAAATGACACTCAGGCATAGATTATTAAACTCTATTTATGTGTCATGTTTAAAGCTCAGCATGTACTTTGCTCTTTTTCTTTTTGCTGTTTCACTCTAATAGATAGGTTAGAGCGTGAAGTTTTTTAATTGACAAGCTTTTTTCCTATCCATCTTTCTGTTTAGATTGCTAGATTACACAAAGTTTTGGGATTTAGGGATAAAGTTCAAATTTCATACATAGATACCAACGTAATATATATTCATATATACACACGTGTGCGTCTATAGATATGATTGTGGCACCTAAGGCATTTCTATATTAAATGCACACCCTTTACACTTGGCTGAAGCAGCCCCTCCGAAAGATAAGGTAGCAGTTCAAACCCGAAGATTTATGCAGGATCTATCAAGCGGAGAGCAACCAAATGGATTCGTTTAACCGAGGCTTTTCGCTACGAAATTGCCCTCTAATACTCTTCTGAGCTTCTAGACCAATCTGAGACTCACAGCTCTTGCTACCGTGCCAAGAATGCAGAGGTCACTTCTCAAAAAAAAAAAAATAAAATAAAATAAAAACAACACACACCCCCAAGCATCTCTGTGAAATTAAGCTGCTAAACCATGCGATCTTCGGCCAGATGAGAGGCCGGCGGTGGGAGCTCTCGCCTGAAGACCAGGGGAGAACACGAACCCATCCCCGCCTACCCCTAGAAGGTCTCGCAGGAGCCGGTCACCCTCCAAGCCCTTCCCTGGGAGCAGGGACACCTTGAACACGCCACTTATCACCCGCCTCCACAACTGCGAGCTGACCCCGGGCGATAACGCAGCTTCTCCCCCCCCCCCTTTCGCGGGGCTGAGGGAAACACCCCGATAAAATGGCGAGGAAGTCCTACCTCGGCAGCGCCGGAGCCCGCTTTCCCCACAGCTTTTTTTTCCTTCAGCCGCCAAGCAGACAACGCCCGGCGCCCCTCCGCCCCACACCCCGCGGGGAGCCGGCTCGCAGCGGGGCCGCACCCGCCGCCCCGGCCGGCCCTCAGGAAGCGGGGGAGCGGCGCGGAGCCACCCGAACAACCGCCAACTCCCTTCTACCCCATGCCCGTCGCACCTCGATGTAGCCGGCGAGCGTGGCCGCGGGGCCGGCGAGCCCCAGGAGGAGCAGGAGGGGAAAGCGCAGCGCGGAGCCCATCGCCGCCACCTTCGTCCGCCGCCGCCCAAGCGCTACTGCGGCCTCGGCGCCCCCCGCGGCGGGAGCCGCCTCGCCAGGCCCCACCCCCGCCCCGCCGCCCTGGCCTATGGGCGGAGAGGCGGAGGAGTGACGCTCCCACCGCCCCCGCTTAGCGGCCAATCGCCGCGCCGTCCAGGAAGGACGAGGCCGCCCCCTCAAGTGACTAAAGGATGGCTGGTCCGGCGAGCCACGCCCCCTCCCCCGCTACCAGCCAATAGGGGGAGGCGAGGGGCAGGGCGTCCCGCCCCCGCGGGAGCTCCCCCACCACCGCCCGCCCCGCCGGGTAATGGCGGCCGAAGATGAGGGTTGAGGCCGGGGGGAGGCCCTGAGGGGAAACGCGGGGCGGGGAATCACCCCGGGGGGAATTTTCACCCCCCTTTTATTTTTAGGCTGCTAGAGAAATTAACCGCCCACGTGAAATGCCTTACATCGGGGAGCCTAAAAGGCCGTGGAGTGGCACGGGGGGCTGTGGACTCAAAGCCCTCCAGCCTCCTTGCTTCTCCCCAGGAGCAGGGTTCCTGGGGTCATAAAAGCAGAATGAGACGGTTTCCCCATCTAAAAATAAAACAGGGAGGTTTCCCACTCTAAAAAGAAACCCATCTCTACATCTATCCCTGATCTCTTAAAACCCCTGACCCACCATTCTACCAGCAAGCTCAGAGCCCTCCTTGTTCCACAATAAAAACCAACACAGGTGTGCTTTTCTTTTTTTTTTTTTTTTTTTTTTTTTAATATTTCTTTCTTCAAATAACAGCTACTGAATAATAATCATAGGTTGCTTCATCCCACTGCCAACACTGAGGGCGGGTACTCACCAGGCACCACCTGGAAGAGAAGACATCACACATGCCGCCAACTTCTGTAAACACAGCAAAGCTCTCCTAAACTTTAATTAAACAGGCAGGTATCATGCTCACCTCCTCCAGTTTGTGCCCTGCTCGGTCTGTGCCTCTGTTTCTCTTGAACCACCTGAGCACCACACCGGTTTCTTCCAGTGCAGATGTTCTGCTGCAGCTGATGCCACGATTTAAAGACACATTTCTGGCTTTAAAACCAATTGTGCCAAATTTGCAGTGACGCAATTTTAATTTTACCATGTTACTTATAAAAAGAAATAAAAAGATCTTTTACAGAATGTCGCATAGTTATAAAACATTTCCATGCTCAACTTCCATATTCTTTAGAGTCTCTTACAAGCACTATTTTCTGAAATAGTTGAACGGAATATTGCTGGAATGTTGCAGATGGGGGGTAAATCTGTGCGATAGATCAATAAGCAGCCCAGTTTTAATTAAAACAGCTGACTGGTCCACTAGTCACTTATTATAGTCTCTTTTTTATAGTATTTGAAAACGCTTAAATCTCTTTTACTGCAGTCCTCTGGCATATATAATTTTCAACTTGGCCAAATTCAGTTGGAAAACAGAGTTAAGTTCTTTTTGAAAAGATACATTTTAATGTAAATATTTTGTTGTGCAATATGAATACAAGGGTAATGAACAAGACATTCTGAGTTAAGCTTTTCCCTTTTATTAAGATAGGAGGCATTTTTCTTTCTCCCTAGGCCAAAAAGTACAAGCTCTTTATAAATCTTTAGATAGGAGTTTTCATTCGTGGTTGAATTTATATAGCATTTAAGTGCTATATAAATTAATATACTTTTAATACTTAATATTTACATAGTGTTTGGTGAGTATTAATTAATGTTCACAAGCCCTCTGTGAGCCTGTGCATTTTGAGGATGGCAAAACAGCTGCCAAAAAAAAAGAAGTCTTGTTAAGTTGGGGTATGTGAAAACTTGATTTTTGGGGCACAGCAGAAACTGAAGTAATTGGCTGCAGGTTACTGAGCACCTCTTGCAATCAAGTCACAAATGTCTTAAGTACAGAGGCATGCAAAGTATGAGGGCCCTCCTGGGAGTCAGAATTTCCATGGCCATGTGGTGCCAGTCTCAGAGGTCAGAGCAACAGCACAACCAGAAGACACCTGGTCCTCTGCCTCAACCTGGGCAGGTATAATGCTTTATGGTAGGACGTTGTCTGTTAACACAAAAGAAAGCAGCATCCCCATAGGCAGGTATGATATACCAGAGACGTGAATCACTTTGGGAGTATTTTTACTGAGACAGCCCCAATTACAACAGTGTTATCCTCGTTCTTCAAAAAACCAATTTCAGTCTGGTAACTTTTGGGGAATTCTCACAGATAAGCACAAGATACGGCCTCAGCTGCATTCTCACCTCCAGTAACCTAGCCTGCTCCTAGTACTCCCCTGCAGACACCAGCGTGTAAGAGCTGAAGTCCTGCCGCGAGGCTGCAACGCAGCATATCCTGCTTCAAAAGCGAGACAATCATTGCTCAGTTCACTACCTGAAAAAAAAAAAAAAAAAAAAAAAAAAACCCAAAAAGTTGAAGAATAACACGTTCCCTTTCATATAGAGATCAGTCCTCCCCAGGCAAAAAAGTCCCCAGAAAGAAAAATTCTAAGATCACCAGATCTTGTTCTTTCTTTGGTGGTCATCGAGAGATCTATATGCAACTAAATTCCTATTTATGAATTATGCTGGGTGGCAGGGAGGAAAAGAGATTGAGGCAGAGTCTCCAGCAAAATGCAGATGTGATTCTAGCTGTTAAAAAAACCAAACACTTTCATCAAGGAAAGGCTTTGGAGGTGGTTGCTTTCAGATGAGTCCTAGCCAACACAGAAAGGGCAGGTTACGCTACTGCAGGTATGCTGACACTCACAATGGTCATGGTTAATTTAGCACGTAGATATATTCCAGATGAGAACTGGTAGTTATCTGTTGCCTGTGAGAACAGTACCACTTTGAATGAATGCTGCAAGGCTGTGGCCTTCCCTAGAACACCTTTCCTGTTGTTAACCCTGCTAGGTAGGTGGCAGCTTACATTTCCTTCCAAGAATCCCATTTTATATGCTTGGTTCCAGGGCTTTTAGTGCCCTTTTCCCAGCACATCTGTGCTAAGGAAGCACTAAGAATCTCATCCTCGCACCTTTGGCTGCTACTCTTTACGCTGTAAGATGTTTCAAGGGAACATCTCTGCCCATTATCACTTGCAAGACCACAACTGTGTAAACGGAAAGAATGTATTTATGATTGCAAAAACCAAAAACGTGCCCTGAAAGGGCAATGTTAAACTCTTGATAAAAAGGTCAAAGAAGTCAGGCAAGGAATGTGTCTGGTACCATTAAAGTCACTGCAAACAGCAACATTAGCAAACTGATGTGCAGAGACCCTGCCAGTACCTGGAGAATGAGTTCACAGGAGCTAGAAAGTTTTTGAATATTCTCAGCGTTCTCTTAAAAGTCCACAAATTAAAGCATAAAATTGATCTACTCTGTGAATGGTAATGTTATGCAGCTCTTTTAATTAAAAAACTTGATTGAAGCTTTAAATGCTGGATCATAGGATTCGTACTAGCTCTACGTGATAGATATGCGCAAGTTAGAGGTTGCAGAGGTAGAGCTGAGTCAGCCCTGGTTTGGGGAGGTAGAATGCAAACTGAATTTAGCAAATGACTACAGCATGTGGAGGGCTTGAGTAAAGAGAAGACTAACAGTGCTTCTGGAAAAAATATACCACCCAACTGGCATGAATGATACACAGTTAACTGCCACAACTCATCACGAGCCGTACTGTGCTTTGGACAAGCCTTCTATCTGTTAACAAGGCTGTGTGAGGGACATAAAGTCATGCAAAGCTTTGACTAGTCAACTAAAACTCGATCCAACATCCGGCTCTGTGAGTGCCTTTGGGAAATAATACTTCTCCAAAACCCCTAAATAATGTCAGAAAATTGCCAACCCGCTATGGAATTGGACATCTATATTTGGCTGCAAAACTTCTTTGTGGAAGTCTAGGGTTCCTGCAGTTTTGCAACTCAGTCTTCCATCTAATTCAAATGGACAACACGTTGCAAACAAGGTGTAGAAAGCCCAGCACCAATGAGACAAAGGAAATCACTGAAGAAACTGGGCTTAAGATATAAAGTATACACAGAAGATGACGATGTTCCATAGAAAATGGGTAACAGGAAAGATGCAGAGACCTTCTAGGCCTTGAAAGATAATGCAAGGCAGGCAGGAGCTTAAAAAAAGAAAGGCAATTTCTATGGGAATACAATGAAGGTTAGAAGAGTGAAAGGATGGAGAATAAATAAGAACAGATGCATTGCAAGTGGAGTTGTACCTTAAAAATGGATAGAAAGAGTAATTGCAGGAGTGAGGAAAACCAGCTTGGGAATCTGTGAAAAGGAGGCGACACAGTAAATAGTGGTGGACAACAAGCCTTTCTGTTTCTGCTCGAAGACATCTTTAAAAGGGCTGGGCAGGAAAGGGAAGAAAAGTCTACCCTTTATTGAATCCTTAACTCTTGATGGCCATTTTCCTACTGCTCTATTCTGTGTCTGAAACAGTGCCATCGATCTGGCTTTCATGCAGATATTCTTAAATTTTTCTGGGGGATTGATTTAAACAGCAGTTTGTGCTATGTTAATCTCAACCAGCATGATTCTGGCCTACAGCATGTAACAGACTGCTAAGAAAAAAATCATAACATTAATACTAACTCTCCCATAATTGCAAACTTCAAAATAAGCCCTTTTTTTTTTTTTTTTAGGTTTAGAAATATTACTGCTTTGCTGAAGCACATCAGCACAGAAAAGGTGGCAATGCACTGGAAAATGAAAAATACATCAATCGAGGATGCTTAAGGCTAGCACAACAAGAGCGTGGCTGCTAAAGGAAGCCGCTGCTCCTTCCATACTCTGCATATGAATCTTAGCATCCGGAAAATGTGCTAAGTCTGTGATCTCTTCATTTACTAGATGGAGGGCAAAACCAATGATCACCGTGAATTTAACTGGACAATTTGTTTTTCTGAAGAGGAAGATTTCCCCTTACAAAAGGAGTGTCTCAAGTCACAAGCAATCCTTTTTGGAATAAATTTGCACATCTGTAGGATTCACTACCCAGGAAAGGAAATTACCTCTGATATATAATTCAATAGAGTAATGAGCTCACAGTCGGATTTAGGATCCCAAATGCAAAAATAGAACCTAACCACCTTTTTAGCTAACGATCAGCTTTCAAAATATACAAACTGGCTATTTATGCTGCTCATTTTCTCTCTCCAGACGGATCTGAGGCTTTGGGCACTGGCAAAATCTCAAGGCAGAATAATGCCCGATGCTTCTTCAAAGAGCTGTAGCAAAGACTTAACCTGACACATGGAACTCAGAAGGCAGGGGGGCCTAGAGGTCTACAAATAAAGGCCTAGTCCGGACACTGCAGGGGAGAGAGGAAGGAGAGCTGCATTGCAGAAAATATTTAGTAAACTCTCACCGTCTTGCATCGTAGTATCTTCCTACAACGGGCTGAAGGTGTCCTGTCATCTTTGTCTCTTCTAGTCCACCCGTGAAGACAGGAGTGTCATTTAGTCTCCGAAGATGGCAGGATCGGTCACTCATGTATCAAGGCAACCAAACCATTCCAACTTAAATAAGCCGAGCACTGCAGTTTGTGGTGGAGAAGCCGTATGAGACTCTTAGAGAGAAAAAAACCACAATTGAAAAAAATCCACCAACTGTTCTGCGTATTTTTCCACAGGTATTGGCTCATTGCGATCCTGAGATTTCTCCTGTGGTCCTTCGACAATGTTTCTTTCTTCTCCCCTTGTGTGCTTGCTGGTCTCACTCAGACAATCTTGTTGCAACGGTGTGAAAGGTGGTTCATTTTATAGAGGTCATTCATGACAGATGAAAATTCAAATATGTTATAATTAGCTGCAGTTCCACATAAGTCAGTATTATTGCAGCTTTTATACTAGATCTGATTTTGTCCCACAAACGTGTGTGTCAAGTATTACAGTAGAATGATTAATGATATCACACATAACGGAAGGATTAAGCATTGATGCAGGAGAATTGCTCTAGAAGAACAATTTTAACTTATTTCTACTCATAATTTATTTTTGTCCTGCACTGTAAAAGGAACCTGAAATTGAAAATAAAAATGGCTTGTGTTACTGGCAAGCAACAGAAGAGATCTGATTCATGATTGAATTCATCATTTGGTATTCATTGGTGGATTAAAAGCCAAATCATTTTAACAAATGGCACGGCAATGAACAGCATCAAATATAAAAACCTCAAGACTTGTCCTGGTGAATAAACGTAGAATCATTTGCAGCAGCTTTGAAGATAAGTGCAATTCAACAACAAAAAATCTACCCCTCCCTCCACAATCAGGTCTGATTCAGTGCCTGTTACATCAGGCATCACAGAATAACCTGTGCTAACAAGCTCTGTTATGGCGCACTGAAGTTGCCTTTTATTACCCCCCCATCACCTGTTTGTGCAGTTACTCAGTTTGCAAGCAAGAGGGTGTGTTAGGAAGTAACTTACGACACAGGAACAGACAATAAGGAATTTTAAAACGTCTAGGAGACATGTCGTGTCTGATACTGCAAAGCTTCATTACTGGGAACTGTTGTTTTCCATCAGCTGCATGATACTTTTAAGTGCTTATTTTTCTGGTGCACTTAAAAAGCAAAATAACTCCACCAAAAATTCCCTCCTTACTTTGATATCAGCGTAGATGGCTGCAGTTTGCATCATTCTATTTAAACAAACATTAAGGTACATTTCCTGTTACAATCATCATTAGAAGCCTCATGGCTCCCAACCACCCAGTCATTTTTCTTATGTCAACACAGGAATATTTATTTTAGTTTCTGGAAATGTGCACCCTGGAGACAAGGGAGTTGTGCAACAGGTACCACAGGGACCTGCAGCTTTTCCCTTCGGTGCCTGTCACCAGACCACGCTTTGGGAAACAGCTGGAGGGTCTTGTGCTGCGTAGCAGCTTAGTCTGCAACTGAGAGTTTGGGGGAAAATCAGTGGGATTTTGGAATTCCCAAGCACAGGAATTCATATTCGCAGGCCTTGCTCTACAATTTTTTTTTTTTTAAAATGCCCCAGATACAGACAGTGCTCTCTAGTACTATTTATTTATAAACTCATTTAAGAGAGAGGCTTCATATTCTGCACTTGGTTTTTTATATCCTTTGAAAAGTACAATTCTTTGGAGGGCCACAAGAAAATGAGAAGTAGCAGTACTTTTGCAGGTTTCAAGCTCCTAAGGCAGCAGAAAGTTAGAATATAGGTTCTCTTGGCAATAAGAAATAAAGAAATACACGTATTTGAAGTCTGTTTCTGTTGAATAAAGGCATACAGGCAAGACAGGGCTTAAAGGAACTGGGACATCTGCATAGAAGATAAATCCCAGTGTCTCCAAGGGAAGGATCGACCGCCTACAGCTTCCACTGGCAAACCCATGGCCCAAGGGGAAGAACAGCCCCCTCAATTCCTTGCCCAAATCACATTTTCTCAGAAGATGAGTCAGCCCCTGAGAGATCTTTGTTTGAGCAAAAGTCATGCCTCTTTTCCTGTAACTTTCCAATCGTCATTTCCCATGTCTTGCAAAAGGCTGAATTAAAAGTTGCTCTTTTTATTTTACTACTTTTTTAACTAGGATTTCCCCTCACTCACAGGAAGAGCGAGCAGCCTGTGCTCTCGCTGTTCCGGTTTGCCTAAGCTTGAAGGTCCTTTTTTCACACCCCCCCCCCAACAAAGGCATTTTGCCCCACAATAATGAACACATCAGTTCGCAGGAGAGCTTCCCATCAATACCAGCCTATTCTGCATTTTGTGAAGCAAATTACAAGGCTTCTTCCAAGTCTAGGTTTTCCTGCCTTTTCTCAGTCATTTGGTTGACTCCCCAAGATCTCTACCAAGATGTAGCTCATTGGCTAAGTTATATAAAAGGAGTCTTAAGTAGAGCACTCTATTGAGGTTTGAGTTTTCCCTTTAAAATGCAAATGGCTGGTAGTTAATTCCCTTTTGGGATTTAAGAGCTGAATTTAAAATGGGAAATGATGATACAAAAATATACTTCAGAAAGCATTGCAGTATGAGTAATGAAACATTCGGCACATGAATACTGATTCTTCTGGTCAGCCAGACATCTTCATTTATCTGCATTTTAATAGCTTCCCTCAAAACTGCTTTTGGCTAAATTTTTCCTCAATGTATTACCTGATGCAGTCTCAGCAGACTACAATGAGGGTAAAATTTGACCACATTTTCTATTTTTTAAAATCTCATCTATCAGCAGTCAAATATATCAATATTCTATCAGGTGTTATAAATATCTCCCTCTTTTCTGTTAAAAAGTCTAACTAAACCTTCTCCATACTTTCTGAAAATATAGCTGAATGACAGACCTGTTTGCCAGCTCCTTTGTTGACTGGACAGGCTAAAAAGCCATCCCAAAAAAAGTGTGTCCTTAGCAAAGATGTTAAATCAGTATTTAAAGGAATATTTCCCATCTCACTTTGTTTTTTATTTAATGACCAGTTTACTTCCAAGGGGGAAAAAATAAGCATGTATAATTATGTCCTTAAATCGATTTATGCTTAAACACATACATATACATGTGCACACACAGACACACCCTTACGAGCTTCCAGCGACCTGGGGGGATGCTAAGTGCTCTAACCTGCATTTAAAATTCAGAGTGCTCTGCTCCTTGCATGATCAGGCTTTAAGTAACTCAGCTGGATTCCTTGTATTTGTTCCATCTTCTGGAAAATGTACCTTTACATAACTCTTCAAAAGAATTCAATTTCTATGCACATGGGCACTGGCACAAACACGTACACCGGTTTTAATAAACCTTATACTGGCAAAGGATGGAATCGTGTCATCATGATACGAAACCCACAGATCACGTGTCTAAAAGGGAACCGCCAAGCTTCTAGCCTGTGTTTAGAAGGGCCTAACCCTGTGATCTAGTTGAAGAGCTAGAAATCATTTGTATTTGGATACGCTTGCAGAGCCGGAGCCGTGGCCAGGGAGCACGTGCAGCCGTGTGAAATCCGAGCAGACCCCAGCCCAGGTGCCCCCCCGGCGAATGATACCTGCCCCCAGCATCGACTGCAGCAGCCCAGTGTGGGTGCGTGGGTAGATCCCTTGGTGGGGTCAGCAATTAAACACCTACGCCATCTCAAAACCTGAAATACAATGATTTACACAAAGCAAGTTTTTCCTCTGTCCATACAAGAAGGGATAGCATATATCAAATATTCAAACTTTTCCTTTTTGCCCTTCTTTTCTTTCCGTGTTTTTCTGCAAATCACAGACTGTCCAAGTTCTCCAGGCTCTGTTTTCTCTTTTTTGTTACAGACTGACTTCAATCAAACCCTAGATCTAAAAGTCCCCAAACAACCAACAAAGAATGTATTTCAGTACGTTAAATTTGAGAAGTCACAATAAGGGCCGTGATATAATACTGTGATATCACTCACAAAGGACTATTACTTCATTGTGAATGAAAACAGCATCTGGCACAGGGCAGGAAATAATCTACCAAAAAAGCATCCAAGAAGTACAGCAATGAAAAACAAGCATCAAATGAGTTTACAGCTATGTAGAGTTGTTCTCTTCGTTAAAGGTTCTTGCATTGTGAAAACATTTCTTTAAAGTAAGGGAAGGAAAAATACCACACACATTAAGTCTTTTTTCTGCCTTCAACTCAAAGGCTTGCCAAGAGCTTTTCAACAATTGCGTGATTCACTATTGAGTATTTCATCGTGAAAGAAGCCTGCATTCTGTACGGTAGAGGGCTCTTTCATTCATTTTTATTTTGTGTTTATGTTATCAACCAACATGTCAGCTGTTAAAGAAAACCTGGTGAAAGACTATGAAAGGAGATAAACCCCCAGAAGGTGTTACAGAAATGCTGAATTGTCTTTTAGTTTTAATTACACCTTTAAGGTGGTTTTGCTGTGTTGCAGTTGCTCTATATTCAATGAAATCGTATTTTGTAAAGCATTTTTTCAACAGTTCCTGCAGCCACTGTAAGAGAAAGCGAATGGATCAAAATAAAGCTAGACGAGGGCCAAACTTGTGAAGGAAAAATTAAAACCAGGCATCATCAGCAAGTTTCCTAGAAGTTCGGCAGGGAATTAGTGAGGAGAGGGCACAGAAGGGGAGCCCAGCCCTGGAATTCATTACAAACATTAACGCAGAAGGAGACGTCTTATTACAACCCTTTGCATTTGAGGAGGACTGCAAGGATGTCAAGTGTCTCATTCAACTTCTGAGGGCATTCTTGGATGAAACAGAACTCAGCAGGGATATGAATTCAGCCACATCAGACTGATCCACAAAGTGTAAAATGACCTCGGCATCTTAGGGGTATTCTTCTCCTTTGCCTTCTGAAGCATCTCAGCAACTGAAATAGTAACTTTCAAGACAATCTTACCCTGGTGGCAAAAAAGACATTTCAGTGGAAAAATTGGTTGGATGTGCCTGCAGCTGGCAAGTCTCAAGGTAACTCCACATTGGCTTTAAGAAACACCCACGCTCTTCCTGTGGCTCTCTGTTATTCAGGCAAATTCACTAAGGAGCGAATTTCAGAGGATTTTTAAAATCAGAGGTCAAATTCTGGGATCCTTTGATAAAACTCTCAGCCCAGATCCTACCTGAGCTCCCACTGTATTGTATTAGCTTTAAAGACAGTCTGCCCGAGCAAATGGATTTTAGAGCACTGGGGAATACCAATTCTATTCTGACAGCAGAACTCTTGAAACAAATATCCAGAAGGGTCCCTGCAAAATTAAGGCAGAGCAAACCTAACATGACGCAGGACACGCAAGCACCCTCAGCTGGAACTGCAGCAAATATTGTATTGTGAACTGCAGCCTCATGCTCAGGCAAGCAAATCCTGAATTTTTCCACTGTATGCAGGCTGAGGTTACAAGAGTTCTCAGCAACAGTTGAACAATTCTGTAATAACAGAGAAATGCTAAGTACTGTCATAACTGTGTTGGAAAGAATTCTCTCACCTTACTGTGTAAATCTGCTGCTTTGAAGAAAACACTTCTGTTTCAGGTCGAGCTGGCTAGGTGCCTGGGCACACCTGGAATACATAACATTTGGGTGCACCTGAATAACTTTGACAATAAAGATTATTTCCTGTAAAAAAGAAAGAAAGAAAGAAAAATAATTAACCTGGCTTAACATAACGGGGCTATGTTCTGTTCACTGAAAGATTTTGGGGAAGCAATTGATGCGTTATTTCTTTGTAGCCTACAGTATCCGCATCCCTCCTCCGGCATCGTTTGCCTGAAGCCCAGTGGAGGAGCTGCCAGAATTCCCTGCTCCTGGCAGCTCTGCGCTTTTTTCTCGGTGCAGCAAATTTTCATGTTTTTCCTGTCTCGCTGGCAGCAGGAGTTTTTCATTTGCAGCCATCTGCACCAGGGCAGAGGCTGCGGCTTCAATCTTAATGGCTGTCTCAGATGATACCGTTTTCTTTTTGTCAGCTTTAGAGATAAGGCAGCATTGAACTCACTGACAGATCTTGGCACTTGCTATACATTTACTCTATCTGATACCCGCTCTTCTCCTAAGACACTTGTTTTCAAAGGTGTTCAGGTATCTGTCTATAGCGTGGGTGGAATATACTTACCTTCCAAACTCAGTTTAGTTTCAAAACATCCCCTCCTTTAAACTAATCAGTCACTAAGGTAAACATTTCTCTTCCGATGAAACAGCTATCCCCTTGAAGGACACATCCAACTGCAAAGAATCACTCCGCAAAAATATTTTGAATGCAATCCAAAATGACACCTAAGGCAACACAGCCCCACGCTGCTGCCTGTGTCTGCTCACACCGGGCTCTTGCTGCAGGGTCAGGAACTCAAACAGGACACCGCAGTCTCCTCTGCCAGAGCTCTTGATAGCAGTGTAACACCACCAACATTGCAAATGTTATTTTTTTTCACTTAATCCCAGAATCCTGTGAGGAAATTTCAGCCGTGTTTTGCTGTTTAAAAGTCTAACTTCTTAATTGTTATAATAGAAAATTGAGGAAAAACTCTAAAATACAATAAGTAAAAACTTAAACCTCATGCGCACAGAAGTATGCAACTTCCTCCAAAACTTTGTGTTTTTTATTTTTTTTAACCAGAGACACGAGTTTTTAATAAATGTGATAACAGTGGAAACACTACACTTAAAATAGAATTTCAAGCAAAGCTTAGGGAAAAAACCCACAAAACTACTTTGCCGAAACTCAGGGCTGCTGTAGGGACAAAGCTTTACCTGCAGCACCCAAGCAGCAACATAGCACCCTGCCAGCAACCAGAGCCCCCTCTAAAAAATCTTAGTGATCCAGAACAGCTTCACCTGGGGCCTCCACCTATGGGCCCAGGGGCTCTATTTAAGCCAAGCCCAGGGGCTTTTTCCTTTTTCTGAATAATCCTAAAAAAGCATTGAACTTCAGCCTAGGGACAGCTGTACTTTGCTGTGGATCTCCAACCTTCCTTCCCAGCTTGATCTTGAATCTGTCTCCTTGCTATGGACTCGGCAGGTAACTACGGGGTTTTTTGTTTAATCCTAATTGTCCTCACTAGCCTGCATCGTGACCTGGAACTTTAATTCCTGTCTGGACACCAGACCTGCCTCATCCTCTTGAACTTGCCTGCTGACCTGGATTCTTAAATGATCCTGACTGCCAGCTCCAGATAAGCCTTACTCATCTTGTTCAGGTGCTGAAGGGTGAGATTGAGCTGATGAGTACTTTACTTTCACAAGCTCGGAGATCCAGACTTTTGGATAAGAGCTAGAGGCTCCCCAGGCGAGTTTTTTTTACTCTTAAAAATCTATAAGGATTTCTAAGGCTGCTCTGGAAAAATGCATCATGCAAGATGAAAGCAACTTTTTAAAAGCTCTTTTGCCCACTACAGCAGAAGGGCTAGTAAGGCAGATGGGGGAATGAGGAATGTGTTATACAGGAGAAGATGGAAGAAGTGTGGCTTGTGTAGTCTAGCGAAATAAACTTCAGGAGAGGCTATGACTGCTGTCTATAAATATATGAAGAGAGTAAACAGTAGGGAAGGAAAAAAGTCCCCTATTTAAATTGCATAAAAATGTTGGCACAAGAACAAATAAGAAGAAATGGGCCTTGGAAAAAAAACATTGTCTTCAGTGATGTTTTTAGTCTCTTGTTCAAGGCCACAAGAACAAAAGTCTCAGTCTCTTCCTAAGAGCAAGCCTGCTCAGGCTATATTCTGCGGTGTCTGTGGCTTGGAAGCCCCCCTGCCAACTCCTACATTCATGAGAAGGTCAGATTTCTTAATTTTTAAATTCTGGGGAAGGAGGAAGATTGACCATCTGACAGATAAATATCTTTTATCTTTATACACACTGAAAAATAATACTGAGTTTTCCCAGCTAGGGGATTTACTTTTTGATGTTCTATAAAAATCCCAGATAAACAGAGTGTATGATTGGCACACATACTAAATGAGATAATAAAATATGATTTTATTTTTTTTTTTTTATGTGGTAGCTGTCTAAACATCTACCAGAAGTTATCACTGTACTTTTTTTTCTTCACGTTGCCTCTCTTTTTTATCTATTAAGTGTATCCAGAAGCAGGAGAAATATCTCTGAAGATCCTTTCTTTCCCCCACAGAGGCTGGGTAAGACTGACTCTATCATCTCATCATCGCTTTTTTGAAAACAGCTATCAAAGGGACATGTATTAACATGTCCTTTCCCATGGCTGGAGACAGGGAGACTTTCTAGAAAAGTTAAAAATCCTTTAAATCCTGTAAATATTTATGATGACTTTTTTAAAGACTTCATTATAATGCCTAGATGCAGGACTAATTTTAACAGAGAATAGTCAACTTTTATTCAACTTTCTAGCAAACTCTGAAATATCAAAAAGCATTGCTAATAGTTTTCTGAGTCATTCCAGCTTGCTTAATGGAGAGGAAACCCAAACAGCCTCAGTTTACTTTGCAGTTGATGCACAAATTATTTCCTACTAATGACAGTGCTTCTGCATAACCAGAACTGGATAGTGGTGACACCCAAGCTTGACTGAAAAACCAGCCAACAAAGTTGGGTGCTTTCAATTAAGTATTGTAAGGCTAATTGTGGTCGAGCATCTTTCGCAGAGAAGAAATGCACATCCTAAATAAACAGTAGTCCCAGATGAAGAAGTGGTTGACCTGGATTTGAAGCTGAACTGTGTGTGGCCAGTGCAGATTTCTGGGAAATGCTCCAGTAATTAAGGAGTCTTGCAATGCGAAGAACAACTCTGCTGCATTGCTGTTCCTGTACTTGCCACTGCCAGTGAGCTTACTGGGGCACTTACTGGTACCACAACCACCTGGCTGCCTTGCTTAAGGGCCAGGACTCCACAGTAGCAGCTGTGCACAGGAAGAATAAGAAATATTTTTCTCGCCCTGGGAAAGCTTGCAAACAGGGAGTTTCCATGAAAACTTGTGAAACACTAAACTCTGTTGGTTGATTCCTATCATCCCCTAAACCTGAAGATCTCAAGACACCACCAGAAGCAGCAGCTTTAGTAAATATGGTTATAATGGAGTTGGGGAGATACTGGTGTGTGAGTGGCAGAGTATTTTCCCTGCAGGCATTTTTGCAGCCAGAACTTGCTTTTCCCATCCCTATACTGCAGCATGGCTTTGCTAAATAGATTTTCACAGTAACCTGAAATGCTCCTTTTTCCTAAGACTTGATGCACCTCTTACCGAATGCACAGTAAAGATATTGGGGGGGATAAACAAGTTTTTTCCTCACTTATTACTGTGCCCGTTGCCTATATTTCTTAAGAATATTGGGGGACAAATGCCACGTGGGTGGGTACAGATCAGGCAAAAGGATAGCCAATAGTGAATGTATGTGATGAAATGCTTTCTCTACTGGGTATGTTTTTCATTTAGTTTTAAGTAAAATAACTTTAAATTTTTGAGATGATTAGGCAGATGCTATTAAAACACACTAACCCCCAAGCTTCTTTTGGTCAAACCTTTCCTTGCAGTATAAGGGGATTAATTCATCTTGTTTAAAAAAAAAGAGTTAAACTTTTTTTGGTGGGGAGGGGAGTGACCCTGGGAACTAATATAGGATAACTTTGTTGTATTTGTATGTGTTTTACATGAGGCTACTTTAATTAAATTTATTGTGTCTTGCTCTAAACCAGTAAACTTGTATCACTACCTTCACCATGTTCTGTATTCTCTGTGCAGGAGGCAAAGTAATTACATTCCAGTTGCATTATAATTTAGCAGGTTCTAAGAGAAACATGGAGAGAGCTGAAGTTTTTCCATCTTCTAGATTGGTGTTTTAAATCACAGCCAGCTGCTGACTTGCACAAGGGAAGGTACCACAATGCATAGCCCAATTCTGAGCACAGTTTAATTTGGAAATCTAGGCACAAGTACCTACTTATCATGCACAGATGTAGTCCGGGAGGTCAATGGGGCCAGCAAGGCATCATCTGCTGCTCTAATAATTCAAATGAGTTTACAGCACTTGAGCATTTTTCTTCGTCATGGATTAATCTACACGCTTCTCCAAATGGGATAATGTTATGAAGAGAAATCAAATAACCTCAACAAAACCAGTAACAAAGAGGTATAGACAAGAAAAGAAGAAAAAAGCTTTCTAGGAGGTCTGAAAGACCTTAATGGTGAGCAGCTTGATGTGACTGTGGTCCATGTGTGGGAGGTTTGTTTCTAAAGCAGGATGGTAACAGCGTTTTAATAGGTGCAGGGAATGGATGAAGAGGTTCAGGTGAAGAGTTGGGTCAAAAAGATATTCACAAGTAAATGAAATGAGGTTGGGTTGCATATGCTTTTCCACCTGGAGCCTGAAATGAGGGAGAAAATGTCAGTATGCAGGCTTTGATGTGGGGGATGATGCTGTGGTCTGGAAAAATGAGCCTTGTAGTGGCCACAGGGAAGAGACACAGGCAAGACAGGACACAGGCAGTGCTGAAATAGCACTATCCAAATGAGGTGGAGATACAGATCTGATGACCCAGGAGATAAGGGGGGAAAAGAAGGATTTGATGAAGGGCTACAGCACTATTCCAGATAATATACGTGAGTGGGGAAATGACTTTATGTAGCTTATTTGAACTATGAAGACTAGAACTAAATTAACCTAGTGTGAAGGCTTCTCTCTCTCTGACAGCATGAAGCTATTGGAAAAACAAAGCCTGTGCTGGAGCATCAGAAACAACACATTAAATGTGGGAAATACAATAGGCATTACATCAGATTCTAGATCCTGCAGATGATGAATCAGACCAGCATGCTTTTTCTTCATCTGGCAGCTTGTGGCATCCACTGTACACTTGCACTGAATTGGCCTTTCCAAGCTATGAGGGGAAAAAAAAAAAAATATAACCTGTGGAATAACTTTCAGAATATGACCCATGTACCAGGGAAGGACAGCCCTGAGGTCCCATGCTGTTTTGTGCCCACTTGTAGAGCTAAATATCTGGATGAAAACATGGCACAAAAATGCGTTTGTGTCAGGGCCAGTAAGTATTCAAAATGTTAGGGAGACTCTTGGAAATCACAAATAAAAATGCAACACTGGAAACACCTTGATTTTTTTAGAAGTAATACATATAGCTGTTAAGACTTATGAGAAATAAAGCAGTTTTGTTTGGCCTTATGTATTTCTTTCTGCTATTTGTTATCCTAATGTTTCAGCATGGTATAATGAAATTGAAACTGTTTGTAGAGGATAGAGGAATAAATTGACTCCATAACTCTCAAATTCAAATTAAGATAACTGCCCAGAGGAGTAAAGTGTTGTGGAAGGGAAGAAAAAACCAAACTTCTAATTGTTAACTAATTCTGCTCACTTCAGTTTTAAAATCCTTTCTTATCTAGCATTTTAAGGTCAGATTCCTAAGCACCAGTTAGAAAATTTGCATCTCTGGGTTTTTTTTATCTTGATTGCTCACAGAAAGGATGGGTCAATCCAACAGGGGATGAGTTCAGTATACACCTGCACCTCTTAATTTGAAAGAGCAGATCAGGCTTTAGAAAGGCAGACCTAGTGGAGAATGAAGCTTAATTGTGCCAAGATCTGACCCTTTTACTATTCTCCTAGGGCAGAGAATGAGCAGAACCAGTTTTTGTAAAAGGAGTGATTCATCCTTAACCAAAATTTACCCTTCCTCTATTACTGGATTTTGGGTCAATTGGCCACAGTGGCCCATTGCAGGATCTGTAGCTGCCCACGCTTCAGTGGAACAGTGTTTATTATGTACCCGCAGTTCACGAAGCCATTTGGAATAAACTTAAAAGGTACAAAACACAGAGATTGTCTTATTTAAGAAATATCTTCTGAACTACTAGATCAAATAGCTTTCTGAGTGTATGCTAATGTCAAATAAGGGAAAAGAAAAGCAGTATTTTTCCATGCCACCATAATACAAACACCTCTTTAAGAAGAGCAGCAATAAAAGTACGGCAATAACCCCACTGGAATGACCAATTAGTTAAATTTCTGAACAATAGTAATTATTATTCTTCTCTGACCTGACATTTAGGACTCAGACACATATACCACAAAAAAAAAAAAAAAAAAAAAAAAAAAAAGAAATGCCAGCAGCACTCTGGGTGCCTTTGGGCAGAAGGAGCCCTTTGGGGGGCATTTCCTCATGGGCTGACCCTCGACATACATCAATAGCTCTTGCTTCAGCTTTGAATTTGTAAGTATATAAGTAAAATTATGGCGAAACCCGCTGGTCTGCTGATTTTTGACACAGTTTCGGAGAATTGCACACCGAGGGGCTGTGGGAGGGGGCTGTGGAGATTTCGGGCTCCTGGTCTAGAGGGAGAGGGAGGTGGCCCCGGCCTTCCCTGCCGTGTAGAAGAGGGGGCCGGGGCCGCCCCCCCCTCCTCGCCCCAATAAATCACTGCCCGCCACTCGGGGGCCCGCCCCCCTCCTTCCCCGCCAGCAGGGGGCGCCCTGCCCCGCCCTCCCCGCAGGGGGCGCTGCTCGCTGCTCCCCCCCCACCTCCTTCTCCACCCCAGCAGGGGGCGGAGCGCCGCGATGAGAGGCCAGCTCTGATTGGTGGCAAGGCTCTCGGCGGAGCGGAGCGGGGATGAGAGCGGCGCTCTGATTGGTTGAAGGCACCCAAGGGGGGAGTAAAGGCCCGGGCAGGGGTTCCCCCCCCCTTCCCTCCCTTCCCCTCCCCATGGATCGGGGTCCCCCCCCTTGCTCCCTGGCCCCCTGACCTGGCCTCCTCCGAGTCTTTTCTTGAGGACTTTTGTGCCCCGTCTTGGCGCGCGGAGGCGTTTCAGCCAATCAGCGTGCGGCGCCGCGGCCTGTTGCCAGGCAGATTATGGTAATGAGGTCCGGGCGGCCGCCCCCCCCTCCCGCTCTGCAGCTACCATTGTGAGGTGAGGACAGGTGGGGGGGTTTGGGGCCGCAGCGGGGCCGGCGCCGGCGGCCGGGACGCGGCACCCGCATGGGACCCCCTCAGGTAACGCGATGGGACGGTCCGGGAGGGAAGCCCGATCCGGGGGCGCCGCGGGGACCCGCCGGGGGTTTTGGACTTGTTGTTTTAGTCGCACCCAAGATGGCGCCCGGAGCTGGCGGCTCCTTAGCGCTGGGGACGGGATAAACCGTTGGCTCCCGCGAGTGGGGGGGGGAGGGCGGGGGAGCTGGGCGCAGTCATTTCCCCTTCCCCCCCCCCGCGGGAGAGGTACAGTCCGCTTCTCCCCCCCCCTTCCCGCCCCAGCCGGGATCCCCCACCCGCCCCGGACTGAGGGAGAAGGGGCTGCCCCCACCCCTGATTTCCCCCCTCCCTGGATGGTACAGTCCGGACCCCGGCACCTTAGTGGCGAGGGGGGTGCCGGAGCCATCTTGTTCTTCCCTCCACCCCCCCCCTCCCCAGCACTGTGGGTCCCTCACCCCACCCCCCCCACCCCCCATTACTCTGGGCCGCTCGCTCCCCTACTCCCGGCCGCTGGGCCGTCCCGTCTCCTCCGCCCGCTCGGTGCGGCCTCTAGCCCCCGTTCCCCACCCCCCCCAGGGCTGGAGTGGTTGGAGCTGAGTGACCGTTGGGCGCCCTCACGGGGGACTGGTGGCGCCTCGCGCTATTTCGGGGGGGGGGTGGTGGTGGTGGTTTCTCACACTGGGGAACCGTCGCGGGGGGGGGGGGGGGAAGAGCGCACCTGCGCCTCCTGATTGGCTGCGCGCCTCGCGCCCCTGCCTCCCATTGGCTTAGTTAGGGGAGGGGGTCGCACCCCCTCCCCGGATTGGCTGCCGTTGGCCGCGGCGGTGGGCCGCAGAGGTATATAAAGAGGAGCGAGGGCGAGGGACTCGCACTTTGTCCTCACAGCGGCTGAGGGGAGAGGAGGGTTGGCTTGTTCTGCTTGAGGGTGGTGTTTGGCGTGTCCTAGGGGGTCTTGGTGGCCATGGGGCTTGGTGTTGGATGCCTTGAGGTGCTAAGATGGGGCTTGTGTGGATGGGTCTCGTCCGTGGGCAGAGTAGGACAGGGCCGTTGGGTTTGGGCCTTGCGCCAACTGCGTGAGGTGGTTCCCTCTGTGGAGGGCTCGAAGGAAAGGTCAAGGCCCCTGTGTGAGCTGCTGCAAGGAGAACCTGTGGTGTTTGCCCTTGCTCTGAGGGTGTTGGGCTTCGTGACAGTGGCAGTGGTCACTTCTGCCAAATACGCCCGTTCCTGTGGCCTGAGATACGGTTATAGCATGTGGCTGTTTGGTCTTGAGGACCTATTGCTACCTCAGTTTTGGTGTTGAGTTGGTGTCCTCGCCTGTGCCACGGCTGCCTTAAACTGTTAATGGCAGTGTGTTAAGTTAGAAAAATGAGGTCCTGGTGCTCTGTCTTAAAGACCTACCCACCCTAAAGAGACAGCGCACCTGTTCCAGGGTTACTTTTCTCTGCTGAAGACACTTCAAGCTATGCACAGTCACCTCCTACCCCTCCACTGCTCATTGCAGATCGTCGAGAGGGGTCTCACAGGGCTCTCTAGATCAGAGTTAAAAAAGTGGTTTAGGCTACTGAGCTCCATGGTCCTGAGAGTGAAATAAACAGTATTTGAGAAGCGCTTTTTTGGTATCTATGCACCAACCTGCCTAGTGTATTACTGATATGTTCGTGGCTCTTGCAGCCTTTAAAGAATGAACAAGCACAAAGCCCGGTGTCTGTAAAGATGCCTATCAATGTTTCTTTTTCAGAGTTTGAATGGGAATAAAGACTATATTGAACTTTAGCTTATATTTTTAATAATTGTTTTTTTCCCTTTCAATTGGCTAAGTTAGAAGATGAAATGCTAATGAATCATCAGCTGATTTTACAAGAGGCTTCTTTGCGTCTTTTGTGGAAATAAAATATTTGGCAGTCCCAAGCCTTCTAATGCCTTCTTTTCTAGGAAAAAAAAAAAAAAAAATGTAAGAGGCTGTATTTCTTTAGTCAGTCCTTAAATGGCAAATTTCTCTCCCAAATTGGGATGCTTTTTGGCACTTTGCTATGTGCATGCTTTTCTTGTGCATTAGGCATTTAAGACAGCTTTATTATCTTGGTTATAGGATGAGATATCGATGTAATTGTTGTTGTTATTAACTGATGGAATAATTGACAGTTTGTTTTTAGAGAGAAATGGGCACGTGGTGTCTTTTGCTCTATTCTGGCAGCCTTACTACTAACCTGCAAAGAAAATCCCTGGATGAGCTCTCTTATGGTAATTTGCTCTGCAGTCAGCAGCTACTTCGAGTGTGTTTCTGACCACCTGCAGCTGCTGTCAGCTGTGCAAATGGAATTTTAATTGACTTATAAGTGTAGCTAATTATGGGGGCTGTTTTAGTATTGTGAATTTTGTTTTGACTTAAACATGAGATTGGGTCTATTTGTCACTTTTATTTCATGTTAGTAAAACACAGGGGAATAGAAGTTTTGTTGCAGCCCTTAACTGGCATTGTAAGCTAAGTTCCCACCTGTTTTAATGTACAAATAGCCTAATTTGTTCTCTTTGGCCTGCAGTACTTCAGAGAATCAGCTATTCTGAAAGCGACAAGTTTGATTATCTCCTGTATTTTGTGGTAGAAACAGTTTCAGCTATTTACCTGATACTTCGTGAGAGAATAGTGTGCTCTCGCCTTGAGTGCTTGGGTGCTGCGCCTTCAAGAAAAGGAGCGTGACCCACGGTGGACAGAGGAGCAGAGTACTGGCCTTGGAGATCTAAGAGATCTCTTCCAGCTCATTAATGCTTTGATGGGTGTGCCATATGGATATAGATCAAATCATTATGCACAACTTGAGTAAGGAGTGAGTTTGTGTTTGGCTGAGCTTTTCTATTTAGCATACAACTAAATAAATCGAAACCGTTTTTCCTTTTGTGGAAATAATCTTTGCTGCCCCAGCCCTATGTATGAATTCCATTTCAAACTCACCACTAAAGCGTACTTATTGTGGTTATATATTACCTGATTATTAGGATTCAGCCAAAATGCACCAGAGCCAGGGTTCCTTGAAACAATATGTGCTTTTGATGGATGGGAATGCAGAGGAGGAGACGGCAGTCGTGACTCAGTCCTCAATGAGGTTAGAAACCTTCTTGCTGCAATGAAAGCGTGTTCTTGCCAAGGGATCTCAGGAAATGCACCGACTCTGCCTTCTAGGCAAGCTGGGGTAATTAACTTAAGTGTGGGATATAGCTTTTTGCAGACACATGTGATGTTCCTTTTGAGCATAATAAATCATTTTTGTATTAGAAGCTGGAGGAAGACCTGTAGTCGTAAAACCCCCTTTCGTAACAATCTTGCTGTCCTTGCACATGGTTGGCGGTGAAAAAGAGTGGTCAGTGAGCTCAGTACTTAAAGGATTAAGCTAATAGCCCCTGCTATTATTGCTGCAGGGAACCCCAATCTATATGCAAGCCTGTCTTACACTGGGGAGTAAATCACATTAGCTGTTTTATGCACCATTATTATAAAGTGGATTCTCATTTGAAATACTGCAGTGGCTTTATGGCTCCCTGAGCAGGGAGGTGGACTTTTCCTTTTGTCTGGCTTTAATATTCCTCCATTCTTCTCATCCCAGAGAAGGGACAAAAATGAATGCTTGGCAGCCACTTGGCCTGGGTGCTTTCTCAGCAGCTTGTCCTTAATTAGACTTGGAGAGGTTGCTGCAGAAGAAGTCCCCGGAGTTTTTGTCTATCTTGTGTAGTCCCAGCATAGAAAGACATGGTGATTCCTTAGTATCAGGTATGCCAAGAAAATATGGTTACCGATGATCTTTTTATTTTTTTTTTTTGTAGTGCTTTTCTCTGAATTTCAGAGCCGAGCTTTCCCTTGAAGCACTGTATGAATTCACAATATTCAACTCGTGTCAAAAACTCTTAAACGCCAAATGTGAAATAACAGTGACTTTGCTGTTATTGGAGGTCTTTCTCTTAAAGCAACATTTACTCCCATTCCTTAGGTGTTTGGGGTCATAGGTGCACCTAGGAGGTGACATGGCATGGGTGCTGTGGTGGCTGAGGGTGGGGTGTCTTCTGCGGAGGACAGCAAAGCTAATGAGGACATAGCTGCTGGATTAGAGGTGTTTTTCCCCTGAGCAGTGCTTTCTCATCCTCCGGAGCTGAATGCAGTGAATGGGGAAAGCTGCTGATTTAATAATGCAGCTTCAGAGATAACAACAAAACAACATGCTGCAGGAACAGGAGAGAGGGGTGTTAGAGAGTATCGCGGTGGTCAAAAGGAGTTTTCAAGTGAGATTTCCAAGAAGATGAAGAACTGTTCAGACAGTGACTCAAAGCCAGTTTCCAGGCACAAGGAGAAGCTTCGCCATTAATAAGATTTTTTTGGATTGGATGTAAAAGATAGGAACTAAAGAAGGCGGCATAGGTCTGTGACACCAGCAGGTCCCCTGAAGGTATTGAGAAAAGGAAAGTAAATGTGGATGGCATACTGAAACGTACCTGTTTGGTCTGGAAGAGGTGGCTGATTTACTTGCACTTACCTGATGAGGCAGACGGCTGAATATTATGGGCGCACGGACCTGCTGACCACACTCCAAATCGGATGTTTTCTAGTTGTGGTCAGCACCAGGTTGTTCCTGCGCTGATAAGCCTCGCCGGGAGATAAGCACAGCGGCACACTGGTGTCGTTTCCTAACTCTGAGTGTGCTTCTACCTGTGGAAAACCTGAGCACGTCATAGGGAGCTCAAGGGCAGCACCCCTGGGTGCTGTCTCAGATAAGGCTCCAGCAAACACAAGTCAGAATGAGCTTATCTTCCACGGCAGTAGATATTTTAAAGTAATGGGAGATAACGTGGGTTCTTGATTCGCATTGTATCTTACATCTTGATTCACACTATATATTTAGGGACACGCTGCGTCCTGCCACTGACGCACTGGAGTGATACTGGGTTATATTTATACCTATTACCATTTCAGCTTGTGTCATCACCCAGCATGGACTGGGTGAGGCATGCCTGCTATTTTGGGGAGGAAAATTCCGTCTTGACAATTACTGTAAATGGTTTAGTATCTCACGTTGGCATTGCTTCTCACTCCTGTGCGTGATGCTTGTCGGGTTGTACGCCAACATCTGGGTGGTGACTGAATTGCAGTCAACATATTGGGTGATAGGTCTCATAACGTGTGGGTTCCCCCCCTTGCCCCTTGGATGCTGCAGAACTTCCCATTGAGGTGCTTACCTCGGCGTTTAGCTTGTCTGAAAATGTCTGATGCGTGTGAGATGCGGGGAGGAAAATCAACAATTGCAAAGGATAATCCGTGGGCAAACAGTGCAGAGAGCAAGCAGAGACAAGCAGAGAGTGTTCCCTTGCTTGCCAGCTGTTCGGCCGTGCTTATGCCCAAAGTTTCACATTTATTTCTGTGAAAGAAAACAACGAAGCTTCCAGCTAGACCCTTTGAGAAAATAAGTATTTTCTTTACCTATATTTCCTGAACTGATCTTGCTAACAGGCTTAGTGTGGAGGCCGCATACCCTAATGTACTCATCACGATTCTTCTGCAGCTAATTTGGAAAAACACTGTGGCTCTGTGCTGAGCTGGACATCTGCTTCTTCCTTGTGCAGTGAGACATCTCTGCAGAGAGAAGACCACAGGGAAATCATTAAAGTCTCGAGGCACTGTGGCTGTCAGTTTACAGCTGTAATGGATATTGAGAGGGGGATTTAAAGAAGAAAATAAGATCATGCAGGATTAATGAGGGAGGGCTAGTGAGCAAAGTTATTTCGGTCTTTTCTGTCATCACTGTTAGAAAACTTACTGGGGTGTTTGTGTTTCCTGGCAGTTTTGTTGTCAGTGACTTTGGACCAGATCTTGCTTTCCAGCTCCTGACGTAACTGCAGGTCTTGTTTCACCACTGGCTTCTGTACCAGCTCTGTTTCGACGCTTGCTCCTGCCTCGGGCCCTCTATTGCCTGGCCTTGGGACCTCGTTGGGATGTGGCCTGTGTGCTCTTGCACTGCTTTCTCACTCAGCACATCTATGTTTCCAGGGAGACGTGCTTTTCTGTGTATTTTGGTGATGAAAGAAGTGATGAGAACTCATGGAGATCCAGTCTATGATAGGAATGCATACCAGAGAGGCAGATCCTAGGGTGTATTTTGAAGTACAGAAGTTGAAAGCATCAGCAAATTCTGCAGCTCCTAATACTGTCTGATTGTTATTGCTACACAATTGGCTGGGCTGAGCAGTATATTTTCCTCACTTCTGTGAGGAACAGCAATAACAGTATCATTTATAGAAACTGCACCACCGAGCCACTGAATTTGGCTCAGCTTGGCATTTTTCCTTGAGTTTGAGGTAAGTGCTAACCTTTAGAACCGTGGCAAAACTTGAAATTACTGTCTTCTGCCTTCCTTTCCAACTTTTTGGTATTATTATTTTGCAGATATGACTTAATGCCCAGTTTTGTCTGTTAAAGACCTCTCTGAACCCTCCGGTCTCCTTTCCACTCAAGTTGTAAGTTATTTGTGCCAAAATGAGTCTGCAGAAATGAGTCAGCATCTTCCTTCAGACCTTCAGTATCTGCTTGTTGGGAAGGTCAGCCAAAAATTCCGCTACTTGTTGTGCCATGTGGAATTAGCCAGAACCGTGCCTTTCTTGATTCAATCACTGGTTAATTTAATTACATTCTTATTAACAGGATAATTAAAAAACCTGAACCACCCAAATTTGAAACCTCTAGCATTTTTATTTTTATAAGAAATTCAGTAATTGATTAAACTACTGGCTGTTGTTAGTGCAATTACCTGAATTGGCTCTTGATTAATAATGACAGTCAAGAGCAAGCTGTTTGGGACAAACCAGCCAAATAATGTCAACAAGATAGGCGTTTAATTTTACGTAAAAGTTGTTGTTCAGATTCTGTTACTGACATAAATGCTACCACGTTTCACACAGGCAGTTCTAGACGTCTCGGTGACCGTATAGCTGATAAAATGAGCAATGGAGTTCTGTGAAAGTGGTAGGATTAGGTATGAGAAAAATCCCAGAATTAATCCTTAGCAGTGTAGCAGGTAGCTTTGAGATAGCAGGATGAAAGATGTTACGTAAGGGTGGATGATATTTATTTATATATCAGAGCTTGTGTGTGCTGTAATAGATAAATAAATAATATTTATTTGTAAATTACCTTGGCTTTCAACACTTGGGGAGTGAGGCTGGTGTTTATCAGTCCCGATTGTTTGCTGCAGTTCATTTTTTTTGTACTAATGAGATCCTCTAGCTAACGTGTTGCACACAGGTACATGTATTTTTTGATTCCTTTTCTCCTCAGGGCTTTTTGCATGTTTTGTATCAAGTAATGTTAATGGAGATTGGATTTCTGTTCCTTTATTCCCATAACCTAACCGTGTATGGGTCTAATAGGAAATTGGAACCGCTCCTCTGTCTCTGCTTGTGTGGGGGACCACGTGGCACCCGTGTACTGTGCTGCTCGGTATAAGACAGCAAACGTTAGGCTCTAGTCACCAACGATGGCATGACTTACTGTCTAGCGATACCCAAAAATACCTTTCCCACAGTTTTTCTTTGTATATGTGGAAGTAATATGATTTTTTTTTTTTCCCCCCATCACGCAGTTCTGTGACGTTAGCCTGCGACTTTTCTGTAGTACTGATTTATATGTTCTGGCCACGACCGGTGGTACAGCGAGTGCTCAGGTCTGCAAAGCTTATTTGTTGCTGGCAAAACTGGCAGAAGGCAGAAAGTGCCTGCCGCTTTATTTTTTTTCTTCCTTATCTTGGTTTTTTTTTTTTTTTTTTTTTTTTTTTAGTTTGTCAATGACAAGCTAACTGCTAGCATTTATAGGAATAAATTATGACTAAAATAATTTGCATTTAAAATGCAAATGAATGAAAGCGTCGGCAAGGAGCCTTCTGCTTTCTTCCTGGTGCACAGACGGGGTACTGGCGTTGGATCAGCCCAGCGAGGCACTCAGTATAAAATAAAGTTAATTGGACTAGCTGAAAAATGAAATGGGCTCAGCCTCATGCTAATTCCTGGGCCTGTGATTTAATACGACATTAGAAACGAAGGACTGAGAAGGTGCTGAACCACTGACTAAGCCAATCACCGGTGCTGTAAATTATGCTTCTGAGATTCCCAATGGCAGATTGAGAGGCCCCAGTAAAATTGCGAGAGGTGAATAAAATCTAGCTTGGAAGCAATTTGTCAGGATCTTCGGGCTCACATGAATTAGAGTTTAAGTTTCAGTGTTCTTTTTCTGAAAGTTGTCTATTGTAACGCTGCCTGAATACCAACTGGGACTGCGGTTTTGTACAAGGTGAAAGCTGCCTGTAGATGTAAAGCCAGTTGGTTCTCGAACAAAAGCTCCTTCAGAAGAACTGAGAAACTGGTGATGCATCTCTGAACATAGTGTTTTCTTGTTGGAAGCTTAAGGTCAATCTTCTGCATCGTTTATTGATTTCTGGGCCTGTAGATACCAGAAGGATAATGGGAAGAATATTTTGTGGACTGCCTGTGGCCAAGGAAAGAAGTGCAGGAGGAATTAATTATAATCTTTCAGTGCAAATGTAGCAATGGTTGACTTGTTTCCTCCTTAATAGGACACGGAAAGTATTATACAGCAGAACTTGAGCATGGTAAATGAGAATGCACATGTTCATAAAGCCAAACCTGCTTTACTCTGGCAGTGTGTTCCTGTAGAGTAATAGCTGATGATAATACCTCATAGCTCCATTCTGTGTGTCACAGTTGTTTTAATAGCTCCATCTCTCTTCTTTTTTTTTTTTTTTTTGTTTCTTTATAGCCATGTTACTGAAGATCACCTTGTCTGCTGGAACTGCTGGAGGTAGCAGCACAGTGAACAGATGAATCTATTCAGCCAGACATTCCTCCAGTAGATCTCTCTCCTTATGGAGCACCACGGCAGGGAGGAGATGGACTCAAAAGAGGAAAGTCCTCAGGTGTGGGCTGACTCTGCTGAGCAGGAACAGAATACTGCTCAGGTGACTAGTGCCTTCCAGAGCTCTCGGTTTCTGCTCAGACTGACTTGGGCTTGGTGTGGAGGCTTAGCAAGCAGGTGTTCCCTTTCGACCCTTTCTTAGAGTCTGGAAACTCAGTTTTCGTTTGAGGAGATGTACAAACATGTCTGGTGATTTCGGATTAAAGCTTCAGACAGTGAGCTGTACAAACAGCAGCAGTGAATACACAGACATCTGAAATGACCTAAACGAAACCAGCCAGTGGCTGTAGAAGTTTCAGTGTCCAAATATATGTATAGCCGTGTGGGAAAGGGAAAGGGTATTCAGATTAATGAATATTAACAAAATCTGTGGTCTGTGGCAGCCCATTTTGATGGCATCAGTCAAATCAGTTGGATCTGTGGGTGGACCTTAGGGGAAGTAATATGAATAATTTTTTCCAGACAGACATCTGGGTAGTGGGGAAGGGAGAAATGTTAATTGTTAGTGACTAATACAGTCAGAATCTGATGTATGCAGCTAGTCCCTCTGTCTCTGAGACAATGCAGCTGAGAATTTCTAGAAGACTAAATTGATTTACTTTTGAATATGTTCTAAAGAGGATGCTGCATGTCATTTGACCCACAAGCTGAGAAATTCTGACTCCTGGTAATTTCCATCTTTGAAATGTGAAAATAAAGGCAGTTTTCAATGACCTGTGCTTCATTACCTATCCAGTGGGATAACCCTCCTGTTGTTTGCTCATGGCAGTTATAAGGCTCAATTAGTATTTGCAGAGTACTCTCCAAATGTGAAACACTGCATGAATCCTTACTGTAGTGTTTGCATGAGGATTTATTGTACAGAATGGGCACTTGGCATCCATGGGGGAGTACCAGGTGTCTTCTGAAACATAAGCTAAAAGGTGAAACAAGGTAAATAATATATGTAACTGTTTATATGAAAACATGGTATATGAATATGGATACTAAAACTAGGTTTCCTGCTAACTGTCCTATTTTTCCCATGCGCTGAAAATGGTTTTCAGCATGTAAAGGGTGTCAAAAGATGAACGCGTTCCTGTTGCCACTGGAATTAAGTATTCTGACATGTTTAAGGTACGGCAGTGATCATCGCTTATGATCATAATGTTCTGTCAAAATCAACTTGTTTGGATTTAAACTGCTGCCCTAGATATAACTTGTTCCAGTAGTCCTTGGAATTGTTGCTTAATGTTTTCAGCTATATGGTTCCCTATTTAAATACTTGAATTTTGTACTGATACTGCATGTATGTACTAGAGAGAAGCAATCTAGCATATACTATTGCTTCCTCATGATAGGTGCAATACTATTACTTGAAGCAGTATCAAAGTTATTAGGTTCTGTTAGCCATTCATCGAACAGACAGAATTACCTCCAACTGCAGAACTAGCTGAATGAAGTAATTATCATAAATCCAGAAAAGAATATGAGAATAAAGGGGAAACGATATACCAATAAATCCCATAGATACACTAGCTTATATCTGAGCTTTCTTTCTGTTATGAATTTTCAAAGGATGATCGGAGAACTAAGTATTAGAAGGTGCCCTTTATACCAGTTCGGTCTTGAGTTAAAATGCAGAGTAAAACCAGAAACCACTGGTAGTTCTTACATGCAGATTTCTATGCTGCTGGCACAATTCAGATGTGATTTTAAACGTGTGTTTTCAAAACAATTGGATAGGTAGTTGGAACACAGCGTATTCTCTGCTTTCTGAGGCACCTCCACAACCAGTGAGTTTTGTGTTGTTTCCCATTGGCGCGTGACCGCAGAAGTTTCAGTACAGGATCTGTTATTTTCTTCCAGGTGCACTTTGTCCCCGAGGGGGGGACAGTGGCACAGATTGTGTACAGTGATGAGCAGGACCGTCCCTCGCAGCAGGTGGTCTACACGGCGGATGGCACCTCCTACACCTCCGTGGACACCTCGGAGCACACGCTCGTTTACATCCATCCCGTGGAAGCTACGCAGGCATGTGTGGTTCTGAGCCCGCCCCGTTTTGGCACCTAGAAAACAAAGCCATCTTGTTTGAGATGAAAGCCAGTTACCAGCCAAGTGACATGACTGGAAAATAACAGGCAGTTGCTCTTAACACTTCTATCTGGCCATTGCTGAATGGGGACTTCATGCTGCTCATTTGTCTGATGTGCAAATGTGGTAATCGAAGGATGCTGAGGCTATGAATTATGAAATGCTGGTTATTTCACTGAAGGTGGATGAGATTATAATTAAATCAAAGGTGTTTTCCAAAACACAGATAATCTCCGCAGAAATTCTGCCTCTGTTGTATTCAGTAAAAAGCTGAGAGCAATCTAAGTGTTTTGTGGAAGAGTCCTTGTTTTGCATAGTACAGTTCTCGTAATTGATAGTTACAATAACAGTCATGTCTCCTTGCAGAGGATCTTTGTGTATTCAATCTAATTTTGTAGTCTCTCTTCAGAGAAGCTGCTGATTTTATAGACCTAGGTTCTTTTTCTTCTTCATAATTATATCCAATAGCTTTTATTCTCTGACAGCATGTGTTTATATGGGGTTAATATAGTATGCATCTGTACCTCGGTGTGGACAGATAAAAAAAAAGAGGAACAGGCACGCTTTGTTGGGAATGTTTTATACTGTCTTTGCTGACAGGACAGATTAGCCATGCTACAGAGTACGAGTACTTGACACCCGCAGCAACGCTGGCACGGCCTCGTGTGACGTGGTCTCTCTCTTAGACGCTATAGAAAAACAATTCCTGTGTGGTGGGATGTTTTAAGAGGATAAGATATTTTGAGAGGATATCTCCCAGGAAGTTACTGACCAAGTAACTCCAAAACTCTGAATACTATCTTTTTTTTTAAAAAAAAGAGGTGTAGTATTAAGACACTTTCATGCAACCGAGATGAAATTATCAGAGTGCTAGTGGAATTTGTATCATACCATGCTTTATTTTATTGGGGCCAGACTGCTACAAACTTAAATATTTCAGGTTTTGGTGAAGTAAGCAAGCCTGACCTCAGTCAAAACTTAGTTTTTATCCGAGTCTTGCTTTTCCAAAGGGGGAGGCCCTCCCGTCAGGGTTGTTCTCGCAGGGTACTGTAAGAGTTCTGGAGTTGGCACATCATCTATGAAATCAAAAACCCAACATCCTTGCTATTTCACATTTATGTGTAGGGTATGCCTGATATCTGTATGCTTTCTTTTGAGGAACTCTCTTGTGAATTTACAGAAAGATCAAGTTAATAGTCATCTTCTGTCCTACTCTCAAGTATTACTTGGCTTTCTTACAGGTATTGAATTTCATTCTGTAGAATTTATTAAAACAGCAATTGACAAAGTAATTTCTGTATTAAAAACAAAATAAAAAAATCCAGTGAAGCACTTTAGGTATACAGATAAAAAGTGCCACATAAATACGATAGCATTTTATGGAGCACTACCTGTTTTTAGTTTCATCTCTATGCGTGTACGTTCACATGGGTAAATTGAAGTAGTCTGCTGTGGTAATAGGCACGTTAGAAGTTAGAAAAGGACCCAAGGTGGATCACTTCTTGGTGGCAGGGTAATTTTTGTGAGTTGGGAGTAAACAACCCCAAGGCTGTTTTGATAAGCCTTTTTCACTTTGTCTAGACTCTGTTTACAGATCCGTCCCAAGTGGCTTACGTCCAACAGGATGCCACCACCCAGCAGGTAAGAAAGAGACATTATTTTCCTTGGGCCTGAAACTGTAAGGAAACTGTTACCAAAGGTAAAGGGACATTGTTGTGGTGCTGGAGCTTAATAAATTATCTCTGAATTTGTCAAATAGCGATCTTCAGTCATGCACTGTCATCCCAGGGATCAAGGTCAAAAAGCTTACGATAACAAGCCACTGTTATCTTGGCTAGCTTGTGCATGAATGTCAATAAAAGCTGAGACAGTTTGAGTTTATTCTTTTTAATTCATGTTCTACAAAAATACTAATATACTACCCCTGATATAATGAAAAATCTTTCAACAGTGTCCCTTTAAATCAGCAAGCTGATGGGGCTAACTTTATTTTAATGGGTCATTCTGGAAAGACTGGGTTTGTAGTTGTCCTCGTACAGATTCTGATCCAAATGCCTTTATGTCCATAAAAGGCTCTCAAGGGATACAAACTTAGGATCAAATTCTAGGCTTACTAGAAACGTCATAGGAAATTTATTGTAAAACCTGAAGAAGTTCAGTTACTGGCTCCCTTAGCTTATCAGGGCATCCCAGGTCTGATGTGCTTGCCAGTTTGCAAGTGGGCTAGGAACAAAGTTGGAAGCTTGTGTTCACAAAGTTTTGATGACTTTTCTTTTTTTCATTAGTCATGGATGGGAAGGTTTTGTTGTTAACTTTTTCTGGAGTCTTTGGGGACTGCATTGTGGTAATCAGCTACAGATGCTTTCAGATCTAGCTCTCTAGTTCAAATTCTCCACTTGTCCTAGAGACTTAAAATCATTACTGCTTGGTAAGTCTTTAATAGCATGTGTGAATGGACGTGTTAGATCTGAATCATTACTGATGCCATCATTAAAATGCCTATTTCTTGACAGTCTTGGGACAGAGTGAAGGGTTGAATGTGCAGTGAAAATAAATTTTCTTCTTGCTAAAAGTGGACCACTTAAACTGTTGAGGCACAGGCAGGAAACAATATGACTGACACAGTAGAAGTGGTACCTGTTTTATTCCAGTTCACTGGAAGTATTTGGAATGTCATTCTGGAATTTTTTGCCACATCAGTTTCCTTGCATTGAGAAAGCAAAAAATTCTATTGAATTGTCTTAAAGCTCATGTAACAAATAAATATATGATCTAATTAAAAATAGAGATCACTTATATGTGCAGTGCAAATGACACTGACATCTGAGGTGATGTGCTTTTACTAGCCCATGTTGAGTTTCAGGGGCATGAGCACTTGTCCATGTGTCCTCAGGCTGTCCTTCTTTCCAACACTGGTGGTCCCAGTAGAGATGTTTATTTGCTTGTGAACGGTTATTCCTTCACTGTGGCAGCTCCTGCCTTTGCAGGTGTTTTTACATCAGCATTTCATGTGAGACATCCCTGAACTGACAACAAATGTTAAAATAATAATCAAGGCTCCTCTTGTCTTTCAAAGGAAACTTTATTTTGAAAAGAAATGGAAAGGTTTTTTAAAATAATGCCTATATTCCTTGCAGTGTCTGACGTGGAAGTAAAAGTAAGGATATGTTATGTTTGAAGTGTGATTAGTAGTAGTAAATGCTAATATGTGGTACAAATAGACACAAGCTTGTGTGAACCTCTCATTGCTGGCAGACCTGGAGGTGTGCCATTGAATAATGATGCCTTTTCTGTTGCCACTTGGCATCAGAAATGTCAATACCAGACAGCTCGGTTCAGCTGTTGTGTTGGCAGTTTCCTGCTCACTGTCACATGGTCCCCTGAAGTCTTTTTGCTGTAGTTTTTAAGCAGTTTCATAAATTACTCTTAATATCTCTTTAAACAAAAATACTAGATTTCAAGTTTCGAGACTATCTGCTTACGTTAGGGATTTTCTCGTCTGCTCCTTCACTGTTGGCACAATTAGCTGTTCTCAGATTTATCTGATATTTTTTTAGCGCTCTGAGGAGCAGGGGCTTAATTTTAGTATAAAAGCTGCTTAACAGTCAGAGGCACAAACTAAAGCCACATGATGTCAACTGTAGAGAAGGATGAAAAGTCATGTGGGATAACAGTGCAAATTCGTGTACGGAAGCAGGAAACAAAAGACAGGAAAGGTGATTCCTAGGATCTTAATTCTGCCTTGTTGCTGAATGGATGGGAGCAGTATGGTAATATGCATTAATTTCCTTGTTACTACACAAAAACATTAGTATGAAAACAACCAAAAATGTATAGTGTGACCAAATGATGTAAAGAAAAAATAAGTTGGAATCCTCTCATTTGAGTGCTTGATCTTCCGATGAGGTGAATACACCATCTTGTTTTTATCTTGGTTTCCTTCAGAAAAGGAAAGATATGCGAAAAGAGGGGATGCTTCTTTTTCTTCTTTACCTTTTCCCTCTAACAAAAAAAAAAAAAAGTAAATTTGAGCATAGAAGAGAAAAAGACACCAAATCACTGATTTTACCAAGAGCTAAAGAGCTTCCCATATCTTTTTTTTAGTGCAGTTTGAAACTAGGCTGAAGAGGACCTTCATTTAAAGCCAAGAGTGGGAGATAGATTTTGCAACTTTTGCATTTCCTAGATTGAGTTTTGAAGCTTTTCCCTTTGTCCCCAGATCTGCAGGTTTTGTCCAAGTCCATCATCCATTAAAAAAAAAGAAAAAAAAAATTAAGATACATCAATTTTTGTCCTAGTGTAGGACTCCGGGGAGCTTTGCATGCAGGGCACTGCCCATATGTGACTGATGGAAATGACGCAGTGCTAAAATGAGTGCCTATAATTTTAGGTAACTGTGCTCTTGCCTGCTGCTGCTCAGAGCATGAATCCCACCAACCTGTCCGTGCTCGGCAACGTTGCCGAATCCCCCCAGCAAATGGGTCTGGAGCAGGGTCCACAAGCAGATAGAGTAAGTTGCCAGGCACCCTTTTCTTTTAAATGTCCGAGTACGCTGGTTTCATTGCTCCATTGTCTCAGGTGATGAAACGCATCTGAGTGATGCGAGAAAGCTGTAGCACAGATCTGTACTGTCTTTCATAGTCTTACCATGGAACGTGTGGGTTTTTTTTTTAGGAGAGATCGTGTATTTAATATACAGAGGAACCTGTTCTGCAGATTGTTCTGTGTTGAGCAGCCACCTTAAAATCCTCTTCGCAGCTTTGAAAAGCAAAGTTAATAGAAGGTGTAATGCTGACTGTCATGTAGGACCAACATCCACTGGGTCTCTCTGTCAGTCTTTTAAGACAGCTTTACTGTGTGTAGTATTTCTTGTTCTCTACCTGAGAAACCTGTGTGGGTGATGGAATATTCCGTGCAGTGCACTTCAATTGGGTTTTGATTTTTTTTTTTTTTTTTTTTTGTAGGGAGAGAAAGGGATAAACTTTAAAATTAGTGAAAGAATACTATGTCCTCAACTGTCCTCCATGTCCCATAGTTTATATCTGGTCCCTGTGTTATCTCATTCCTTATTGATCTCTATGTGTGTGCTCTGGGGATTGTGTTTGATTGTATGATAGGAGAGAAAAGATTGTGTGCCAAAGCGCAGGATCCTCTCGCTTGTATAGAAGTTGTTAAAATACAGCCTTAGGCTCTAGATAATTTCCACAGAGCCTGGACTTTGTTTCAGACCTTCTGTGAGGGTCCAGAACTTCTCAGATATAGTTTTCTTTTCCCAAGAAGTCAGTCCTTGGCAGGGTAAAGTTAAGTAGTGACCCAGATCTGTCCTGAGTGAGACTGTCAGCAGCAGCGATGCAAAACATCCCTCAGCAATTGCTTATCATGTTTCTTCACTTCCCCTTGCCCTTCTTTCCGTTGCCAAAGGAAGCAGAAAGGGTAGACTAGCAAGAACCGTCATTGCTCATCTTTGTAAAGAGTGTTTTTCTTCCTGAATCCATTTTGATTGTTTGTGAATTCTTTCCTCAGGCGTCTTTACCGGTGCATAACCAAGTGTTACCTCCTATGGAGGCAGTGGATGGTTCTGACCCTTTAGCACCTCTGCAGAATCAAATAGAAAGGATGGAAACAAAAGAGGAAGATGATGAGGATGAAGATGAGGATGAAGATGGGGAAGACACTGACATGGATGAATGGGATCCAGATCCACCTCGACCCTTTGATCCCAATGATTTGTGTAAGCATATGAAGTACCATCTAGCGTATTAGCTGTCCTGCTCTTTTTTTTCTTTCCCCTCAGTCAGTCTTCTAATAAATAGAGCCAAAAATCATTCAGATTTTAGCAGTAATAAGTAAACCCCTTTATAGCCAGAAAAGCAGACTGATACTGAGCTGCCTTACTGAAAAGACAAGGTTCTGTCATAGGTGGAGTCTCTGATCTGCTTTGCTTTATATTTTGCAGGAGGCTGCCCTCTCTACTGTTTTAAAATGTAGACAGACTATTGGAATAAATGTTCCCACAGCTGAGCCAGAGGTGTTTAGAAAGAGATAAGGCTGTCTCTTCTGAGCTGGTGCGTGAGTGTCTGCCTGACAGTCTTGTCCTCTCTGACTTTGTGTTGTAGGGTGTGAAGAGTGTAATAACGCGCATCCCTCTGTGTGTCCAAAACACGGACCTTTGCATCCAATCCCAAACCGGCCTGTGCTGACCAGGGCGAGAGCCAGCCTCCCCTTGGTGCTCTACATAGACAGGTTTTTGGGAGGTGTGTTCTCCAAAAGGCGTATCCCAAAACGCACACAGTTTGGACCTGTGGAAGGACCCCTGGTTAGACAAACGGAACTCAAAGACTGCTATATCCATTTGAAGGTAAGGGGGGTGTGCAAGAGAAGAGGGATCAGTTTGTGCTTAAGCTTTGATTTTTATGAGTTTGCTGCTCTGCCTTGATCAGTTACTTCACTGGAGATGTTATTACTTCCATCTCTGAATGTAACTCAGAAATACCTGGATTGCTTTGGCTTGAAATCTACTCTCTTATTCAAGGAGACGCAATAATCGTGGTGAATACTCTGGCATTATGGGTGCTATGATGTATGGGACTCATAACGTGGAATGCTGTGAATCACTCTCACATGGGCTGAAGCAGCATCTGGACATAAAAATAGCAGCCCCATCTGAGGATGTTTTGCAGCCATTATTTTGTATCATTCTGTAACATAAGTTAAAAATACTTTTCTTCCCCTTTCTCTCTTCTCCCCCACAAGATGTAGGAGAGAGGAGAGATTTTTCTCCCCTTCCTCGTGCCAAGTCGTTGGCGTGGGGTGTAATGGATCTCACTGACTTTTATCCATTTATTTACTGGTTTCATTTTGGTAATTAGTCCTTTGTTTGCTGGAGATTAGGTCCACAGTTCTAGGAGCACTGGCCTCCGATGGTCAGTGTCTGACAGGGAAGTTGTGACCACAGGCAAATTCAGTAACCCAACAGAAGTTCAGCTAAAGAAGCGCTGCTTCCAGCTTGAGGCAGTGTCATGAGTCAAAGGAAAGAAGTGGGTCTGCCACTTCGAAACATCTGACAGCTGGTGCTGCATAGCCAACTGAAGCTACAGCTTCTTCCTGGTTTATAGCTGCACATCAGGTACTGTGCCTGACCGTTTTAATGAATGCTTCTTGCTCTTGAAAGCCATGGAAGGGTCCATTGTGTCTCCCTAGTTAAATCTGTCTGAAGTATTTTTCTAAGAGCTGCCTGTTTCTGGAGCTCTGTTAGCAAAGAGAGAAAATTAGCGATGCCTTCAGTGCCTTCCAAATGTAAAAGTTGCAGGGTAGTTGTGTTGGGTTTTGTTGTCATGTGGGTTTTTTTGTGTTTTTTTTGTTGTTGTTTTTTTGTTTTGTTGGTTTTTTGTTGGTTGTTTTTTGGTTTGGTTTTTTTGTTGTTTTTTTTTTTTTTCAGAAACTCACATTCTTTTGAACCTGCTGCCAGGCAGTTAGTCACATGTAATTGGATTTTGCTACAGGTTTCTCTTGATAAGGGTGACAGAAAAGACAGAGATTTGCAAGAGGACCTGTGGTTTGAACTTTCTAGCGAGGCTCTTTGTAACTGGATGATGTTTGTGCGTCCAGCTCAAAACCATCTGGAGCAGAACCTGGTAGCGTATCAGTACGGCCACCATATTTATTACACAACCATTAAGAACGTGGAGCCCAAGCAGGAACTCAAGGTATGGCATTGCTCGTGTTTTGTGACTTGCTTTTTTGCTGATGAAATAAAATCTTACAGTTGCTAACCAGTAAGTGTGTCTCCAAGTGCCAGAAAGGATTGCTGTAAATAGTTTTAGGGCTTTTTCTCCGATAAAGGATACGATGGCCTGAATCAAATGTCACTGAAGTCAGTGAGTGGTTTGCCACTGACTCAACGTATTTGAAACGAGCTTTGGCTCAGGTATAAAATGAGCCTGTTTAAAATTGGAGTATGTAAATGATTTGTCTGTCACTGTCATGCTTTACACTGCATTTATTTTGCTGATGCAATCTAATTTTTATTGCAGCAGTCTTATTCTTTTTAGTTCTGGATGCCCTTTCCAGTTAGTCCTGTGTGCCCTTGACTTGTTTTCTGGTGCCTTAAGTGTGAATATGGTCTCTCACTTTACCTGGCTTTCCTGGAACTTTTGAAACTTTGCATGTGGAAAATGATAAAGGATATTATGACTTCCCTGTGAGTTACTTTTTGTTCCCTCTAAAACTGTATTGATTATTTTGAGCTTAAAGCCGCGTGGCTGGCTGAGTTGGCCTTCATTTTCAACATCTTTTGGGTAACTGGGGGTAACCAAAAAACTTTGATATCAGGAAATTGGTTTTTGTTCTTCAGATCTTTCCTTGCATATAAATTTCAACAATTTAACAAAACAAACAAACAAGTTTTTAAACACACTTGGCTAAACCAGGGCAAAAGTCTGCATAGACACTTGTTGCTGATTTTTAAGAGTAGGATTCTTTTTGGTTTCTCTCAAATCAGTTCTTCATTTGAGTAAGCTGAATCACTAGAAACCATGTTAATCCATGTTAAGTGTATCCAAATATCATTTTCTCAACAGTTTTTAAATCAATTCAAAATCAGACGTTAATGAAATCTGTACAGACCTGCCTGTAGAAGCACCATTTTTCTTGCTTTGTGTGTTAGTAGTGTCTTTTGGGGTAAAAATGGTTTGATAATTGAAAGCGAATTACCCAGGCTCTGTAATGCGTTTTGCTCCCCAAGTGGATGTAGGGCATTCATAAAAATGTTGTCCAAAGATTGAACTAGGAGGATCAGTCAGTTAAAGTTGAGAGCTTCATATTGCATGACAGGTGAGTAGTCTAGGAGCTCCAGGCTTTCTTCTTTGTCTAGCTAGTGAGATTCCCGCAAAGTAACGCGTACCTGCTAGTGAATCTTTGAAGGAGTCAGAAATGCCATTCACTGCTGCTGTGAAAACACCTGCGGCATGCTACAAGTTTAAACTTGCCCAGACTTTTTGTCGTGGTTTGGGCCTGGTTGGCAGCCAACCACAACGCAGCAGCTCTCTCTCCCTTCCCCTCCAGCAATGAGAAGGGACAGAGAGCCAGGCTTGGGGTCTGAGATAGGACTGGGATGGGGAAAAATCCCCCTTTTATGATCATGAGCAAAAGGCAGACTCGTTAGGGGAAGGAAAAAAAAGAACATACATTTATTACAGACACTAACAACACATAACAGAGTAGGACAGTGAGAAGCACTGCCACATCTTGAGAACACCTTCCCCCCACCCCTCCCTTCTTCCCGGGCTCAGCTCTGCTCCCGATATCTCTACCTCCTCCCCCAGTGGCGCAGGGGCAGGGAATGGGGGGGTGCAGTCAGCGCTGCCACTTCCTTTATCTTTGGTGAGGGGAGTGTCTGGAACTTGTTCCCCCTGCTCCGTCACGGGTCCCCCTCTCACAGGAGACAGTCCTCCACAAACTTTCTCCGACATGAATTCCTCCCACGGGCCGCAGCGTTCCCCACACTGCTCCATCATGGGTCACTAACTTTCTCCGACTGGATTCCCTCCCACGGCTGCAGCCCTTCCCGAGCTGCTCCGGCGTGGGACTCCCCCGCATGCTGCAATCCTCCCAGCACTGAATTACAGCAGCGGGGCTGCCTTTTCCCATGAGACCCCGGCCTTCTTCGGGCACAGCACCTTGATCATCTGAGCAGGAGCCACAGGCCATAAATCAATGTCTGCTCCACCATAGATCTTCATGGGTGGCAGGGGGGGCCGCCCTGCCGTCTCCCCACAGGATACAGGGGGGTCTCTCCTCCGGCACACCTCCCCCCTCCTTTCTTCCTCCGTTCCTCCACTGACCTTGGTGTTCATGCAGCTGCAGCAACTCCTCCTCACAAGTCCGACTGCCCGTCACCACGTCCCTTCTTAAATACGTTATCGCAGAGGCGCAGCTGATGGGCTCAATTTCCCAAACAGAAGTGGAGCTGACTTGGAGCTGGGGGAGCTTTGAGAAGCTTCTCACAGGGGGCTGCCCTGATAGCCCCCTCCCCTGCCACCAAAAAACTCCACCACTCACTCAACCCAGGACAGTTTTCATGTCAAAAATCTGTTCATGCCTTGTTAAAGAAATCTCTTCTAAAACTGAACCTTCTTAATCAAACAGTAAGATAAACTGAGAAGTGATGCAAGAATTCTTAGCTAAATGTGAGCATCTGATTTTTGTCTTTCTGCCTCCTGTGGTTCTCTCTGCTGAAGGCTTCCTGAATCCCTTACGTAATGAAAGTGGGTCCAACATTGCTGCAGCCTGGCAGATCTTTGTTTTGGGAAGCAGGACCATATTGCTCCAATCCTTCGGAAGTTCAGAAACATTTACAATGGGTCTCTGTGGACGGTGCTGCCTGTTGTCTATATAAAGAGAGCAGGAAAGAAATGGAAAGTCCCCTGAATTAACTACTTTTCCATTCCTCTTGGTACAACCAGTAACAGGACTCTGCTGACATCCATCCTTTACAATCATAGTCAGGTCTAAAGAGATTAATTTTACTTCCTTTAGAGCTACTGGTAGCCATGTGAGATTAACATTCATATTAGGAGGCTATACCTTAAAATTAAATGGATATGCTTTCTGAGCAAAGCTCTTTTATTTCTCAGTGGGGGCATATTGATCTCAACAGGCTTTATTATTGAGGATGAAAGGAGCAATAAGAGTTAGTGGTTGAGGCAAGTGAAGTAAATGTATTGCTTAAAAACCATTTTCAAATTAATTCCCTTTAGTTTTGGTTCCATCTAAGTGTTCTGTTTTCTTGTATTTCTCCTGCAGGTGTGGTACGCTGCCTCTTATGCAGAGTTTGTGAACCAGAAGATCCATGACATATCTGAGGAGGAAAGGAAGGGTAATTTGGGCTCTTCTCTGTTTTTTCTGTGTAGTGGTAGCTGGGTGTTATGCTCCTTAGTTTCAAGTACGTGGCCTGTATAGTGTTCCCAAATTTCTGCTAAGTTAAAAATTAGGCCAGATCTAGATTGTATTATTGGGACTTATTTCTACTAACTCTTCTCATGCTAGAGATTATTACAGTAATGTATCCTTTTGCCTCAGTTTCTGGGAAGCATTATGTTGCTGCTGGGAAGATGTATGTTTCTGTATGTGATGTTTAATGTTGAGTCTGTGTCATAAACTGATGTGCTACTGCTTCAGATTGAGAAATTTCTCTTGACCTCCCCTAACTCATGCCAGAGGCATAGTCCTATAGGTGCTCTGCCATAGAAAGGTAAATTTCAAAAACTCCCTGAATTTTAGGCCATGATTACAGTCCATGTGAATTGTCCCCAGTGACCTTCTTGTCTTTCTGTGATGAGCTGTAGTCATGCCACAGTGCAGAGGGGATAAAAGCAAAGCTAAATGGAGCAGTGCTGGGTGTTCTGCAGTCTGCCTAACCTTCAGGGGAGATATATGACCCACAGAGGACAGAAAGGCTTGGGAGAAAAAAGTGAGGTGTTTAATTGGTGGTGACTGAAATGCTGTTATTGACATTTCCAACCGAACGTAGTTCTCAGAGAGCAAGAGAAGAACTGGCCGTGTTACGAGTGCAATCGTCGTTTCATGAGCTCAGAGCAACTCCAGCAGCACCTCAACTCCCATGACGAGAAGCTGGACTTCTTCAGCAGGTACTGAAAGCTTTAGCCTTGTCTGTTTATCGCTATGGTGCTTCCCCAGACTCGCAGAAAGGAGGAGGGTCTTTGCCCTAAAGATCTTACTGACCAATTTGGGGACCCCCAAGAGAACAGCTCAGCACCATAAGGTAAGAATATGGCACCAGGCAGCTGACTGGCATAAGGGACTTTGCGGAAGGAATAGCTTGAGGGAAATAAATACCCCATTAAAACTGGTGAGATTTTTTGTTTTGTTTGCTCTAGGTTTTTTGCCAGTGAGTTAAACTGCAATATTTCAGTACCACAATATTGAAATACTGATGCTGCTCAGATGTGTGCAGATACAGAGCTTGGAGAACAAGACTTCTAGTGGTTTGGCTCCTCGTTGGGCTGGCAAGATAGTTTATCCTGGCCTATTAAAAGCTGAATCTACAAACATCCATCAGAGCGCGGGAGTCATTGGTGTCTTTTTCCTGAAACTTAGCAAGTTGGCTGCATTTTGTTTTTTGACACAGAAAATTGTTCCTTTCAGTTTACTGCCTCACATCAATGGCAAAGTGCCTTTCTGGGGAGGGATGCTATGGTTTCAGGTTTTAAATTGGTTTCCTCGTGCACTTGTTCCATCTAGCTGAAAATGCTTTCCAGCGCACTCTGCACTGGGCTGTTGGAGAGTTGCCGTGGCAGAGGGCATGCTAGAAGCTAGTAGTCCTCTTGGTCCCACGATTACTGAAATAAATTTTAATGTGTTCTGGATTTTGACTTCTCGTAGAGCACAGAATAAATAGATACCACCTGGTACCCTGTTTTTTTGCTGCTAGAATTTCTTCAGGTTTTATTATTTACTGCAGATGAGTTGAATGGGTGATTAGTGATGCTGAGAGAATGCACAAAATCAGTGGAGATTGCAAATCCATCTTTTTCTGTCTCTAACCTGGAGCACTATGTATTCTGCAGAGCCAGAGGCCGAGGTCGTGGGCGAGGAAAGAGGAGGTTTGGACCAGGCAGACGCCCGGGGCGCCCTCCCAAATTCATGCGTATGGAAGTAACCAGTGAAAATGGGGAAAAGTGTGAAGAAGGGACGCAGGTATATTTTTGGGGATGGAGAGGAGGAAAAAAAATGTCACATGAGATGTAAACTCTTGACTGAAAGAATTTGGGGCATCAGCGCAAATTGAGGGTGTGCACTGGACTTACACCGAGTAATTCTTGGGTTTCTAGGTGTGATTCTCTGCCAGGGGAGCACACTGCTTTCCTTCTATAAAAACTGTAAAATCACTTGCATTTCTACAGCAACTTTCATCCCAAAGCACTTAGCAGTGAGATGGGTTATTGCGGCAGTTTAGCAGCATCACAAAAGTAATATAGACAGTAAAACTGTAATGGGAATTTAGGTTCGTATTTGTCCTTTCTGGAATGTGAGGTCAGAGCCTGCTCTTATAACTTGCTGCTAGAATTAAATCAGTTTGAGCTATGGTTCTTTATGATGTTTTAATACTAGCAGAAGGGCCTCCTGTAGGCATCCTCACTGCAAAATGTTCTTTTGCATGTGGCTGTTGGTTATGTTCTGTAGGGACCCAATATAATGCATTTAAGTAAAATGCTAAATTCTCTCTGATGCTGACCAGGCTTAGGTTACCACCAAATCCTTTTATGAAAGGTGTCAGAAGGGATCAGCGGCTCTGTGTTATGACTTAGCTGAAAGATGATATCTGGAGCAGTAATTTTCCTCTGGCATCTCACTGGGTCATGGCTCAGTGCTGACTCAGAGGGAGGACTGGATACACTGCCTACGAATGCCTGCCACTCGTTTCCTGAGCGTGCAGGATTGCCCTAAATGTTGCGTGAAGCGCAGACAGTTGCGAGATCACCCTCTCCGCAAGCTGACGTGACCCAAGCCGGCGCCGTTCAGACAAGTAAGCATCATGCTGTTCCCAAACTCTTCGCTCTGGAGGGACAGGACTTACTGGGCGCGGTCCCATGCTGATGTGTCCGAATGGCCTCTGGGCTGGAGGTGGCTCACATCCTGCCAGCTTGGAGCACGGCCCAGAGCTAGCTCACGTGGGTCTATACAGTTGAGCAGGGCTGTGGTGATGTCCCAAGCCTTTGGAGACCTGCCCGCTGCGCTGACAATTAGGCATGAGTTCCTCTATCTGCCTGAGAACTCGAGGCTCAGGACGCTGTGAGCACAGTTTAGTGTCAGCAAGCGTGGAAAGTTGCCGCTTAGACCAGGCCTAGACATTTGGCTGGTAGATTGCTCTGCGAAGTGTCTCTATCTGGTAAGCATTCACGGTTTCTAACAGCTGCCCTCCTGATGGCACTTCCGTTCTTCTTCTCCCACACCTGCTTTTGTGTTTTGACAGTACCAGCCTTGAGCTGATGTACTTTTGGCGCTCTGTTTCCTAGGTTATACTTTTAAGCTTCCTTAGTTGCTTTAAGTGATATCAAATAAGGGTCTATGGTTGGGTTTTTTTGTAATACGAGAGGATTCCATCCCAGAGGAGTTACTGGAACTTACACGGAAAGAATGTAGCTTTCTGGCATGTGCTTCTTGCTCCCAACACTCTCCCTCTTCTTTTATGCTAATGCAAAAAAGGAGGAAACCAGCTTTGTGTGATAAATATAAGTGATGTATGCAGCTGGGTAGATGAGAGTACGCGGAGCTTGGAAACTGGATAGCAAAATACACAGTGCATAGTATAATCATCTCGTTTGTCACCCTCCAGTTTGGCACTCCAGCTAGTTTGTCAGAAAGGAGAAGACACTGCATAACAATACACGATAATGTCTTAAAGTGACAATTGCAATGAGACAGAAATTCTCTGCTTTCCCTGGTCTGTACTAGTCACTTAGGTCGTAAAATTTCTCACAGGTCAGCATTACGTCATCTTTTGGTTAAAGCAGTAATAGTCATGAGTGCAGAAGAACTTCCTTGGCTATTAACAGCTGCATTATTTCGATTGTCTATGTCCAGTTGAACAATACGATGGCCAAGAGTCGCCCACCTGCAGCGCTTCATCCCTGGCACTCTGAATGTTGTTGCTGTAGGTGGAGGTGACCTGCTGAGAGCATCAGTGAAACACAGTAGGAAAGCGTTAGTGCAGACACGTTTTGTATATAGCTTGTGATTTAAATATGCAGCAATCTTGTTGTCTGCTGAGTATTATCAAAGCATTTTTCAGTGGGTGGGGGGAATAATCACTGGTTGTATGATTTGCGATTTCAGGACTTGCTGCATTTTTCCAGCAAGGGGCAGTTTGATGAGGCCGGACAAACCACACTGAATGGGTTGGAGCAGCAGGAACAGACTCCAGTGCCATCAGAGGCGCAGCCGGCACTGGAGCAGCAGTCAGAAAACCACGCGCTACAAATCCAGCCGCAGCACGACGAGAGCACGGTGCCTACGCAGAGCACCATGACAGCAGATGACATGAGGCGAGCCAAGCGTATCAGGGTAAGCAAGGAGGACGGCGGATCGCATCTTCTCTCACCCTCTCCATTTGCTGTAACCCAGAGAATGCTGGACCTGCCTGCCAGGACCAGCTGGCCTCCTTCTCTCACTGTCGTGTCCATTTCCAAATCCTGAATAAAGCACCTCGTTCCTAGCAATTTTATTTGCACTGAGAGGAAGACAAACCTCACGTAAAGAACTAGTATCTCATGAGATGCTAGTGAGAACTGGTCACCAATTGGAGCTGATTCAATTCCAGCACAGTTAATTCTTTCATAGAAACACAGTCCATCCAAGCTGGCAAGCAGGAGTACTTCAAACAGCCGGCTGAATCATGGTACTGTGGCACAGACTAATGACTTCTTCACAGCACCATCTGTGTCTTTCGGAACTCTTTTCGTGCAAATAGTTGCCAAAGAGGAACCACGACCTCAGTTTAGATCCACTTTGATGATGATATTTAGTGATAAAATCCCTTCTTGGGGTAGAAAAACCTGCCCGTCTTTGTGAGATTAAAACCTGTGCTAAGAGCTTTGTGTACCGACAGCAAACACTTTGAGCCTGAGCTTTGTGTCAACTGGGTGAGCTGTTTTTTCTCTACTATGTGTGGGAGGGAAATGATTCAACCAAATAATCCTTCAAGCCATGTAACTGTGAGATTGGTTTATTTAGTCTAAAATCTTTTTATTTTTCTTCCATGTGTAAAATTTTGATTACGGAAAGGAACAGCTGCAATTGGGGTGAGACTTCATTTTTAGGGGATGAGAAAGGATCAGAAAAGGGTTGAGTAACTGTTCTGTACAGGATGATATTGAGCCAAATTTTGCTTTCAGTTTATAGCAATATATATGCAAGACCAGTGGTGGTGTTACCCATAAATGCAGCGGCATATCTGGAAGGAAGAATTTGGCTCAGGCACATTAAGACTGCAGAATTTTTAACCGTATAAAATGCTTGCACTCTCTGAATGACAAGTAATTTGATTGTCATATGTTAAAAGCTTGGGGGATTTTTACTGAATGTGTTGAAGGGTGCATAACAGAGTACGAAGGTAGATGCCGAGTTTTTGACAGGGAAGAGCACGGGTATTTACTGATTACGATACACCACAACTTCCTTATTAGAAATTTGGGGCCTGGGTGTGATGGCAAAAGGTGGTGTTGCCTGTCTCCCTGAACTTTTGAACCCAAGATGTGAACTTAAGATCTTCTTAAACAGTAAATGTGGGAAGAAAGGGACAGTAATTCTTAAGTTATTTCTTTTTCCTGTGACTTGGCTTTTGTCCTGTGGAAATTCATCACAAATGGATGACATCCAGGAGGAGTGCAGTGGTGGTTTAGTCCTTGGTGACATGTTTGTATCTCCAAACCTCCCTAACTTCCCATACGTCTGGCAGCTCGTGTTCAGCAGAGTCTTGGAGATGTTTCAAGATAGGAGCATTGGCGGAATGGCAGATGGATGGTTGCATAGCACCTTCCCGTATTGCGTCAGACTGTGAGCAATGAGAACTTGAGATAGGAGTAAACTAGCAAGCATTGTTTTTTAAGCACTGAAAAATCACAACAAGCTCTGGCACCCTATGGGCGCTCATTCAATTCAGCTATTCACAGCACCTTCTTACAATAACATGCACTTAATATTATAAGAAAGCAAACATTTGGTTTTAAGATGTGTAGGACATAATTCGCTTGCAAAGAGCAGGTAGGAAGTCTTGACTCCTGATTGTGATCTGGAGACCTGTGTAGCTTTAGTTCTTCGTTGCTATTCATGTAGGATATCATTTTCAAAAACTAATTCTTTGTGAATTGCTTCAACTTTTTCTAAGGTTTAAAGCAGTGATGCTCTGAGAGTGCTTCCATTTTAGCTGGAAGCACTGATCTCTGGTACCCCAGGGTTCAAGTCCTGATAGGATCGGTTCATTTTTCAGCCTCTGCTTTAGAGCTTGTGGAGTTTCCTTGGAGATCAGACGTTAAACATGGCAGTCACATCCTTAGTATTGAAAAGAGATACACCCACCCTTCAAGATAGCTTTTTAACACATTAGAGGAATGTTTGGTCCACAGCCAAAATGAGTATTTGTTTTTAATTAAGTTCTGGGCAGTGTCCAGAGTGTCTGTGGGCCGATTCCAGAAACATCTGCATTTCCAAACTGCAAATAGGTAGGTGTTGTTCCAAATGTCCTCTCTGTAGGTGAGGTGCCTGCTTTACTCGGAGGAAGGAATTGGCAGGGATCGGGTTAGGATTTGGAAAGCACAGTCGCTTCCTTCATGCTGAAAGAAATGCAACTGGTTGTATAACAGAGTACAAACAGTAAGATGAGGTTAAAAAGAAGTCCCTCCTGTTTAATTTTTTCACGCTAATAATCCTTGCCCTGTTGTCATCCTGCCCTAATTATTCCCTTCTGCTCAAAGCATTTCATTCTCACTGCAATACACATTACATTATTATTAATCAACTCTGAGAAAACATGAAAGGTCACACACCACCTTCAAGATTATCTGTGGTTTTTATCTTTGCCCTTTAACTCCCCTTGGGCAGTTATTAACTACAGGGTAAACCTTGAAGATCTGCTTAGTGTTTCCTGAGGCAAAAACCTCAAAGGAGTTTTGCCTAAGTAAAGAGTAAACTCGAGCTAGAAGAGCTGACCCTTGTAGTGACCTGCAGAACCGTGACTATTGCAGAAGTCAAGGCTTCTGTTTTAAAGTCCATTGCGTAACATAAGTATTTTTCTCTCCCTCAATGCTGCCTGCTCAGCTGGAGCTGCAGGTAGGTTTGGTTTGGTTTTTTGTTTCGTTGGGTTTTTGCTGTATCTAATAGAATGGTACGTAACAACATCACCTTCCATGTTGTTTTGTCCAACTTCTGTTTAGTGTTTCCTGATTGAGCCCACATCGTAAATTGTCACATTTGTTCTTCTTTAATCAAGCAATGTCCAGAATGAAGTGTTACCTGAATAACAATTTGCATTCCTCTAGTTCTTTTCATACTAAATAATTGCAAATTTAAGCTGAACATTATAGGAGTAAACTGCTTGGATGAAATGCATCATATCCATCCTAAAGTTCTGGAGGATTTGTTTGTGCAATTGTTTGCACTGGACCAATGTTATCAGTTAATGAGACAACACTTAGTTCTGTTTTTCTGTTTTTATAGTTGATAGCTTATCTAACCAAAGAGCAGTAAAACGTTTCACCCTTCTGTAGCCTTTGAGATAGCAATGGGACTATGTTGATGTACATGGTATAGGAGTCTGGCCTGCTATCATACTAGTCCTGGTGTCTTACCAGTGATCAAATAGCAAAGTACAGCAATAGTGGAGTTAGTTGAAGAGATACACTTTAAATTCTTATTTGATTTATTTAGCATATCCCTGTAGTTGGGAGGGGGGAAATTACGTACTTCTGACTCCAAGCAACACATTAATTTTTACACAGCACATGTCTGCCTTTCCAGCTCAGTGTGACCTACAGCAGATCTGTGTTATTTCCCATTGCCTCCACTTGTAAAATGGAGAATGGAGATGACGACAATTCATGGGAGGGCTCGTTTGGGGCTCCTTTATTAAACTGTTTGCTTTTTTTAATAGCAAAACAGTTGGTCTCACGTTCCTTTTTCTGGAATGAAAGTATAGGTTTCCCTCTGCAGTTCAGACAGGGAAAAGGATCATTCAGGTTCACTAATTTAATCTCTAGCACAGCATTTCACAGTATTCCCAAGCTGTTCCTTCACTGCAGCAGAAGAGCTCCTAACTTTACTTTCTCAGTGTCAGCTGTTGGCACACACTTAAGGGACACAGCAAATGTCAGCCCAGACATTCCCCCAAGAAAAGGAGAGGAAACCAGGGAAATCTGTTTGCAAAAGTCTTGAACGTATCTCCTGGAGAAGTATGTAATACTGAACATGTGAAAGGGTAGGTGCCAGCAATATTCTAGTGTTATTTCTCTAATTATCATGATGTAGGTTCTGTGTGTAACATCTGAAAAGAGAAGACATCAATAAATGACGGTGTATAGATGTTATTTTGGAGAAGAGTAAACATTTCCTCTAGCTTCTCGCAGAAAAATGGCAGTACTGCAGTGTACTTCCAGTACAGTGTGGGTGATACGGTGCTATGGGATTTCAAGGTATGACTGACTTCCAGCTTTGCAGCTAGCCAACATAAAAGTTCTCATCCAATACTGAAATGCAGGTGCAGGGCACACGTGCTTATTTCTACAGGCAACACATCCAGCAGCATCTATTTATTACTCCAGCAGCCAGCACTGGTATCAGGACTGGCATGCCTCTGGGACATTTATCTGAAGGGGAAGGGGAGAAAGGGAAGAGATAAGTTATGAAATGTTACAGAAAAAGTAGACTGAAGGAAAGCATACACCAAAACAAAGCTGGAGCTGAGAAAATAAATTGTGCGCAGTAGGCGAGGAGAAAAACAGAGAAGAGCAGACCAGTATCTTAAATTTTAAAATGGATACTTGCACAACATGTGTTATGTTCAATTCAAAATATTCTTAGTTTCTTGCAATACCAAGAAAAGCAATTCAAGTTTGACTGTGTATAATCAACTACCCTTTGAGTAGATAACCGCATCTATCGGAGTTCCTCTTGATTTAGCACCACTGTGTTTGTCTTCTATCTTTCTTCTTAATTTTCAGGCTCTCACACATAATACATGGCAAAGACAGGCATATTGCTCACAAGTTCTTACCTGTTGCTTGTAAACCTGCCATTCTGCCCCTGCCGTAATGTTTTGAAACTCTCTTGTTTCTGATAAAAACAAAAAGGTTTAGGCCAGCATCTCTTGAATGTATGTTCCACTGGAAGTTTTCCAGGCGATGCTAAACCACCACTGCACACCTGTGTGGTGATCTTTGGTGCAGAAACTGATTTTTGTAAAGGGCTATGGAGTTTCATAACCCCTGCTCCCGGGTGTAAGACAGGGTGCTAGCTTGCTGTTCCTTTCTATGGTGGCTGACCTTGTGTCCCAGTCCCCAAAAGTCAGCTGGAATTGCAGCTTTTCTCAGGCCCAGGTCTGTACTTCATAAAGGACTTAGTTTTATTTTACAGAAAAATGCTATGCTAAAGACAAAACTTAGCTAAATCGGCCAAAAACAGGGACTGAAGAGGAAATTCCTGCATTAAGTTCTCCGAACTCAGTGTGTAACTGCAGGCATATCCCTTAACTTCTGCGTGTCACAGCCTCCCCTTCTATAAAATGGAGACGGTATCTGTAATGCAGAAGCATTTCTTTGCAGTGTGAGTTCACTGATCATCTGGTATATTCAATCTTGAAAATATCTGGATGTGGAATCTGTACGTAATAAAGGAAGCTAATGGTCTCTTCGATATTTATTTCTTTCAGAATGCAGCTCTTCAGCACCTGTTCATACGTAAATCCTTTCGCCCGTTCAAATGCCTCCAATGTGGGAAGGCCTTCCGCGAGAAGGACAAACTGGATCAGCACTTGAGGTTTCACGGACGGGAAGGGAACTGCCCTTTGACTTGTGACATCTGCAACAAGGGCTTCATCAACAGCGGTGCTCTCGAGAGCCACATGAAGTTCCACATGGACCAGAAAACATACTCCTGCATTTTCTGTCCCGAGTCCTTTGACCGCTTGGATCTGCTGAAAGATCATGTGGCCATTCATGTCAATGATGGATACTTCACCTGCCCTACCTGCAAAAAACGCTTTCCAGATTTTATCCAGGTGAGATGCCACACTGATTTGAAGCACTGCCTTCCGTGTCTCTTGCAAGCACTCTGTTCATGAATTTTTCAGTACTGTTCTTGTGTAATGCTGTATGTGAGTTCGTTCTCACAAGATAAAAGGCTCCGTGGCATTCAGAAATTAAAGAGAAACAGTGACCAAGCATTGCTAGATGTTGTCTTATGCCACTGAAGTGCTCTTTCCAATCTGTCATTAGAAAGCACTGTACTGTGGGATGGGTGGTCCCTTATCCCTAGAAAATGACTAAAGCAGAAGTCCCGACGACTTTTTCGTACAGATCCACAGCACAGAAAGGAATTGTCTTTTGCTGTATGCAGCTTGTATCTGAATACACCTTGCCCTTTGTTGTTAAAACTCTGAACCAAAAAAAATTTGTGGTTTTATATCGTTATTCCCTTGACTGTTTTGTGTCAGGGTAATTCATTTACACACCTGGCAGAAATGCCAGAACAGATCAGGATACTCTGCTTCCTGACTTCCCCCCTGGGCTTCAGCTGGTTACTTTATTCTTCCTCTCTGCACACTGCTTACGAGAGGTTGCACTGGCGTACTGAGTAATGTAACTACTTTGTGCAGTGTGCAGAGCCATTGGAGAAGATTGTTAATAGAATTTAAGGATGCTCTTTCGATGTTCAGTAAGAAAAAGCTGAGACGTACCATGCACATATTCATTATCCTTCATGGGGACAAAGAGGTTGATATGTCTTGCTGAGCTGCCTGACTTAAACTGGATTTCTACATTTCAATTTAAGTCAAGTAATAGGAACTGATAGACTATCCAGTAGGCTAAAGAGAAAAGGATGGGGACAAGTGATTTACTAATAGAATTCTACCCTGGCAAAAACCATTTATCTTCTGTAAATGTTGGACAAGGAGAAAAATGTTGATGATTCAGAAATGCTGTACTGCAAACTAATTCTCCATAAACTTTCCCATGAAACTGATCCAGTCAGAAGAAGGTCCCACAGCTTTTTTCCAGCTATTAAGCTCTATTTTGGAATTTAAAGATGGTATTTTCATTTGGTGCTATGTGAATAATTAAGGCTAGTCACCATAGATTGCTGCCTACTGAAATACTTTTATGTGGAACAGATGAAGATACCAAGTTGTTCAATGTATGGTCAGTATTAGAAGATGGCAAAGATTTAGAGATCCATTTCTTGATTAATGCTTGGATTTCAAATGTCAACGCTCATTAGTTACTTTATTAGGGGGGTGGGGGGTGGAGCGGGGAGCAACACTAGATGCTTGAAGAGGTCAAGGATGGTCCAAATTATGCAAAAGTAATTGCCCTTCAGGAACAGCATGCAAGTGCTTTTCTGTCTTAAGGATTTTTTGCCAGTTGTAATTGTCAGCTCATTCTCTCTGATTGAAAGGAATTAATCCCTGCGTTTAGATTTCTTATAAATGAAGTAAAGATAATGGACCTCAGATGAACATGTTAGCTCAAGGATGATTCAGTAAAACTGGTACATCATGGACTTTTGCTGCTCATTAAGTGCTCAACTGTGCGATAGCTGATGCCTTCAAGAATCAGTCTTGAGGAAATCAAATTGTCTGTCCATGTGCATAATAAAGATGTTATGGCTTTACTGCCAAGATACCAACTGTTCTGATAAAATACTTTTCAAACCAAAGCAAATCAGAGAACTCCTAAAACCCTTTTTCTCTCTTTTTTTTGCTCAGTTTTCTAGACTGCTTTACCACGCACTCCCCTCCTTTGACTAAATTTCATTTTTCTACGATCTGCAATTTTAGGTCAAGAAACACGTACGCAGTTTCCATTCAGAAAAGATTTACCAGTGTACAGAATGTGACAAGGCTTTCTGCCGTCCTGACAAGCTGCGACTCCATATGTTGCGACACTCAGACCGCAAAGACTTCCTGTGCTCCACGTGTGGCAAGCAGTTCAAGGTAGGATGACTCTCGACTGGACTGTTCCTGATAGAGGTGGACAACACCACTCTTTATCCTCCTTCAAGTAGATAGGCTCACATTCTCCAGGGTGGAAGCAACTACCACGTTTAAATATGCTCAATTTGCCTGTAAGTCACATGCACTGCTTTGTGTCATGTGGGAGCTACAGTGTTCGTTTCTGATGGACAAGGGGCAAGATCAACCCCAGCATGCTCTGCTGTAACAGGCTGTCTCATCTCTCAGATCTTATTTCTAATAATTTAATAGCAAAGGAAGTTTCCATCTGCTCATGAAGAACTGGGTCATTATACAGCTCAATTGCCAGGTGCTTGGGTTGTATTGCTTATATCAGTTTGGTTAAGAAAACTTCTTGGTGATATCAGTGGATTATAATACTCCTGGCCAACGTGCCTGTGTCCGTGGCATCCATCTTGTCAGCACATGACATGCAGATGCCGTTCCAGATCCCACCAGAACAGATGAAGCAGATTGTGAGCCAGGTAAATCGTGGTGGCAGCGGCCTGCTCCTTGTCACTTAGTTTCTTATGAGATACTGAGGGACTGGGTATTTTTGGGTGAAGAAGCACATTCTAGACAGTGCATGTCCAGAGAGGCTGGGTTGCACCTGGACAGTAGGTTCTGTACCACTGTAGGACATGGGGTCCCCCTCAGTCAAGAGCATTAATTGATGCAAGCTACCAGTTGTAAAGAGTTGAGCACTAATATTTTAGATAAATTCAAAGAAAAGCCAGAGTGGAGGGGTTCATTTTCACGGAGGCTGCTACATGAGCATTAGTTAAGCTCCTGCTTGCGTGGCTGAGCAACCTCAGCTTGGTTTGAAGGGTAAACCTAAACCCAAAGAGTTCCTGCTGAGCTGTCCAACACTGAACAGGCAATTGTATCTGGTGGCAGCGCTGGAGAGGAAAAGCCGGAGAGAGATCTCTGAACAACTTATATTGTGGCTCTTCCTTGTAACAAGTAGTAAGGCAGTAAGTGATGCTGATGCTTTTCTCCTTGATTGCTCTTTCTCTAGAGGAAAGACAAACTGCGAGAGCACATGCAGAGGATGCACAACCCAGAGCGGGAGGCCAAGAAAGCTGATCGTATCAGCCGCTCAAAAACGTTCAAGCCACGGATAGCCTCCACTGACTACGAAAGCTTCATGTTCAAGTGCCGACTCTGTATGATGGGTTTCCGCCGCAGGGGCATGTTGGTGAGTGCCTGTGTGATCTAGCTTCTCTTACCACTGTTGTAGTCAGTTTTGATAAATAGTTAAGGAATAAAGATGGAATTCCAATGGTTGGAAGACAAGGATGCTGCGGAACTGGGAGAATTTTATAGCTGAGCTGAGATTATGTATCTCTCTTTAAACCTGTGTGTCTTATCTCTTCAGCAAATATGTTCCTTTGCATATTTCATTGTCTGTGTTGTATGTCTGGTTGTCACGACTGTATTTCAATGCTAAGTACGCTGATTAATCTGTAATGTATTTAACAGAACATGAGATTAATGCAGTGCCTAGTCCAGCCTTACTGTCTCAGTCTTCCTCACTGTCTTTCCTGTTTTCTGTTACTCCCCCTTCCTGAGGGGCCTCTCCTGGCCATGCCCTGTAACTGCCACTGTGTAAAGGGTCTTATGCAGCAGCAGATCTTATTTGCAAATACTTTGTGAGGGTTGTGACCTCTGCTAGCAAAGGCCTCCCTGGGCAGAGGCCTGTCACCTCACTCTCAGCTGCAAGAGAGTTCTGGCAAGCTATTTGACCTCTTTCCCATCTTATTTTGATTAGAGAAAAACTGTACATGAGGTCTGGCAAGACCCTGTTTACCTTTAGCTGCTGACTGCAAATGCGCAATAACCCTCAGGGCAGCAAATGCTTCCGGTGCTGCTGGCTAGCACTGTTACAGTTTTGGTTTGGCTGTTACCTGTGTCTAGGAGAAAAAGCAATTGCTTGACTTCCAGCTGTAATATGTTCTCTTGTTCTCTGTGTTTCTTTCTCCTAAGGTGAATCATTTATCAAAGAGACATCCAGACATGAAAATAGAAGAGGTGCCAGAGCTCACGTTGCCCATCATCAAACCCAACAGAGATTACTTCTGTCAGTACTGTGATAAGGTATGTGGGGAAGTCACCCCTTGGGAGGATAGTTCAGTCATAGACCTGTATGCAACCAATTTGTCTCTGCATAGAAACATCTGGCAAGGTTTGTAGCTTTTTTTTTTTTGAGGTGCTTGCCAGCAACATTCCTGCAGTACTGTCCAAAAAAACTTAAGACGAAATGCACTTAGGCCAGGGTAGCTGGATGCTAATTGCAAACTTCAGTTCTCCTTTTCTGCTGTCTTTGGAGCTGGAAAACTTAAATACTGTGATCCAGCAAGCAGTCACTCACCCTTAGTCCTCTGTCACGTATTTCAACCCAGGACTAAGTAGCCTATCAGTCTATAATTCCTGAACGCTAATTTCTTTTGGTGTCACTTCTAAAAGTTAGTCTCTAACCCTTTTATTTTAAGCTGCTTGCTTAGTCACATGCCAGTAATTCCCAGTGTTCAGTGGAGCCTGTAGCTTCTTCTGGTCTGCTTTTGTGTTCCTGTTCTTATTCCCTGGCCTTTGCTTTTTATGCATGTGGGCCTTTATTTACCAGGGAGTATATTTTGACTGTCCTTATCCTCAGTACATTCTTCCATGATGACCCCTTCCTTTTGTTTAAAGGGAAACAAAAATGGATAGTTTTAAATAATATTACAGAATATTTGTTTGCTGATATGCCTAAAAAGAATTTAAAAATACGTTGCTCGCCAAAGGCTGTTCAATCATTTTGATGCTTTGTGCAAGAGTGGAGGCATCAACCCTCGTGACAAAATAACATTGGACAAATTACAATTTAGGTGATCAGTGGCTTCTCTGACACTTGACCTTCAAGTATCAGGCAAAAAAAGGTTTTCTTCTTTACCTTCCTGTCCTGCTTTGATGTTTTGCTGTGGCACACAACATGTTCTGAAATGGCTTCTGCATGCTACACGAGGAGTTGCTTTTACAGGTTGATTAAACACCGGAAGGTACGTGGGTATTTGTGCATTATGTTGTACTGTGGGGAGTTAACTAAATGTACTGTGTAAAGCAACATGCAGACCTTCCACATAAAGATAACCGGTAGCTCTTCTCTGCACCGACATCGGGATTACACCGTTTTCATTCCAAATCTTCACGCTGCAGGTGTACAAGAGTGCCAGTAAACGCAAAGCACACATCCTGAAGAATCATCCTGGTGCTGAGCTACCTCCAAGCATCCGGAAGCTGCGCCCTGCGGGCCCCGGAGAGCCGGATCCCATGCTGAGCACCCACACCCAGCTGACAGGCACGATAGCCACCCCTCCAGTCTGCTGTCCTCACTGTTCCAAGCAATACAGCAGTAAGGTATGGGGGTTGTCTCAGCCTGCTCGATGTCAGTTGGCCCGAAGCAGAGTTCCCGACGGTGTTTCTAACGCTCTTTTGCATCTCTCTGTAGACGAAGATGGTACAACACATTCGCAAGAAGCACCCGGAGTTTGCTCAGCTCCCTAACACGATACATGCTCCACTGGCGACGGCCGTCATCAGCTCCACTCCTGCCGTTCTAACCACCGACAGCACTACCGGAGAGACTGTTGTGGTAAGGGTTCAAGACACGTTCGATCAGGCCAAGGGAGGGAAACAAACAGAACAGAAGCCTTCTGGTAGAGCAGTAGTCTTAGTGTTTATTCATCAGACGCCATTTTTAAACATCTGTTAGGACGTTATTTGAGGTCGCTTCTGTTCCTGGATCTGCGTTGTAGTTTTGCTCCGCCGGGAATTACGTGCTTCTTTCTGGAGCTTTAAGGATTTGTCTTTTTTTCACCTGCTCAATTCCCTTCTTTTGCTCAGACCCATATGCTACTGACACCACATAATACTCTCATATGTGCCTAACTCGGGAATACACACCTCGTGGATTTTCACTGGCACTGTTCTCCTGAGGTGCTTGCAGTTCTTGGGATCAAGAGTCATCGTGTTTACTGATGACTGGGGACTGGATCAAATTCTGTTCAGAGGAGAGGAGATCTCTGTAATCCTTTGGACAGTGCAGCACTGAGTGATACGAACCTCCAGTGGCTGATCTCTCAGTGTCAATAATCGCTGTTAATGCATCAGCTGCTACAGAAGTGAAAGCTGAGACTAGAAGATCAGTCTTGTGTCCTTTAGGCATGCAGCTGTGCAGCTGGGATGCCGTATAGTTTTAAAAATCTTACTAACCACAGCTTAAAACTTCCTATTTGACGACTGTAACTGGATAGAGGACTGTTTTGCTTGAAAATGGGTAGATTCAACCAGGATGCTGTTGGCTTCACACACGTGATTTGTTTGGTGCTAAATGTCTTTACACACTTTAGAAATACAGTTGTCAAAAAAAGTCTCACTCTGGCAGGTGAGGAGGCAAGGTGGAATACATCCGAGAAGCACTTTTTGACCTGGAACTTAAGTCAACTCTTTACAAATGCAGGATTTTTGTTGGCTAGTAGAATAATGTTAAGTCAGAAGATTTAAAATAATTTTTTTATTATTGTACATTAAGTTAGCCCTTAATGGTCCTGACTAGCATTTAGACAGAAGAGAGCAATCCTGGTGGATGATCCCTGGTGATTGCTTATGACCCCATCCTCTGTATGCATTAAACTCCTGTAAGTAAATGACCAGGCCCAAAGGTGGAAGTGTAGCTTCAGTGTGATGAAAGAACTACACCCCTGCAAAAGTATTCAGTCCAGCAGACGTTATATGGTGATGGTCTGTATCTCTCTTTCTACCTGCTCAGACAACAGATTTACTGACACAGGCAATGACGGAGATATCCCAGACCCTCACAACAGACTATCGAACTCCCCAGGGAGATTACCAGCGAATCCAGTACATCCCTGTGTCTCAATCCACAACTGGCTTGCAGCAGCCTCAGCACATACAGCTGCAGGTTGTTCAAGTGGCCCAGGTGAGTAACTGGTTGGGAAACTTGGTGTGCTTTTCACCCCCTCCATATCAAGCCTGTGCTTTCTTGCAGCTGTAGTGCTCGGAAATGTGTGAAGGAGTAGTTCCAGACGCTGATGCAGACTACTTTTTACAGATAAATTGATTGATAACGCAGAGGGTTCCCATTGTAAGCATGGTGTACTGGGCATAAATAGTCCTGCCAGTCTTGGTCAGCTTGCTGGAGACACAATGGCACAGTCCTAATTTCATTCTACCTATCTGGGCACCTTTGCTCGAGACTGCTCTAGGAAGGTTTTGCAGCGACTGGAAAAGTGGGTCAGTGGGTAACCCATTTTTGCAGTTGAAGACTAATTTGTACTTCCTTGTTCTCAGCGAGCTAGAGCCAAAATTTGGAAGTACAGAAAGCACTTGCTTTTCCCCTTCATATCATCTAACAGAATAGTCATTCTCTATGACACTTAACAGCCTCCTAAAAATAAAAACAGAGTGTAACTAGAGTAACTCAACTGAGGAAAATAACTCAGGCAGCTGTAAGAAATTGCCATTGCCTTCAAATCTATTATCCATTGGGTGAAGCTGAAACTGCCATGTGTTTGTATTTGAATCTGAAACTCGGTGTTCTCTCTGCCCCCTCATTACAAATTAAGTTATGAATTTGGTTAATAAAGGCTTAAACGATGGCCCCAGTTAATATTGACTGTGGCTGTTTTAACAATACGAGAGCATGAAAACCGATTCCTGCAGCTAATACCAATTTTATCAGGATCTCAGACTTGTAATTAAATTATTCCAATTGGTATCATTAGCAGGTGTTGCTCAAAAAAAGCCTTTAATCAGTAAGACTCCGAGCTCTTGTCTTGAGCTATGTCAAACTGCAGTATTGGATATGTGGACTTGAGTATGTATACATTTCATAGAAAGATGCTTACAAAGAAGGATGGTTGACACTAATCCTGTTTTTTCAGACCCTTGGATCTAAGTCCAGCTGCTGCCACAGACAGCTTGTATGACCCTAGGCAAGTCCCTTCCATTGAGATCACCGAGATGTAACCATCTCGGTGCCATTACATCTGTTAAGTGTGTTTCTTTATCTCCCAGGAGTACAGGCTTGAATGAGGAGTGCTGCATGGCCTCACTAAAGCTTGTACCTCATTGCTCCAGACCTTGTGTATGTGGCTGCCTCTGTAAAGAATTTGAAGTATATGCCTCTGCTTTGATATTTCTTTTTTTCTTTCCAGGCTACCTCACCTCACCAGTCCCAGCACTCCACAGTAGACGTTGGGCAGCTTCATGACCCCCAGACGTACACCCAGCATGCCATCCAGGTGCAGCACATCCAGGTCACAGAGCCATCGCCGGCCACTCAGTCGTCATCACAGGTATTTCACTCTTCTCTTGCAGGAAATGTTTTCCCTGCCAGTCTGCTCAGCTGGCTTATGACACGTGCTGATGCAGGAGATAGTCTTTTAAGTGTCATTTAAAGGACCACATGTGAAATGACTCTCACATGAAGACTTCTGAATCATCAAGTAGTCCTAGATGTTCCTAGGGTGTATGGGGGTGTTCTGTTGTGGTTTTGTGTGTTTTTTTTTCCTAACAGTATATACCAGGTAGAGATAAATGGCTGGGAGCAGGCACTTGTGCAGCTTAAATAAAATTAGCTAATTGAAAGATGTAAATGGGAACTGGCATTCCTTGTATATTTGAAGTTCAGGGCCTCACGCTGTTGGGCAGTGTTTAGCCTCTAATCTCAGTTTTCTGCCACAAACTCTCTATGCAGCCTTTGGTAAGCAACGTCTCTATTTCAGTTTCCTCATCTCTGCTTACTAAACATAGTGAAGCAAGTGGGAGGAGAGGGAGGAGAGCTTTGCAGTTCTTGTGCTCGGTATGCTATAGAACCCACCCCCGTGTTTTCCCTTAAGAAGGGTGTGTTTGTAACAGTACAGAGGTATGCAAACCGTAGTACACTGAGAACATGTACAGCTTTTGTTTAGTTGTTGTTTGTTTCTTTCCCTAGGTTGGGGGTCAGCCTTTGAGTCCATCCTCACAACAGTCTCAGCAGGAACTCGGCCCCTCCCAGATGCAGACAACTACATCGACACCAAACCAGGCCCTTCAGCAGCAGCAAGGATCTTCAGTCCAGCACACGTATCTTCCCAGCACGTGGAACTCGTTTCGCAGCTATTGTAAGTGTCAGCAGTAGCTCTTGCTGGTAGTCTAGCTACTGTGTGGGACTAATATGCTCCATTTTTCCAGCTACCAAGTGAGATAATATTTTCAGAGCTCATTAAGCTTCGTGGTTAATATTCATAGAGATCTAAGATGATAAACATTTTCAGACAAATTAAAAGGTTTGTACTAGCTCTTCTGCTGTGGGTTCATAATGATCCGATATGTGGTTTGGGCAGGTAGGCTGGGCTTCTTCATTCCAAGGAACTGGCATTCAGCAAAAATCCATGTGTTGGATAGCAGCTTGTTCAAATTTGGATGAATGCTTAAAAGAATCAAACAGAAGACGAGGGTGACATGAAATAATTTCTCATGTCCATGCAGCTCTGGATGGTAATTCTGTGATTTCTTGGGTGAGAACATGATGTGTTGTCTATGCATGAATTGCCAAATCTGCAGCTGATGTTAGCTGGCATAATTCTCTTGAGGCCTGTAGTGTTTTACAAGGCTTTACAGTGCCCGAATTTCTATTCAACAACCACTGTTTCAGGCTTGAAATCTTATTGACATAGGACATTATCTTTCAAAGGTGGTCTTTGAGTTTGACTGAAGGTCTTGATTTGCCAATTTCCATGTTTTTCAGCATCTGAGATTCAGATGATGACCATTCCCCAAGGCCAGTACGTGATCACAGAAACCGCTGTGGGTACACCAGTCACCACTGTCAACACAGGGCAAGTGAAAGCAGTTACTCAGGTAAGGAAAACATTAATAGCTTTTCTTTTTTTTAATCCAGAATATTGTATTGGGCTTAAAGCCTTCAGTTTGAAGGTTAAAGGAATGCCAAAATGATCACTGGGGCACAGAGTAGAGAATTAATGGTGTACCTAAAGAGGTCCAGACTCTACAGTCTGAAAGGGCATTGGCTTTCTGTAACAGTGGTAGCGAGTTCCAGGCTGGGCAGAATCTGTAGGCAAAAAGAGTTAAGAAAATGTGTGATGTGTCCTAAGCTAAGGAGAAAAGTGCTACTGGTCAAACCTAGTGATGTTGTGAACTTCAGGTTACAAAAGGCAAGAAATAATCTCTAGAGCTTCAAGGAAAATACCTTTTATTTTATTTTTTTTTTAATTCTCTGAAATAGCATTGTATTCCTTCATGTTTTGATTACAAACAGTTTTCTGCATCTAGCCATTTAAAAAGCCCACGCTATCTGGCCCTTGTGTGTATGACTCCTTCAAGTCTTCATTTAATCACATTTGCAGAACAAGGTATGATTTAGTGGTATGGATGAGTCTTAAAAATACTTCTGACTAAACTGTATCCATTAAGCCAAATTTCAGAGCAGTTTCTGGAAACATTCTGACAGCTTCCTATTATCTGCAGGATTACAAAATAAGATGTACTGCTATCTTACTTTGTAAGCAATCCAGCATAAGGATGCAGGCCGTAGTACTGTGTTGACATTGGACACCGGAACTGCAACTTCTGCTAGAACACATGGAAAATGGAAAAAAGGTTTCAGAATAGTAGTGTAAAAATTGCTGTCTTTATTTGTAGTGATGGGTTAATTGTGTAATTAGTTTAACCATTTCTAAGTTAACCAAATGCAAAGTAGTCCAACATACTTCAAAACAAAGGGCAAGGGTTATGTTGCTCTCAAATACATTTAAATGAAGCACAACTTGATTCCAAAGTTCCTTGTTCATACCAAAATGTCTTCTAGCACAGCAACAAGAAAGTTACACGCTATTAGAACAGAAAAGTTACAGAAGATATAATGATTATTACTTATTTTTTATATTCCCCATGCAGACTCACTATGTGATATCTGAAGGTCAGCCTGATCTGGATGTCAAACAAAACTCTTCGCTCTCCAGTGAGGTCCAGGTTGGCGTTTCCCAGCCACCAGCCCACACGGACACCCTGGAATCGCAAACGAGCAGTCAGCAGCAAACCACCCAGTACATAATCACTACGACCACCAACGGGAACGGCAGCAGTGAAGTGCACATCACCAAACCAAGAACTTTCTCAGCAGAACACGAATGAAGAAGCCTCGTGGTGTCACCTTGTACTTGTCACCTCCCCTGAAAGCCCAGATATATGGGTATACTGGGGCTCAATATGTTTTAAAGTATATGCTCACTTAACTTCAACTAAAATCTTGGAGCTCTTGTTAATGCTTTAAGAGGGTTTAAGTCCCCAGTGACCATGAAGCACCACCCTCAAAATCCTTATGGGATGCTATTTTATGCAGCTTTTAACAAAAAGGACAAGAGAAGTGAAACCTCTGCTTGCTCTGGACTTCATTTTTGGCATGTCTGCTGACCCTTATTTTTCCTTTTTGGAAGCATCTCCAGTAAACAACTTCGTATTTCAATTGTATGGGAGAAAGCTTGCCTAACTGAAGGCTAACTGGCAGATTATGTTGTATGTATATTTTTTAATAGGAGCCATTAAACAGGAGGACATCAAGTAAATTGCCAGAAGATAGCAGAACTGCTTCCTCTGTCTTTGTTTCAGCAGGCAAGGTGAAAGGGAACGTACCAGCTCAATGCAAGCAGACTGCCTGGAGAAGAAGAGCAGCAGCTGCAAAGCGGTGGCTCCTTGCGTACGTGTGCGGGGATGGATATAACAATGAAGCTGTGAAGATGTGCCCAAGCAGTCCATTAAATTATTATTTTTTCCAACCCTCGAGAACTGTTTACATGCTGTCTGCCCTGCCCTGTTTTACCAAGCAGTTCTAGAAAGAAGGAAAAGTGCTGTCTTAAACCCATGTCACGTGGAACAAACTGACTGAAATCAGAGTAGCCCATAAGGGTAGTACAGAGCCACTATCATCTCTTTTTCTCTCTGGTATTTGCAGGGAAAATCGCTTTTTTGCCTGTAAACAAAAAAGGCTTAGCTTAGCCTGCACAGCAGTTTCTGCTGTGACCTAAAGATTGAAAAAAATTGAGGGTACAGGAGCGTACCTCTGGAGAGGCAGGGTAGCTGTCTCTGTTGTCACCTTGAAGAGGACATATTTTTCCCCTCAAAGACTGGATGGAGAGTGATTTTTCCAAATACTTTATCAACGCACTATAATTCCTTTGGACAGTTCCACAAAATGACCAGCCCTGGACTCAGGAAACATACAGGAGACGTGCTACTGGACCACTGTTGATGGGACACAGAAAGCCATCTGTGAGGGTTGCCTGCTTTGGTAGGCCTGGTCTATGTACAGAATTCACGTTACATTTAGGGACCAGGAGAAAGGGAAAGACAAGTTTTATCTTTTTAAGGCAGTGTATTTTTTTTTTTTTCTCCCCTCACATAATATTCCTGCACAGGTCTTGTTGGTTGGTTATTTAGTGCATTCTGGTATTTGCAAGAATACAACTACAACTCCATTGCCTCCTGATGGGATATACTGTGTATGTCTAAACCTCCCCTCACTGCCTGAAAACTCATCCCAGAATGTCTGTGCATAATAGGATGCATTTATTTATAAAACAAAAGCAAAGAAGGATGTTTTGTCTTTAGTGGCCCCTGAGACTGAAGCACCGAGAGGTTTTTTTGATTCGTTTTCTTTTGTGCTGCACTGAGTGTGAATGTGGGACTCTTATGTAAGCACTCCCACAGATTTAGATGAGGATTACCCGTGTGCGTAAGCAGTACAGGTGTTTGTGGTATCAGGCCTTACAGAGTTAATTCTCTCAGACGTGAGAGAATTTCATACTCAGACTTGGACAAGAGCAAGTCTGGTTCCTTGCGGGCAAAGCCTTGTAGCAGGTGCTGCTTTGGTAATTAACGTATCTGTTAATATGGTGTGGAAATAGCGGCTGTGCGTGATAAATCAGATCGAAAATACTGGCAAGCTCAGAACTGTTTTGAGGTAGCTTTGAAGTGACTTGCCAAGATGCAGATGAATTTGTTCCTGGGATTTCGCTTCTCTTGCTGTACCACCGTACTGGGGAGCATTAATGAGACTGGTAAAGTTAATGAGGACCAGAGCTCCAGTATAGTCAAGTGCAGCGATGAGCATCTTTAAATTCCGTGGATTTGGGAGCCCATTGACTTTTAGTGGTGTGGCCAAGCAACTGCAGTTCCCACTAATTGTCTCGGAATTGTGTTGCTGAGGGCTTTTGAGTTACAACATTGGGCGTTGCGATGTTCATGTGGGAAAATAGACGGGAGGTTCTGTCTTGGCTTTCTTCCAGCTGCTAGATGATCCAATAGCGAGTCAAAAATGGTGTCAGTAGGGAAACCTGAAAATGGGATATTCCAGGTTGATACTGCCCTAGAGGAGCAATTTTAAAGTCTTAAAAGGACTATATAGATAAACATCAAACTTGTTCCCCTCAATGACACTGCGGATAGGGGGTGTAAAAAATATTTTGCTCTGTTCACGTTTGGAAAGGATCACAGAATGAGGACAGTTGGACCAGTTATTTAAAGCTGAAAACTATAAGGTGTTCCAGAAAACAATTTTAAAACAGCCTCTTTGAACTCAAATCTTATCAGAGTGTCTACTCTGTCCTACAGCAACAGCAGTGTACACGGTACCCGTGTTAAGTGATTCATGGTGTCCCAAGTTTAAAGGAATACCTCATCGCAAAAGAAGCATCCCTGGAAATGGAAGTATTGTTAATTTTCCTTCCAAAGTAAGGAACTGCAGAGATTGCACAGATGGCAGGGGCCTGCTTTTTAGGAAGAGAACAAAAAAAAGACAAGTTTGCATGGATTTTTTTTTCTCCAGTTTCTGCAGTGCAGAAAGTATAGGATTATTTTTTAAACCAGAGCAACCCAAAGAGTAATATCCCACAGGAGCTTAACTCTTCGTCATCTACAAGGGCCACATTTTGCTCGAAGCTGGGCACCACTGCAGGCCCCTCAGAGGCCTAATGCTGTTCCTTGTAGGCATTTTGGGTCCGATTTCCTGTATTTTCCTGGAAGAAAAAAACCAACCAACCCTAAGTACCCTGAATTTGCACCTCTCTGACTGGTCGGGCTGTTTTGCTCTGCCCCTTCTCTTATTTAACTGTGTATGTTCGTTGTACATTCGGTGACTGTTACTGTGTTCATAGTCTCGTGCAACCTGGCAGGTGTAAAAAAAAAAAGAAAAAAAAAAAAAAAAAAACAAACGAAATTAATAAATCTTTTTCTCTTAAAAAAAAAAAAAAAAAAAAAAAATGATGTGCAACTTGCCCGTCCCCGCGTTAACAAACGCCGTCTGTCGCGACATGGAGCAAACCGCCCCCGCCCCGCCCCTTTCCCCTCAGGGCGCGGAAGGGCCGGGGCGGCCCTGAGGGGGTGGGCACGCGCCCCGCGCAGGCGCGGCGGCGGCTGCCTTCGCCCGCGCATGCGCCGTGACCGACTTCCGCCTTCCGCCGCGGCCGCGCGTGGGGCCGCCGGCCCCACCACATCCCCATACACTCGCCCCACGGCCCAACGGTCGCCGCCGGGGCTGTGGGGAGCGGCCCGGGGCCGCCCCGGGAAGCCCGGAGCCGGCGTAGCAGGTATGAACTGAGGGTTGGGTTTTTTTGGTTTTGTTTGTTTGTTTTTTCATGCGGGTTCTTACTATTCGACCTTCCTTTAAAGGTTGTGGTTTTGTTGTTTTTTTTTTTTTTTTTTATTATTGTTAATTTATTACGCGTGGTGCGTGCGTTTTCCTCCCAGTCTAGAGCTGTGCCCGACTGTGCTTGAGGGGAGCAGGGCTCCTGGCCCAGACACAGCGGTAAATTCAACCTGGGAGAAATCCTCTGTGCGAGTCGGTTTTGCACCTTAAAACCCTGTTCAGGATTTTGACGTAGTTTTTCGTGGTATTGAGCTCTATGGGCAGCAGCTCCTGCGAGTGGGAAGCAAAGTGGAGTGGGTCTCACCTGTACTTTCCAGTCAGTCTGCTAAAGCATTCATATGTCGGCGTGATTTGTGTCAAGATGGGACAGCAAATTAATGCTGTAATATCTTATGTATCTCACAGCATGCTGCTGTAGCTCACTGCTTCGTCAAACGCGGCTTTTCAGTCGCTCTTCAGCTGGGGGTGTCCCCGGGTTTGGGTTTTTCGGTCTTTGAGGGTTTTGCTGCTGTTGTTCAGGAGCAGGAGAGGGGTGAAGAATGGACTCCCTGGATCATATGCTGACGGACCCCCTGGAGCTGGGGCCCTGCGGGGAAGGAAATGGCACACGTATCATGGAGGACTGCATGCTGGGTGCCACCAGGGTCAGTCTGCCTGAGGACCTTCTGGAGGACGTGAGTCGTGCAAAGATACTTCACCTTTTCAGAGCCTTGATCAACAGCATGCTTAACTCCCTTCGCGGGGCTTGCAGAGCAAACTGGAAAGAGGGGAAATGTAACTGTCTGTCCTAGAAAATGTGTCAAAAAGGGTTTTGATTAATCTCAGCAAAGCATCTTTTAAAACTTTCCTGTTATGTTCTTTCTCTAGATAATCATAGAATGGTTTGTGTTGGAAGGGACCTTAAAGATCATCTAGTTCCGACCCCGCTGCCATGGACTGGGACACCTTCCGCTAGATCTAGCTGATTTTAAAATTGGCTTTAAGAAAGTTTTGCTTGTTACAAGTTCTAAATTTATTTTCTTGTTGCTGGTAGCATTGTTAATTTCCTCACCCTTGCTTTTTACGCTCTATTCTTTTCTGCATTTGGTGAGACATTGTCTCTTGACTTTTGTTTTTTAACCACAGAAAAGGCTAGAAAATTGTCCAGGATGCAGATACATTTTCTTCACTGTTGATTTTTGCTTTCTTTAGCCTGAGATCTTCTTTGAAGTTGTCAGCTTGTCTACGTGGCAGGAGGTACTGACAGATGCCCAGCAAGACCACCTAAAAAAATTCCTGCCTCACTTTCCCGAAAACAACCGAGAGCATCAGAACAAACTCATCTCTGCGCTGTTCAGTGGTGAAAACTTCCGTTTCGGAAATCCACTGCACATCGCCCAGAAACTCTTCCGGGGTCAGTGAGTGTAATAAACTTCTGTGTGTTTTGGGGGTTAAGTTGTTAACTAGCAGTTGACGAAAAATGGAGTGGTTTTTTTACCTCTTCCTTACAGATGGACACTTTAATCCTGAAGTTGTGAAATACCGGCAGCTCTGTTTTAAGTCCCAGTACAAGCGCTACCTGAGCTCGCAGCAGCAGTACTTCTACCGACTGCTCAAGCAGATCCTCGCTTCCCGCAACGTGAGTGTCTTCAGAGCACAGTCATCGCTTTCTTCTGTAACCAATAGGTTGCCTTTACAACAAAAAGTCTTGGTATCTGCGCACTCACGATTCTCTGAGGTTTTTCCTTTAATGAATGCTGTGTTTCTGGTTTTCCAGGTGGCCCTTATAAAACGAGAACACTAGAAACATTGTTACGTTTGTAGAATTTGGGTTCTGAAATTCATCGCTCTCACTTGTGTGTAGTGTCTTTTTCCCATGCCCACCTTGTCCTTCGCTTCCTGCATTTGCCCCTTTACACCTTACTATCCTATTAACAAGTCATTCTGCCTTCATTTTCTACCATTTCTGTCATTCTGAAACAAGTAAGGCTGCTAAATATGTAGTTGCATGAACTCCCCAGCTTCACTGTGGGCTGGTGTAGGTACAAAATTCCGATTCTGATACCTGTGAATAAATTCCCGATGAAGTCGTGCTCTATGGACACTGTTGTCAGCTAATTGCTGCCAACTGAAATGTGTTTGTTGTATTCGCTTGCTTATTGTCATTACGCTTGGCTGTTGAAATATGGGATGTATGGATGGAGATGAAAGCCTGTTATAAAAAGCCCCACAGTGATGGAAATGTATAGGAAGTTATTTCCTCTGTAGCCGTAAGGAGTAAAGCGTTTTCTTCGAAAGAGACAGTATTCCATGTCTGTGTTAAGTATTTGGCGTGGAAACTGCACCAGTGGATCTCAGACCAATGGTTAGGTTCTTCTGAACAGTCCACACGTGTGAGGTATTAGTGTGTGTGCAGACGAAGGTGCAGAAATTTCACCTTGTTTTTTTCCCCTTTAAATGGTGATCTAAAATGCTGGTTTTAAAATCTTTTATGCGGCAGATTCTGATGATTGGTAGGGGTTACCATATCACCAACTCCACACTTGCTGAAAATATGTGACTTGAGCTTATCTGCTGTAGCTTACAGTGCCGTAGCTGAGATGATAATAGCTATTGTCACACGTTTCTCACCTTCCAGCACTTGCTGGATTTAGCTAGGAAAGGAGGCCCTGATATGACCCTGAGGAGAAAGCACTTCCCACCAACGTATGACACAGAAGAACGAGACAGACGGACGCATCGGCGCTACTTGAAGATTCTGAGGGAAGTGAAAGAGGAGTGTGGAGATACTACCTTGTCTTCTGATGAAGAAGGTAATGCCCCGTGCTGAACTGAACGCTTGAGGTGCAAATGGAAACAGACAAAATTTTGATGTGGGGACAGTGTCTTCGATAGAAGAATGGAAACTGGACTCCAGTTTTGTTGGCTGTGATCTAATGAACGTGGGGTAATAGAAGTATGTAGGTGGTGCTAGGTCTTGCAGAAATAAATGTATTTCTCTGTTTATTTTAGATCTAAGCTCCTGGCCTCCAAGTTCTCCAGCACGTTGTCCAAGTCCACCCGTTCCCCTGAGAGTAATTCCCACATTGTCAACCTTGGACATGAAAACAGCAGGTGAGAACCAAAGTAGGGGTCTGTACGGATTTAGGGGTGAGAATTACTTTGAGACCCTGCAAGAAATCAGTTCTGAAAATCTGTTGTTTGATGGGAAATCTTGTAATGCTTCCTTTTTGCAGTCTCCAGAACAGTTGGGTCGTCTTCCACTTAATTTAATCTTTTTCTCCTTGGAAGGCTAGTGTTTTAGCACAAGGGTCTACAGTTTGTGTAGTACTACTGATTTCTCTGTTATATTTTGCCTTTAATGGTTGAAGCACTAGCACGGTCCAGTTTGAAATATATTGGTGTATGTACCGAGGGAATCCCTCCTAAGGTTATGGTAATCAAGTCTGCAAACCCTTTGTGCAGCACAGCTGATTTTCACTTCTTTTCACTTTCATCAACAATGAAATCTGATGACCCAAGGAAGAAAGTATTGAAATAAATTGGTTGATTAAGAGTGAATTTCAAATAAGGAAAAACTAGTTACTGAAATGTGGAGATTGTTGAAAGTGGGAATGGATAGAAAATGATATTCTAAGAAGTCTTGTAAAGTAACAATATTGGAAAACAGTGCAAATAATCTCTGAATGTTTGTTTGTTTGTTTGTTTTTTGTTGCAGACAAGATAGAATTTGGGGAAAGCGATTTGAAGATGATGTTGAGGAAGCACCATGAGAAACGAAAACGTCAACCTGTAAGATGTCAAGAAGCCTGGGGGGTGGGACTACCTTTTATTTACTAGTCTTTTATCTGTTAGCCATAAAGTTCTGGGTACTTCTGAGTGACAAAATGATCGCTACTCTTTTTGTATGCAAGCATTCCTCAGCCCTTTTTTGTAACCAGTATTTAACTGTCAGTGTATATATGCAACTCCTGTTCATGTTTACCTGTTTAGAAGGATTTTGTAATTTTAGTGATGTGTTTGAGAGACAAACTTGTAGATTTCAGGGTTAGAAGACTTACCGACTTCTATTGCAGTAAATAAGCTGATCCTGGGTGATTGGGGCATTTCAGCACTTGGGTTATCTTCTGGACTCTTGTTGCTATCGTAACACTTTGTCCTTTCCCAATTTTAATTTCTATCCCCTTGTCCTGTGTAGGACCACCCCGATCTAGTGACGACAGACCTGACTCTCGAGGACATCATGACTCGAGTAAATGCTGGCAGGAAAGGTTCCTTAGCAGGTCAGTGCCTTGGACACAGTACTTGTGCACTGTGTGACTAGAGGGTATCCTCTGTGTGTGGAAAGCTGAGGAAGGGGGTCTCGATAGATTGTTGTATCCTTTCCCTCTTCACACGTGGCTGGGGTTGTGAGTTGTTCATTCCAGTTGCTCACAGACAACTCCAATTTCCACTGAAGGTGCTTCCAACTAACTGCTGGGAGTTAATGTGTATTTCTACTCTAAGCGGTTAGCTTTGCCTTTCTAATTTCGTATACGCTGGTTTAAAAACTAGAGGTTTTCTTTTAAAACAGAGAGCGTTGAGGGGTAAAAGATTCATGGAACCGACAGGCTGGAATGAACTGATGGCGAATGAGTGCACTCTACATACGTTTCCAAATATATGTTTAAATATGTAGTTTATGATTCTCAATAAAATATGGTAAGAAATTTTTCTCATTGTTCTTCTTACCTTTATCGTATCTAGCCTTATTTGACCTTGCAACCCTCAAGAAAAAGGTGAAAGAAAAGGAAGATAAGAAGAAAAAAAAGCTGAAGATTATAAAATCCGAGGTGGAAGATTTGGTTGACTCTCTTAGCAATGTGGATGGAATCCCACCACTGTCTCAGGACCCTTCCCCCATCCCTCTGTCATCTGTCAAAGAAGAGTAAGTGCTTCAGAGGGCCCCAAACGCCTTGCATGGATGGAGAGAGCAATAAATGTTGCAATTCAGATTTTTGTGGGACTTTTTCAGGCTTTGGTTTTGTGCGGCTTGGGATGTGAGAGATGTGTGGTGTTCATCTTTGTATAAGACAGTGAATATTTACTCAGGGAACTCACCCTCTTTGTGTTCTCTTTATTTGAAGACCTCTTGAAGAGATGAAGCCATGCCTTGGAATAAATGAAATATCTTCCAGTTTCTTTTTTCTTCTTTTGGAGATACTGTTTCTGGAAGGACCCGCTACTCTCTCAGTGGTAAGGAGCCACCCACTTCTCTAAGGATCTTTGCAGAAAGCAAAATTGGGGGATAGAGTGTTTTATAGCCATGTAATAATAATTTTTCTCCAGAGTCGTCCGGCTGTAAATGATACTAAAATGCAGATTACATATTAAAGAAAACAAACCCTTTGGGAGTGCATACCACATTCTGGTTTTAACGTGTTTCATGAACTTAGTCAGCTGAATCTAAGTCTTTCCATACCCATTCTTTAGATCATGGTTGGATATATTCTCTATATTAAGAGCAGAGATCATGGAGAAGTTTTTTTCCCCTTTGTGGTGTCTGTTGTCTGGACCACCACAGTGAGGGTTACTTGAAAAAGTCAGGTGATTTTTTTTTTTTTTTTTTTTTTTTTTTTTAATATATGTTAAAAATTTTAATTTTTGTCCCCTGGATATGTTTAGCTGTTTTGTTTTCCATTAAAACAGTTACAGTTTGGAGTGTGAGATCTTTAATACAGTATTTCTTTTTCCTTTTCAGCTTGAAGATAAAGTTCTAGATTGGCAATCTTCTCCTGCCAGTGCACTAAATAACTGGTTCTCCTTTTCTTCTAACTGGTCTGAACTGGTTTTACCTGCTTTGCAGTACTTGACAGGTGACAGCAGAGGTAGGAACGGCTGTTAAAAATACTAATGATGCTGGTACCTCAGTTCTAATCCATTCTGGTTTACATTATAGCTCAAATCAACTTTTAATTCATCACTACAATAAATCATTGTATTGTTGGCGGCGTTCCTAGCGTAGGCTTTATGGCTTCCATTTGGTGATTGTGGTAGTCATGTTTTGCATGTGGATAGTAGATAAGACCCAGCTTGATTCCTGAGTATGTGAAAATGTGTATGAAATTGCCTCTAGACAGGCAGATTCTCCTCTTCAGATCAAGTGCTTCAGGCAGGATGTTTGAAGCAGGAAGTCTCTTCCTGGTGCGAAGACGTTATGGTTGTCTTCGGAGATAATAAAAATTAAACTAGATGATGCCCTGAGCAATCCACTGGAAACATGAAGTTGGCCCAGCTTTGACCTGAGGCTTAGACCAGCTAAGCTTCAGACATTCCTTTGAAACTAGACTATTCTGTGGTTCTCATTTGCATAGTGGAAAGCTTTAAAGAAAGAGACAGCATAGATTGTAGTGGCCTTTGCAACATGGAAACTTATGTTCTCTGTAATGCTGGCGAGTACTGTAAATCCAAAATTTGTTTCCCATGAGCCCAGGAATAGTCACTGTACAGTAACAGCTCCTGGTGCCTCAGAGCATGAACAGGATCTCGATCTGACAGCCTGCATATGAAAGAAAGACTCATTATCCTCTTCTTTCCTGGTGCTTCCACTGTTACTCTGAGTGCATACCTTCCCTTTGGGCAAGTATAAATTGAGAGGTGCACTTACATAATCACTTAAAATGCTTTATCTGTCATTATGAGTCTGAATCAACAGTTTACATTACATCAGTAGGATTTGGGGAGTTGGACGATTGTATGATGTCTCTGACATGCACATTTTTCATTGTAGATGTTCCTTCCAGCTTCTCACCTTTTGTTGAATTCAAGGAAAAAACTCAGCAGTGGAAGTTGCTTGGTGAGTATCTTGCGCTATGATTTCATTTTCTCCAGGACTTTACTTTTCAGCTTGCTGCAGCCCAGACAGAAGGGCAAACAGGGATGCTAATTCATTGGTTAGGCCTTTTCTTTTTAACTGAGCCAAGTTATGTTTTGGAGTGTTTTGGATTCAGGGTGTTCACAAGACTTTAGTATTGGCAGCAGACAGAGAATGAGTGAGCAAAGGCACTGGACTGTATTTCTTTATCTTGCTGACCTAACCACGTTTATATCACCCTTCAGATCTGTCTGAACACCTTCCTGTTTCCCTTTCTGTAGAGCATACCTTCTGATTATTCAGAGTAATTATTAGTTATTACAATTACAAATTATTTAAAGTGCTCTGTGGAGCAAACGGATACTATTCTCATTTTTAAAAGTGGGAACCAAAAAGTAAATTGATAGTCAATGTCCCCAGGCTCATAGTGAATTACAGATGCCTTGTGTTTATGTTAATACATTTAGCTACTGAACAAAATTTCCTGTTCTTAAATGTACTGATCCTGGTAATCATATTTGTAGGCTTAAACTGGCAGAGATTTGGAGTTGGGAAGCTATCCCTCTGGCCCCTTTCACAGTTTTTGATGGAGGTTATGTAGGCATGTGTTTCTGCTCCTGGACTCAGTGACTTGGGATTATTACTTCGGAGAGCAGGAACCACCTGCAAATACCAGGTGGCTGTGTCTCAAACATCATCTCGCCTGCTATGCCAGGAGTTGAAGCACTGTCCTTTGTACCAACATAGGAGAATAACTAGACTTTGAGCTCTTTTCTAAGCCTGGATGTGTTCAAGTATCAAAACTGGAGTATCTGTGAAGTGTGGAAGATGCCTTGTGACTGGTGATGAATAGAGGGGTGGAGGCAGTAGGAGGCAACTGGGAGGTACAGGCAACCAGCTTCATAATGCATAAAAGACTTCTGCTTCCTATTTTTCCTGATTTCTTGGACTAGGCTCTTGCCAAGATCATGAGAAGGAATTGGCAGCACTGTTTCAGCTCTGGTTGGAGACCAAAGACCAGACGTTTTTCAAAGTGAGTCAGAAAAAAATCACCTTCTAGCAGCACAAAACCTGACTGAGTTATATCCTACACTGACGTTTCTCTGTTTTTTGATAGGAAAATGAAGACAGCTTGGATGCCACAACACCAGTTCCCAGAGTGTAAGTATATAATGCTGCTTGAAAGCTTTTGCTGTGCGTGCTAAAGCTATGAAGTTTGGTCCTTGTGCCTCTGGATCTAAATGGCTGGCTTCTTGAAGTAGAAAGATTTTACATGATGGGACAGGAGAGAACTTGATAATCTGATTTTACAAACGCAGTAACTAGACTTCACAAAGTCAACTGATTTTCTCCAAGTTCATACACATTATCAGAGCAAGTCTGTAATCTAATTTATGTCTGGATAACTAAATTATTTGCAGTCCTAGCTTATCTTCGGGTAGTGCATAGAGTGTATTTTAAGATCTCTGCAGGACTCGTTTATATTATCAAATGCTTTCAGAATTTGTTCAGAGAAATTTGCAGAAGGGGTGTGGTGACTAATCTTTGGGACGTTTTTTGGGACTGCTGTGGGATTGATGTTGTTCAGAACTGATGGTGACCTCTGTTTCAGAAGGACTGACTACGTAGTCCGACCTAGCACTGGAGAAGAGAAACGTGTGTTTCAGGAACAGGTAAGAAGAGAATCTTAATTTTAAACACACATGTTGAAATTGCTGGCCACTAAACCAAGAGAATTTGTGTGGGATGGTGGTTTTATACTCTATACAAACTTTGTTACTTTAAAGAATTAGTATTTTTCGTCTGCCTTGGAAGTAGGTATCTTGGCCTTGCATAAAACTTGCTAACAATATATCCTGGCTGCTTACTTCAAGAGCACCTGTATTTCCAAAGGATATTGGGCAAAATTAATTGAAATTGGTGGTGCCAACCTTTCTATCTTCTCTGCCATCCCTCAGCACATAAGGATGACTTGTCTCTATATTTTTTGGGCGTGTATGAGTACAAGCAGAAGACAAGTGGCAATAAGTGCATCCGTATGGTTAATTATCTTGTCTGTAGTAGATGCAAGTGTGTATTAGAGGGTAAACACATGATGACACCGCTTCCCCCTGGGTACCTGTGCTGTGTGCGTGGTAGAATATCCAGGTTAAATTTGGGAAATCTCTCTTTCACCAGATTGGAGGAGGAAGAAAGGGCTGCTTGTTGCTGGGGGAAGGGGTGCTTGCTGGGCGGTAGGTATATCTCTGGCACCTCTCTAGTCTGTGCAGCTGCTGAGCAATTAACCTAATGTATTGCACCTGCACACTTGGGCTAGGGGGTGCTTTATTATTCTACTTGAAGTAGTTCGTGCTTGTCTTGATCCAAAACAAGTTTATACAGCAGTATTTAGGCCTTTCATTTAAAAAGAGACTTTCTCTGGAGGGTGATAATAACTCATAATATAAACACAGAACAAGCTTTAGGACTTTGCACTATGTTTCCTGCTAAATTCAGTCCTCTTTGTTTCCAAATACAGGAACGTTACCGCTACAGCCAGCCCCACAAGGCTTTCACTTTCCGTATGCATGGCTTTGAGTCAGTCGTTGGTCCTGTGAAGGGGGTGTTTGACAAGGAAACCTCATTAAACAAAGCCCGAGAGCATTCTCTCCTGCGCTCAGACAGACCAGCATATGTCACCATTTTGTCCCTCGGTAAGGTGATGGCCAAAAAAGTTTTTTTTTAAAAAAGAAAGGGCTCCCCTGACCCTTCCAAACAGTGCTTTTAGGAATCTACGTTAAAAAGGGGAAAGGTGGGTAGACTGGGATGACATAAACAAAGAAGAAATAGAGAGTCCATGGGGCTGGCTGAACCTAAGGCTCAGATAACGAAAAAAAAAGAAAGAGTGGTGGTTTCAGTACACTGTTGGGAAGTTGGGGCATTGCAAAGTCATTCTGGGGCTCAGTGCTGTGCCCCAAGTTCATCACTCCTAGTACAAAGCCGGCAGAGTCGATGTACTTCAAAATGGTCCTTTTTAATCTCTGTTTGTACCTCTGAGGGATCACGGGGGCTAGACTTTAGTGAGCAGGTAGGCACTGCGAGAGCAGGGGGTTGAGAGCCATAGCAAAATGTATCTGCTGAGGTGCTTGAATGCAACTACCTACTAACGACTGGAAATCTAAGCTCCAGTTTTGTATTTCAGTTCGTGATGCTGCTGCTCGCCTTCCTAATGGAGAAGGAACTCGTGCTGAAATCTGTGAGCTGCTTAAAGATTCCCAGTTCCTAGCTCCGGATGTCACAAGTGCTCAAGTAAGTTGGATCTTATGTCTGGCCTCAAACAGATTCTCCTGAAAATACATCATTGCCCAGGCCTGGGCAGTGTTCAGTGGTTAAGGCCCAATACTTTTTATGCTGCTTTGATTAGCAAAAGAGAGCTATGTACTACTCTGAGCTGCTGCAAATCTGCATGGTGCTCTGGATGATATAAAAACAGCTAGAAAAGCCACAGGATGAACACTGTGTCATATAGCTGCACACATTTTAGATTCAGAAACTGTCAACTTTCGGAGTGCTGAGCTTTGGTGGAAGCTCCATTTAATCCAAGGTGGTAAAACAGCATCCTGTGCTGCAATATCTGCTCCAAGTCAGTTCTTATCAAAGGAAGATTGCTAGCAGCTTACTCAGGTTTTATGCCAAATAGGATTACTTTTCTATTTGTGACCTTTGGCTAGCCAAACCAGGGACGTCTTGTAATTCTGTGAATTCTGAACTTTCAGGTTAATACTGTTGTCAGTGGTGCTTTGGATCGATTACACTATGAGAAGGATCCCTGTGTAAAATATGATATTGGACGCAAGTTGTGGATCTACCTGCACCGGGACAGGAGTGAGGAAGAGTTTGGTAAGCTTGGCTTGCTGGTATCTTAAGAATTGAAGATGTTTATAAATCTCTTGAGCTTCTTCAGTCCAGCTGGATAATGAACATGAATTGGTCAGTCTAGCTTTCTTCTGTAGTCAGTTTGCTAACATTAGCCCATCAGCACTTGCAGAGCAGTGTGTCAGTCTGAAGTATTTGTTGGAAAATAGATTCCTGTGTGCAAGAACTGCAGATGTACATGTACATTCACAACGTCTTATGTGCCCTTTGTTTCAGCCTTTTTGGCTAATTTTACTTGGTATTTTTCTTTGCATTATTACATGACGATGTGTGTTTGATTCCTTGTCTGAAGATAAATTTACAGTTCTTGATTGGCCTCTTACTCATGTTTGCTCGTGTTTAGGAACTCTAACCATTAATTTGTATTTGCAGAACGGATTCACCAGGCTCAAGCTGCTGCAGCAAAGGCCAAGAAAGCTCTTCAGCAGAAGCCAAAACCTCCAGCTAAAATGGTACATTTCTTTGCAGAGGTTTGCACAAATGCTTCTGGGATTAGGAAAGAGATGTGGGTTTAATTTAATCCATAAATTCTGCGTCCGTAGTGGCTGATGAAAATTACCATGTTATTTGAGTTATTCATTCACTATGTATACAAATGTCAGCGTTAGCCTAGCACCAGTGCACAAAATGAAGAGGGAAAGAGGGAGCCTTTGCTTCTCCCAGCTTCCACTGTTACCCTTGTTGATCTCAGCAGAAAGGTCAATGGAATTCATTTGTGCTCCCTATCTCAGGGGTGGTCTTTCAGGTCTAGTTTTGAGGTTAATCTGTAGCAGAGTGTGTGGAACACGTCTTCTGCTCTCCCCCTTGCTGTGCTGAAGCTGCCAGGGGTTGGATGTCTTTTTGTTGTTGTTGTTATTGATACCAGATATCTCTAAAGTAGTTGCTGTTGGCAGATTAACCGAGGTGGAAATCTGCACGTTATAAATGGCTGTCACAGCTGAGTTGCACTTTTCCCTGAGAACAGGAGTAGCCAAATGCACCAGCCCACTTGTGGCTGCAGTGGCGGAAGGCAGATGGTCAGTCATTTCAGGATTTAGCACCAGAGCATCGTTCATAACCATACAGAACTCAGCTTGAAGTGCTCAGCCCACTCTCTAGAGTGCAGCAGTCAAACCCGGTCTTTGTGAAGACCTTCATGCTTGACGTGGTTTCTTTGCAGAAGTCTAGTAGCAAGGAGAGTTCTGTGAAAGCACTCCCCAGCAGCACATCAGAGCCCAGTCAGCTGAGCCTTAGCGACTCCAGCATGCCACCGACTCCTGTGACACCAACTGCACCAGCATTACCAGCAACGCCTATTTCACCCCCACCAGTGTCTGTGGTTAGCAAGAGTGTATCTAGTGCTGGGTCGGAGCCAGCAAAACCCAGCCAGAGGTACTTTTTCTGTCTCATCCATCTCCTGTGAATGTTATCGGTTCTTTCTCCATCATTCCCTGCATCTTTGCTGACCTGCTGGCTTTATCTTCTCCGTAGTGTTCTTCTGGTGTCATCCCCTACCATGCCACAGCTCGGGACGTTGCTTTCCACAGCCCAGAGTTCCCAGACGCAGTCGGGGCCGCAGCCCCCTCCCACCCGGGTGGTGAGCCATACCACCTCCTCGGGACTGCCGCAGGTCCGGGTGGTCACTGCCCAGTCCAGCCTCCCAGCTGTGTCTCAGCAAGCCCCGGTGGTAACCCAACAGCAGCAACCTACGTCAGTGCCTCAGATCCGCGTTCCGGCTACAGCCACGCAAACCAAAGTGCTCCCTCAGGTGAGTGTGGCTGCAGGGAAACGGTGGAGAGGCTCTGGCTTCCAGTCTGACTTCTTTGAGTGTTCTGGTATGGTGCACGGGGATTACTCGCTCGCTTGGAACATGCAGTAACTGCAGGGCAGGAGCATAGAAGCAGTTTTGCATATATAATACCGTTCAGTGCTCCTTTTTTCCTCCCTGTTGCCCTTTTATGTGGCACCATTAAATTGTGCATTACAGTAAAAAGTCCACAGAACTACCAAGCTGTAAGGCACAAGAAAAGAAAGAGTAAATTATTAGTCTGTTAATGTGTGAGTCTGCTCATGTGTCTTTCTGTAGGCTGTGATGACTCTGCCGGTAAAAGCTCAAACCAGCCCAGTGCAGGTGCAAAGACCAGGAGGCTCCGTGACAGGACAGGCAGGCATCACCGTGACAGGACTGTCTGCAGCAGCCAGCCCTGCTGTGAAGCCAGTAACCAGCTCTCCGGGCAGTTCTGCTACGAGCACCTCCTCTACCACTGTCATCCAGAATGTGGCTGGCCAGAATATCATCAAGCAGGTGAGAGAGAGGGAGGGACAAGGAGCTGGACTCCACAACCCAGTCATTTCCTGTTTGTCGTGACAGACGTGATAGGCAGGTGTGAAGAGATGGTGAAAACTGCAGCGAGCTGTAATGCTGTATGAGCTCTTGACCATACAGATTTAGGCAGTTGCTGGTTTGGTGTATTTGAGCCTTGTTTTCACATACAGGTAAAAGATGTGTTAGCCCAAGGTTAACCATCTTCAAATGTTCATCTCATCTCCATTCATCTTGTTTGAAAAAGCAGCTCCGCAGTATTTCCTAATTTATGGTTTGGGGAATGCCATCTGATGCGCAACCAAAACTATTTTCAGCGTGTACTGAGTGCTAGCATCGTGCCGTTTCAGTTTTGATGGGAGCAAGCATCCTTTTGGGAAGCTTTACTGTGTGCCTTGGACCGTGTCCTGGTTTGGTCCAGCCGTTTCTCTGATGTCTTCCAGGTGGCTATTACAGGACAACTCGGCATGAAGACCCAGGCTGGAAGTGGCATCCCGCTCACAGCGACCAATTTCCGGATCCAAGGGAAAGATGTGTTGCGCCTACCCCCGTCCTCTATCACCACAGATGCGAAGGGACAGACTGTGCTGCGTATCACGCCGGACATGATGGCCACCCTGGCCAAATCTCAAGTCACTACTGTCAAACTGACTCAGGACCTCTTCACAGCAGCTGCGGGAAGCAGTGCTAGTGGAAAAGGCATCTCTGCGACTTTGCACGTGACATCCAATCCTGTCCAGGCTGCTGATTCTCCGGCCAAGACTAGCACGGTCACTTCGGCTTCTTCCAGCCCAGCTGGAAGCACAGTGGTTAAAGTGACTCCTGACTTAAAGACTGCAGAGGCAACAAGCTCCGCTTTCCGACTGATGCCTGCTCTGGGCATGACTGTGGCAGATCAGAAGAGCAAAGCCGTAACTACGGTGGCATCCACAGAGGCCAAGCCGGCTGCTACCATACGAATCGTGCAGGGGCTGGGGGTGATGCCGCCCAAAGCTGGGCAGACTATTACTGTAGCTACTAAGCAGGTGCCCTCTTCCTCAGCAGTCAGCGTGGCCGGCACAGTCCACACCTCAGCTGTCTCTTTACCAACCATGAGTGCCACGGTGTCGAAAGCGGTTGCCGTGGCCTCGGGAGCTGCTGGGACTCCCATAACGCTGGGCACAGGAGCCGCTGCTGTGCGGCAGGTGCCTGTCAGCACCACGGTAGTATCTACGTCCCAGGCAGTAAGTAATGCTAACCTTTCCCTGGAGCGGGGTGGGAAGGGGGAGTGCTGAAATACACTGATGGTTTACACCTGCGAGCCTCTCCTAACATCCACGAAGGCTCAAATTAAGTGCTGTAGAATGGGGGTCTGCAGCTAATTTCGTGGTGTTGGAATTGTAGCTAAATGCCGAATGAGCAGAAAACAATCAGATATGTCTTCCCTCATGTCCTCTTGCAAGTGAATGAAATAAACTTTGCTTATTTAAAGTCCTACCTCATGCAGCTCAGCGCCTTGCATCACACCTCTGCAATCATTTCCCTTGGAATGGTGTCAGAACTTAGAATTGCTTGTTACTTGTATTAACTGTTTTACCATTTCCCTGTTTAATGCAATTTTAATGCCCAAAACTGAAGGCGCCGTAAACTGTATCATGAAAGCTGCATTAAGCTAATTGACATTACGATAGATCCCGAAGGATAAAAATCGTGGATGGATACAATGATCCTTCCCAGAGAAGCACTGTGGTGCAAAGATGATGTGGGTTTTCGGGGCTGAGGAAGCTGTGAAGTGAATGAGATGGAGGTGAATTTTAATGAGCCTGAAATGGAGCACAGATTTCATCAGCGAGAGCTGCTGTTGGTTTTTCCTCCCAGGACTCCTAAAAAGCAAGCTGAGTGGTAATTGCATGTTGTCAAGCAGTTTCTCTGCTGAACTCCCTGCGGCTCCTCATGTGTTCTTCAACTTCTCTAGGGTAAACTACCAGCACGAATAACGGTGCCCCTGTCAGTGATCAGCCAGCCCGTGAAAGGCAAGAGTGTGGTGACTGCTCCCATCATCAAGGGCAACCTCGGGGCCAAGTGAGTACTTTGCATCTGGTAGTTTTGCTTCAGTAACAGGCTGAGGCAGGTCTGTGTTCAGTAGGTTCCTGGGGAGCTAGCAAGCAGAGGGTGGAATAGCCCTGAAGTCCATTTATAGGTCCGTTAGCTGCAAGAAACTTAACGAACGTGGTGTCAGGCGATGAGAATACAGTCTTTGTTTAGGTGCCCTGAGATGTAGGTTCTAGGAAATCCACTGAAGAAAACATGTTCTTTGCCTTGAAATCGGCTATTAGGTTAGTTCTGTGTGTTTGAGCAAGAATTAACCGGGTGACATACCTAAAAATGTAATCTGAAGCCATCTCTCTGTTAAAGAAACGAAGGAAGTGTTAACTGCCTCAGTGAAAATTCCTCTGGCACTCAGATATTGAAGTCTTTTTGTTTATTCTTCCATGAATTCTGGTAGTGTCTCCCTTAGTTAATATTTCAGAGCAGAACACTGTGTGCTCAGCTATTTTCTGCATTCCTTGAGAAGTGTTCAGGTGTGATCCGGCTAACCTAGTGATGTGTATGGTCCAGAATTAGAGGGTTTAATCCACGTGATAAAGTAATGCTCTATCATAGTGATAAATGTCGAGATAAGTTTGTCACTTGCCAGTTTGGTGGAGGAAAAAAGCCCTACTACTTAAAATCATTAGTAAATTAGATAAATAACTTTAATCTCCTGGCAACTGAAGAACAATTTGTGAGTCTGAAAGATGTAGCCTGCTGTGCTGTTTACTAACCTTTCAACAATTCCCTTTGCTCAGCATCAGTGGATTAGGTAGAAATATCATCCTGACTACGATGCCAGCAGGGACAAAACTGATCGCTGGGAATAAGCCCGTGAGTTTCCTGACTGCACAGCAACTACAGCAGCTGCAGCAGCAAGGCCAGACCACGCAGGTAACGGCACCTAGAATTGGTAATATTATTTGCTTTTTTTATGACTTACCATCTCCACGAGGACTTTACGCTTGGTACGCGGGGTTCCGTAAAAAGCAGAGGAGCACAGCTTGGCTCTAGTGTCTGCATTAAGCAACATCTCCTTTACCTTCCCTCCATCCAGATACAGTTTTTAAATGTTTGTGAAATGTATAAGGAATGTAAACCCAGAAATCCCATCAGGAAATGTTCTCAACTGCTTGGAGGATTGTTTCTATGCGCCTGGCTTTTTTTGAAGTGCTTTGTATTTTGGCTTCTGGAGATCACCTTTTCATGAAGAAGTCACATTGCTGCTTTGCATATCCATCTTTGTCTGGAAACATAGAGTTCTGTAATTGCAGATAATTAATCTTTATTGAGAGCTGCTAGTAACAAGTCTGTAGAAACGAAGTATTCACCGGGTCCAAGTCCTTCTTCTGAAAACTTGTAAAAGCAGCTGTGTAGGTTTTTATTCAAACCAGTTTTTAAATCTTCCTCTGTAATCTTGACAACTCTTGCCACCATCCCACGTGAGCAGTGGACGGAGTGATCTTCTTGTGGCACATTCTGTTCTTAATGTGTTCTGGTGCTTGGCCTTGTTCATAGAACTGAATTTTTGTTGGCAGCGGAAGCAGATAATTTGCCAGCACTTCAGAGTGTGATGCAAGTGCAGTGTGTCACCAGGTTGCTCCTGCTGTGAGTTGAGTTATTTTTCCTTCCATTCCAAACAGGTGCGAATTCAAACAGTGCCAGCCTCCCATCTCCAGCAAGGAACAGTCTCTGGCTCTACTAAGGCAGTTTCCACTGTGGTTGTGACAACAGCTCCATCTCCAAAACAGACCCAAGATCAGCTATGAGCAACGATTTGAAAATGGTCGCTTTCCACAAACTTCCCTGAGTCCGTGGTCATCCTCCATCCAACCACCTGAGACTACCTAACCTCAGCCGTGGCTAGGGGTTGGACCAGCTTCTGTCCCGTTGCTTGTCTGGAGTCAGCACTGTGATGTCTGGGTAGAAATTCCACAGCAGAAGATGCTGTACCTACGATACGAAATGTTTCAGTCCAGATGTGTAAAGCCAAGTTCTGTGGCATTGATCATTTAAGAAATGTCTTCCTTTATTTTGTTCTCTTCCCGTCCGGAGGGGTTTTTTGCGAGTATGGTTTCTGTGCATTTTGGGTTGTAGACAAAGCAGTTGATCTTGGGTCTTCCTTAACCAGGTAAACTTGCTTTTCAGAGTCACAAAGAAGATGCCTCCTTCTGCTGGAGTCTTGCTGTCACTACTTTTATACAGGTGACTTAGGATGGTGGCTTGGACACCAGAGTTTGTAACGTAGCCTGGATGTAGATCCCTAACGTATTGAGTGTACTATTTATAGACTTTTTAAATATCTCTCCCCTATCTTTGAGCTCAGACTTCTTTTGAACAGATACTACTTCCATGTCACATTTCTGTCGAAGGCAGGATGAGAGTCAAGACGGTTTCTGCTGTAAAAAAGCTAGTAAGCGTGGGGAGGAGCGAGAAGCGGAGGAGGTGCAGAAAGTTGTGTGAACAAGTCTGTCAGCAAATGGGAATGTACTGGAAAGGTAAAAGAAAGCGTTCACCAGAAGGATCCTCCTTTAGTTTTCCTCAACAAATAAACCTTTTTATCAGGCAAAAAAAGACTGTAGCGTGTCTTAAAAGTTTGGCATATGTTTTCAAATAGACCCAAGCTGTAGTCTCTTGGACTGAGAAGAAGTATTTTAACCCGTGATCCCAGCTTTTAGTTTTTTTCTTACCTTTGCAGTTTTATCTCTCTGTAAATTTGTTTTGGGTTTTGCACATACCGGAGATGAATTTGTGGCTGTTCTGACATGACCTTGAAGCTTTCTCAGAACAAGAGCAAAAGATGTGTTGGGCCGGGAGAAGAATAAACGTGCAGAAAGCCTTTAGAAACCTCTCTGCCATCTCCTTTTGGTTTTGTACAGCTTGTTTTGTGTACAACGATTGTGTAGCTTGCCAAGGGCTAATAGATTGTCCATCTTTGTAAGATGGTTCTTTTTAACCTGGTTTCTCTTGTAGTCTTTTTTACAATACATGGTCTGCTCCAAGTTAGACATTGCTGAATATAATCTCTGTAAAAGAACCAAGTTGCACAGTTGGGTGCTGGCCGAGCTGCGTGCCTGGAGCTCCGTGTGTTGCTGTGCGGTTCCGCCGCACCTGAGCGGAGCAGGTGGTTTTGCTGGGCATGCCCCTCTTCCCGTTCAATCCCCAACCTGCTTCAGGGGTGGGCTGGGGGAAATTGGGTATTTTGGTTAAAAAAAAAAAAAAAAAAAAGGTAGCTGGCTGCAAGTACTGAATAAGCAGGGCACATCAATATAGCGTTTTAAAGCAAGTGCTTGAATTATGGCTTATATGCATCGGGAACAGAATTAGGAGTGATAAGGGTTTTCTGAGCACCTGTCCTACTTCATCAATTTTTGTACATTTAACTACTGACTAGGGAGACGGCAGAAAGGCTGTGGATTGGGAGGGAGGCAAGGACATGTAAGTCCTTTTAGTGGTGAAGTTAAAATAAGAAACTAAAGAGACGACAAGCAACTTCCCGGTATTGCCTGTGTGAAAGAGCCTCTACATTCAGAACATAATCAAGATAAGCCTGCTATGTTAGTTCTGCTCATCATTAATAAAGTTCCTCGGTGTCAAAACCTACAATCAAGTGCTGAAAGATGGTTACAGCATGAAGCCCCTTATATTTCTGTGAATCCTCTTGCAAGCAACTCCGTGATTTTGTCAGTGGACACAGGAGGCCTCAGCGGTATTAAATGTAACAAACCAAGAAACCTGCATCTAATCCCATGAGTTTAGTGTGTCTCAGATTGTTGCTGCTGCTTCTGAAGAGTCTTGCTGTTCAGGACATCATCCTGTCTGCTAAGCTGGCTGCTAACGTGAGCAATCTTTTCGTTCACTGCTGCTTCACTTAGGCCTGTTCTCTTAGCTTTTAAAGTCTGTGATCTTTGGGGAAGGAGCATCATTGGCTATGGGAGCTTCTATTTCACGTGGCTGCCTGCTGCATTAGACAGTATATGTTTACTCCCCGCTTTCAAGAACAAAGTACAGCCTGTTCTGCGGTTCAGCTGCCACCCCTCTGATGGGTTGCTTCCACTCTGGTTGAAAAATAACCCTTAAGCTACTGCAAGAAAAGAGCCCTTGTTTTTAATAAGTAACCTTTAACTTCTACACAGCAGGCTGAAGGGCAGTGAGGGTCTTGAGTGTTTTTTTTTTTTTTTTGTGTATGCTGGGCCTGGCTGAGGGTATATTTGAGCTAGACAGTGTTCCAGGTGGTGTTTGCTCCTATGTCCTCTTGCTCCGGGGACTGAAGGCTGTTCTGGGTGGGTACTGCAGGAAGAGCTGCAGAGGGGAGCGTGCCTGCAGAGCAAGACAACCTAGAGGAAGAATTACACTGACATTGCCCATTTCCCATCTGCTTGTCTTGCCTGAAACTAACAGGGCTTTGCCTGATGCATCTTTGCCATTACCATTTTTAATTAAAAGTAGTACAGCCTCTTTTTGTCACAGTGAGATGCTCACTACAGTTATCCAAGAGCCTCGATTATTTCTTAAAACCTGTGAGTTAGATGTTTATTTCCAGCAAAAGCATGGCATGTAATCATTGCTTACCAGAACCGAGTGTGCTACACAAACTGCCAGAGGCCACTGAAAGCCTTTCCAACCTTTATTTTAACAACTGCTCTGTTTTATTTAAATCATGGGGAAAATCTTTATTTATATACCTCAGTAGGATGCCCTCATAACCCAATGAACTCATCTTGAGGTTACTTCAAGTGTTCCTTTTCAAAAGCAAATAGTTAATTGGACATCAACCTGCATGTTTTTAACAGTTGGTCTTCCTTTTCCAAATGCCTTGCAGTCACTGGCACAGTTTTTAGGTAAATACAAAACCCCTGTTGCTTGTTTTTCACATGACCAACCTGAACCCCTGCAACTAGAACAAAGTCACAGTAGGCTTAGCTTTTGTACCCCCCTGACAGGAGTTTGGTACGTGGTGCCTGACCTTGGGACCCTTCTGGCCGAGTGCTGTTCATGTAGCACTACAGCGTGGCAGTCTGAAATTTAAGACTTTTGCCCTGCAACCTTAAGCGCAGCGACTTGCTACAAACTGGGCAGAGCTGTGGGGAAAGGAGAATGCGCTGCTGTGTTCTAGGTGGAAACTGGCTCCAAGAGAAACGGGGTTTAATTACTGTAGTTGCCCCATAGCAACCAATTTACTTCAAGATTTACTCGAATTGTAGCTACGTAGGTAGATCAGGTGTGTTGTGTGTCAAACGGTGCTACGCTGGACTGTTCAACGCTAGCCTAATATATTGTTTACTCATTTGGTAAAAGCTTCAGGGTAACACCGCTCCAGCTGATGAAGCTTTGCAAATACAAGCTCAGCATCATCACTTAATGAGGGTTCTGTGAATGTGTATTGAAGCATGGGACCATTTTTGCAAGCCATGAATAGTATTTCTCACACCCTGCCGCTCACTGTCCAACCCTGCTACATACCAGTAACTGATAACAAGGAGTAAAATAACCGTATAGTTTGCAAAAGGGAAATTACGGCATCCAGAAATGGTAGGCTAGATTCATCTTTCTTAACTTGGGCGTTGAACTTTTAGATAGATCTGAATTGCTCACCCTCAGCTGCATTTGCAGCCACCGATGCCTCCAGCGGGCAATTCATTTGACTTCCCTTTGGTTCTTGTAGCATGAATCACTCCCTGGGTATAACCATTTCTTTCAGCGGACTATAAAAAGAATTCTGGGAGAGTAGCTCAAACTTAGGCTTTTAATGATTTAATTTAGGGATGCTCCATTCTCTGTCAAGTGACCCATTCAGTGTGGTTTTAATCCATTTGAGCGTGGATTAATCTTGTATATAGCATCCTGTGTGGAGGCCTGGAAAGTGCAAAATCAGAGGTAAATAAAATTTTAAGAACCAGTTTGTTTCCTTATATCTAGAAGTATTCACCAAACCAATTTGGTAAGCCTTGCATCTGTATCATCTAACGTTACTTTTTCTCACTGTCCTCCAGTTTGCAAGATCCGGAGCAAAATAACTCACCTGCCAGAGCCCGGATCCTTGAAGCAGGAATGTGTTGGTCTTTCAGAACTCCAGAATCAGGAGGTTTCACAATAACCCTTAAAGAGCAGAAGGCGCCGATCAAGTAGAGGAGAGAGCATCCATAACTGGATGTGCTGACCCAGAGCAAGGTCACCACGGCCTGGAAAACAGAAGAGCAAACCTGCCAAAGGTCATGCTGTTTTACTTGGGCTGATGCTGCTTGAAGAGTTAACAAGGATGTGGAAGTGAGGAGTGACTTGAATGTGTTTATGTGTCATTCTGAATGAAATTTTGGCAACAAGGGAAAACTTTTCAGTTTGTGCTTGGGGAAACAATGGCTACTTGTTGTTAGGCTTGATTACTCAAATAATGTATTCGTGCTGAGGACTTTTCAACTGCTTAAGCAAGTTGCTTGAAAGTCAGCCTATGGTGAGAATTGTTCCTGTGTCCTCAGTTATGCAGTGAAATTATGGGTATGGGCAGCCAGTCAGAAGCCCTGGAGTCACTGCAACTTTATGAATTACTGATCTCCCTCTGCGCTGCTTTGCTCATGTAAGGAAATAAGTTCTGTTTCGTAGCTGGGGTGGCCTGACAAGCAATAACGTGGTAAGCCATTGCATTGAGGTTTGCTTTCAACAGTGTTCCTGGACTGAAAGTGCACTTCCAACTCCGCTTAGCTCCTGTAATGGCTCTGAAGGGGTCTTAAAGCTGGTGCTGCTGCAAAGCGGGGAGGGGGGCTGTTACCTTTTCCTGTCAGTTTTATAGTTGCAGTGTCATCTGCAGTCTCTGTGGGCAGCTGGTAGCTTACCAAAAATCATAAACTTAACTGAGCGGTTGTTGCAAACATGCACTAGGACAGCTGGGCAGCCAGGAAGGCGTTAATGTGCAAAGCAGAGGATTTCTCCAAAAGCCCCAAGTGCTTCATTGTCACAAAATTAGCACCTTATTCCTTTGAAGGGCAACATGAATGCTTAGTCTGTGTTTTTTTGGTAGCTGTGACCCTAGTAGGGGGGATGAGTCTTGTAGTTAGAAAGCTGTGTTTGTGTCTGGTTGATAGGATTTATTCCGGTTTTATTTTTCAACTTGTGTTGTGGAGGTGAGTCGAAGTGACGTGAGGAGGCTGAAAGGGTACTGTATCTGTTCAGAGTTAGCAAACCCAGGAGCTCCTTCCAGTAGGAAGAAAGCTTTCAGTGACTGTATCCACACACCTGGGTCTTAACAATTTTAGCAGGAAGGATCAGGCTTTGCATCAGGGTTGGATTTAATCCCTGCTTATGTTTTTCCTGCTTTTTTTACAATAGAAGCCAAGCATCACAGAGAACACCTGTACCCAGAGAACCACTGTTCCCAGCTCACGGACTCTGCGAGAGAAGCACTCCCTTCTCTCAGTAGTTGAGATGAGTTGCAAGGTGAGGCAGAACCAGCCATCTGGTGGAAGGAATCTGAGGGTTCTCCTTCAGCCCACAGACAACCCTTACCCCACAAGTACTTGTGAGCCAGCAAAAAAATGTCTGGGCTTCAGAGAATTGGTAAAAGAACCATGGGAAAGCGAGTCAGAGTTTACCAGTTTTTCACGCAGTGAGGGGGATCTAGGTTGGACGTTACAAAAACTCACAAAGTAAGGACATCTTAATGCTAGCATATTGTCTTGGGAGGAGGGGAGTTACCAAACGCTATACGTAGTGATCCTGCTTTTTGGGTGGAGAATGGACAAGAGTAGGTCTACAAGCCTGATGTTTCATCCAGCCTGCCACCTCATCCTAGACAGTACTAGCATCATCTAGGAGAGCACGTATTGCTTCTCACCTCTGACAGGCTGAACTCTGCGGGTGAGTTCGCAGCCAGTTTTCCTGCTTTGGGGTGGGCATGTCAACCAGCACGAGCAGCCTCGCCGTACCCCACTGGAGAGATAGCTGGAAGAACATCAGGCAAGTAGTTGTCTGACAGATGGTAGGAGCTGGACCATAAAACAGCAAAAAAACCCCCATGCTGCATCCCTTTGACCTCTGCACTGACAAAATGAGGGAAATAAGAGGAATCAATGAAAAAGCCAAAATCTGTGTCTTTTATGTTTTGCTCGTAAACAGCTGAGGTAACATCAACACTAAGTCTAAACTTCTATTTTCTGTGGAGGATAAGGTGGCAAGGCGAGTGAGTATGGGTGAGCTCTACTTGTTTCTAATAAACCAAAGAGAAACGGGCAATTCCAACGCCTTGTCTGCATCTCTCCCCCCAGCTAAGCCAGGGCCTCAGCTTACACATTTGCAGCTTGTTAGGCAGGCAGGACCTTAACTGACTTTGAATCTTGGGCGTGCCCGAGTGTGCAGCCAGGTTTCAAAGTACACGGTGCCAGAAACCAGGCAGTCAAGCCTGTCCACTCCTGCACTTACAGTTTGGCTGGCAAACACGGCCGTTGCTGATTCAGAGCTCAGGAAAAGAGGTTCTCTGCTTTCACAAGCCACGGAAGAGCTCAAGAAAGAGACTCGGCTAACAGTATAGTCCCAGGAGCGAGCTTTACATCCTATGGTGTGTTTCCTAGCGCTTTGGTTTCCCTTTGCAGCCCCACGACTGCCAGGTGGCTGGCACCATCAGCACAAGAAAACATCCTCCTTAATTTAGGAATCGAGTCTCAGAGCAGCCTGGGGTGTGTGGGTGGGCTTTCTCATTTCCAGCTTGGTGCAGGCTATCACATCTTTCGCTTGCTTTCATGCCCTTATCGTCCACAGGATGGAGCTGGTCACTAGTGCCCTTTGTTCCAGCCGGCTTTTGTGATCTCAGGAGGGCAGAGCTGCTTGTGATCCCTGCCAAGGTCATGTTTTGGAAGCAGCACTCTCACTCCAGAGCTCTTGAGAGGAGCATTTGAAATCAGAGGGTAAATTCCCATCCATATTACACAGTAATCCTTAAACACCACCTCTCTGCTCTGCCTCAAATCAGCCTGTGGCCAACTGAGGGCAGCTCACTGCACTTTTACAGGTCCCATTCTCCAAAGTCAGTAATTATTCTCCTTGCGTTGCAGATGGAGAGGCTGAATCACAGCAGGAGGACTGGCCTCGGGCCCGAAAGCAGGAAGAGCTGTCCCAGTGCAGATCCCCAGCCGAGCGGTACCCAGCGCCCACCTTTGCTCTCCGGGGGCTGCCGGTTCAGCTGGAACCCACGGAGCTGCTGGATGACGTTTTCCTCTCCTCCCACTGAATCAGCCACTTATTGACTCTTTGGAATGCAAAGTAACAGGACACCCTGTGAGTTTTATCTCTCCCCCGTATCTTTTGTATCGCTGTCGAAGTTGCCGGACCGGATTGAGCGTTTTAGCTGCAGAGACGGGGTGGTTTCGGGGTTGTCTGGCAGGAAACTGGGTGGGAGGGCACTGTCGGTGAAATTCGGAGTCACACTGAGAACAGACTCCTTGAGACACACTGCGGGGAGGAAAGCCCTTTGTCTCTGGTCCTTCGCTGGTGTGGCTGGATGGTGCTCCTTTGCTGGGATTACTGGGAACTGCCTCCCCCAGAAGACTCGTCCCCTGCAGGCATCCCGCCTCTGTTCCTGGTGTAAGCAGCAGCTTTTTCCCTGCTTTCACATGGACGGCGTTCCCGGGGCAGGGAGCTGATGGGAAGTATCCTGCCTGTGCGGACAGGGTTTGCGGCTCCAGCAGCTAATCCCTGTCTCCTCTGGGACTCTCCTGGGGGTCGAGTTCACGGCGGTTTAGCTCTTGCAATTTGCCTGCAGCTCTGACAAAGGCGGGCTTGGCTCTCTGGAGTTGAGCGGTGCCTAAAGCAAGCGCTCGCCATCCTCCTCAAGGCGTGTTGAACCTCGACTTGCTGCTCTCATAATGCTCTTGTGGCCACGCTGATACGAAGGGACAACCTTAGGAGGAGGAGGTGACAGTTTTTCTTGCATGAACCGATAGAAGCAGGAAGAAACAAGGGGCTTTGTTGCTGACTGCTGCCACTGCACGTGGGTAAGTGCTTGCTTTTTCTGCTTCAGTTCCATCTTTCTTCCGAGTGACTCGGCTGGGTTCAGCCTCCTTCAGTCAGACTAGAGACCAGCACGGAAGCGCCTCACCGCAAAAGCGTGTGGCAGAGACTGCTTGTTGGGAATCGCTGCTTTGGTGTATAGTGCCCAAAAAGAAGGGGCCCTCATCTGCCGTGGTGCACTCACAACACAGCCACAGAATAAATCGCCCTGCTTCAGCAGCAAAGAAACGATAATCTGATCATTTCAGGCTCTAAACCAGCTGCCTCCCAGCTATACAATATTGTATCTTTAGCATGTGTTTCGCTTTTTTTTTCCCTCAAGGCGATCGCATCCCTTTATTCAAAGGGCCGGTTGGGCTAATGACTTAGTCTGTAAAATGTCAGTGGCTTGAATGACAGGAAACGCTGGGTATTCGCAGCTCTCTGTGAAACCAGGAGTTGTGGATCTTTGCAAGAGACACCTTAGGCCTCAAAGAGTGAGTCTGCATCTTGCCCTGATTAGCCACGTTCCCAGAACTGGGGTGTTTGCCAGGCACCCGCCTGGAGGAGATTAGTTGATATGCTGAAGAGGAGAAATTTGCGGGAACAAAGAGCAGGGGTTTATCTGGGACCAGCTGCTTTATACCTAAAATATGCAGTTTCACAGGGGGTGTTAAGTCAGGCTGGAGCTGCTGCAGTCAGCCAGGTAGGGAGTGGCTGTAAAAGCAGAGGGCTGGGCATCGGCTGGGGGGGGGGGGGGGGGTGTGTGTGTGTGTGGGGGGGTGTGTGTGTGGAGCTGGGAGCAGCTCCTGCCATCAGCCAGGGAGGGAGTTTCAGCTGGCTGACTAACAAAGCCACCTTGGGCAGGGGAATATCTTCAATCCAGAGAGACTTTCTGCTGTGTGGAGCTCAGAGGGCCTGGGGTTCAGGTAGCTGATGAGGGAGCCAGGAAGGCAGTTCCAGAAGTATTTCTGTAAGAGCACAGGAGTTATCTTTTACACCTAAAGAGAGAACAGAAGGATCCGAGACCTGGCAGAGTCTCATTTGCCCCCGAGAGACACCCCTGCAAAAGGAACACAGAACTTGGGCTCTATGGGAGACATTTTAGAGCAAGGGGGGAAAAAAAACAAAAGTAACCCAGCAAGCATCTCCCTGCGGCGTGTGAACCAGCGGGCGACTCCTCTTACACCAAAAGCATCTTTCTGGGAAATTTTAATGTTCAGATGTGGAAGAAAGAAATCTGTTTCAGGGCTGGATGTAGCTGGTGGAAAGGGGTACAGGTCAGCGGTGGGATGGCCAGTTCAGCCTTCAGAGAGACTGACGGGCATATCACATGTTGGTACAGAATGGCTCATGGAAGATGGAGAAGGGAAGAACCTTTCCATGAAAGATGATGTTGGTCCAGCTCTCTTTAATCTTGACTTTTCCACGTGAGAAATCTTAAATATCGGTGGGGGAGTCATCTTTCTGAGAAGGGGGAAAATGATGGGTTAAGGCCCTGTCAGGAATGCAGATTTGGGTGTTAAAAGCCCTCTTTCAAACCTGCATTAGAGCATTTCCAAAACCCAGGGCTTTGCTGCTGGTTCCTCCTTTTCTTCTCTAGGGGCAGTGTTTAATATTAAGCCGTGCATTCCCCGGGAGCTGTTGCTGGTATGTGAGTGCCAAATACGGAGACGGCGTGCGGTTTGTGCTGCGCTGCTGTGCGGCTCCTCGTTTGGCATCTGCTCTCCTCTGTTTTTTTGGTAAGAGACGGCTCCTTCCTAAAGCACAGCAGCCTATCTGAGAGCAGGTTTCATGCTGGGATAAAGGGAATATTTTGCTTTGACAGCCCCTGAGAGTACCAAACGTTTTAGGGAACTTGCCCCTGGGGTTAGTATGTCTGTGCATGCTGGAGCGTGCCCTCTTTGTGGTGGGGTTTCATAGCATGATAGTTGTCACCCGAGAAGGGATAAGACCTTGGGTACATAAAGCTTTGCCCTGCAAACTTGTGGACGTGAGTGCTAGTGAGCCCTCCTGTGCTCGTGCTGGGAAAAGACAGATTTTTCTGGTTTCACTTACCGAAGCAAAACGCGTGGCAAAAGATCTTTGGAAGTTGGGGGCGCTTTTGGGCACGGCTCTCCGGGCGCCTTTTCCCACGGGTGCCTGCGGAGTGGGAAGCCGGCCCCGGGAACGTCGCGTGGCCGGGGGGGGGGGGGACACCCGTGGGGTGTTCCCGTCTTCCTGCACCTACTCGGGAGCCCGGAGAGGAGGAGCCGGGCACGGTGCCGAGCCCCGGCCGTGCCCTGCCGAGGCGACGAGCAGCCGCGCCATGGCGGCCTGAGCCGGCCGCGGCAGCCGCCCTCGCCATGGAGCGGGGCCCCGGGGCCGGCATGAGGTACAGCGCCCAACCGCAGGTGAGAGGGGCACCCGTGGGGCTCCCCCCCAAAAACCACCAGCCTTTGGCCAAGCTGCCTCGGTTCCTTAGGGCTGAGCGGGGGCGGCTCTGGAGCCTTTGGGAAGCCGGGGAGGTTCCCGCTCCCCCGCTGCCGTCGGGTAAGGTCAGTGGAAACCGTCTGGGGGGATGCCGCCGAGCAGGAAAAGAAAAACCAGCTTTGGGAAAGTGGGAATCCCCCACCCGCAGCGCCGGTGTTAGACCTCCTCGGTGGCAGCACTAACGTCGCTCTGATGGTTTTGATTTCGGCTTAAGCCAGGCGCTGGGGACGTGAGTAAAGATAAACTGCGTGGAGGTGAACTGTTGGCCGCGTATGTGTCCGGGTTGTTTAGCAACAGATCTAACTAAACCTGTTCAAGCCGTCAGGAGGTCTGGCTTTAACTGAGGGCTCTGGGGCTTCGTTAATTAACTGATGCTTTATCAGTGTGCTTTGAAATGTGAGCGAGCTTAAGCCGCGGTCTTGGCTTTTTGTGTAGGTCGTCCTGGCAGGGATTGGTGTTTGCGGGTTTTAAGTGTTGGAGCTCTTTCAAAAACCGGGCTTTTTAGGTTAAAGCGCGGCAGCCGCGCTTTCCAGCTCACCTGCAGGCTGTCTGGTGTCGGTCTTGGCAGCCTGGCTGTAGAGGTGGTTCATCTGGCAGCAGCAAAAGGAGCTGAGCACCGATCAAAAAGCTGGCCTACAGCAAGGAAAAGTTTCCCCGGCCTCCAGCCCCTCTGCCCTGCGTGTGTCAGGGCCACGGTGACTGCCAGGAGCAGGAAGGAGATGCTCTCGCTGATACCGTGCAGCTCGAGCTCCTTGTTCCCTGGCCAGGTCGGGGTGACACTATGTGCAGCGTGATCTTCCCTGCCCGGCTTGTTCTCTTGGCAAAAGGAAGATTTGTGCGCTGGTGTGTCTTTATGGCTGGGCTGAGTGCTCGAGCGAGTCCCTTCGCGCCGGGGCAGCGGTGTGCCAGGTTCTAGATTGGTTTTTCCCCTGCATCCATTCAAGAGGAGCTGATGTGCTCAGGGGGGGACTTCCCTGAAGGTGGTACCTGCCCTCTTGGCAGTAAACAGCCCGAGGAGTTGGTCCCTCGTGGACCGACTGCTGTTGGACTTGGCTCCCAGCGGAGCAAATGCGAGTTGTTTTGCAATGACTGCACCCCGTCCTGCGGCAGAGCAGGAGCTGTAGCAGCTCTTGGGCATGGTGAGAAGCTACTCCTCTTCCTCAGAAAGGTGCCGAGCTTTTCTCCCGGCTAGTGGGTGGGGGGTGAGCCGCTGCTCAGGCCTGTTTTGCTGCTGTTGGTGCCAAAGGCAAACAGGGATAAGGAAGGCACGATGAGAAAAAGGCTGAGGCCGATCGAAAGCGCGCCAGACCTTTGCTCAGCAAACAAAAGATCACTTTGTAAAACCATTGAGGGAGCAGCGAGGAGCGTTTTGGAGGGCCTGGCTGCGGGGAAGGGATCAGAGCAAAGGTTCTCACCTTGCCCGGGGTAGCGTACGCCGTTTGCATCCAAAGGCTGCCGGGGCCAGCCTCGCAAATAACGCCCTGCGATACCCTGGGGGGGGGGCTGGGGAGGAGGAGGAGGGAGCAGCTCATAGGGATGGGTTTGCCAGACGAAGGCTTCGCCCAGCCAGAGATGCTGGTGTTTCCAAACATTCAAACGTCGTGGGGCGGACCCACCTCAAAGCTCTAAATAGTGTGCGTGGAGTGTTCCACCAAGGTCTGGAGCACAGCTGTTTTTGTTCGGCTGCTGGAGGGCATTTTTGTTGCTCAGACAGTACTTTCTGTACCAGGAAAGATGTAAGAGTGTTTTTAAATAAGCTTTTGGCATCTGTGTCATGTTTCTCTGCTGCTCTTGGGACAGAAGTGTGTTGTAGGGAGGAATTTCATGGCTCGTAGCTACATGTATTGGGCCTGTAAGGTAGCTTTATTTCCCACTTCTCCCCAAGAATTGCGCAGTCTTACAGGTAAAAGCCTCTGCTACGACAGAAACACAATTAGAAACGTGGTTTGTTGGTTTTTTTTTGTTTTTTTTTTTTTTTTGAGCTGCTGTGTTCATGAGACAGCTGCACTGATAAGCCTGGAGCGGGGTAGTGAGCCAAGCCGGTGCTGTCCTGTGCAAACATTAACTTTGGTTTCTTCTGCAATAAACCTAAAGGAATTTGGTTTCTCGTATGATTCAGGATGGTCACAAGACGACCAAATGCTGTAGAGGATTGAGCTCGAAATTGGTGTGTGTGAAATAGAGGTGTGTGACTTGTGACTTATATCTTTCACTATTGCACTTGCCCTCTGTGCCTGGAAGGTAGACAGACTGGAAGACTCTGTGTCCCTTACTTCCTGCTCCATACTCCCTCGTTAGTTCTGATGTCGTCATTTTATAGTGTCATTGCCCTTAATAAGGAACTGAAGATGAAGAATATAATACACTGGCAAAGTTTCTTCACTGCTTTATTGCCCATGTTGGGGCAACACAGCATGAATAGGCTTTACGGAAAGCTAGCTGTCACGCCTGCTGTTTCCATGTATTTCTTATCAAGAATAAGAGGAGAAGTGGGAAGATTATTCTTATCAGATCTCTTCCTGGAGGAATATCA